TTACGTTACACCACAACTACAACTCCACTACGCTACAACTACAACTACAGTTGCAGTACATCACACTACATCCAGCAGTTGTGGGTGAGGTGACCACTGCAACCATTGCAACCACTCCAGCAAACACAACTCCAACCACCTTCCGGTCAATCAGTGGATTCGCTCTGCCATCCGTGATTCACAACAACCAACGTCTCCTATAGGTTTCCTATTCTGAAACTTCCGCCACCGCCTTGTGCGGTACTACTGGTAACATAATATAAGCTAATTTATTTGATAATCAAAGCATCCAAAAACTGCATCACGTTGCGCTGACATCTCACTTCCCTGCCTTGGAGCTGATGCACTTCCTGTGCGACAAATGCAGGGACTTTTTTTCCTGTGATCCCTGTAATGTGGTGAAATTTCATGACCAATTTCAATTTGAATTGTTTACTCAGTTTACTCAGGTCCGGAATCTCAATTGCGAGTGGAGTCGGAATGTGTGCTGAGCGTCTTGCATTGCTTTCTCGTCGATCTGCAGCGAGGCTTTGATAAGATCAGATTTGTGAGCCGAGCCAGGACCAAAACAAGTCTGAACACGAAACTGCAAATCCAGCAGGAGAAATTCCAGAAATTCATAACTTCCTGTGTTGCAGCTTCAAGAGAATCCGAAGGTTCCACAAAGTGGCTGGGACCACAGACTGTCACAGACTTCTGACGAGATGAAAACAAGATTCACAAATTCACTGCCATCAAAACATGTACAGACTTTGACACAGAACATCAGTGCCTGCATTGTTCAAGGTTCGGTTCTTTCGCAACGCTTCCTGCAATGTGTCTTCTTCCACTGTCTATGCAGTCCGCAGGAATATTCTAAGAATTCTGCGTACATCATTGCACCTATGGATCCATGTCACCAATTTGGCAGTGATACTATCAGTCATTATCAGTCCCTGTTTGCCCTTGCTTTGCCTAATCAAGTTTTAGGGCCCCGTGCTGTCTGCTCTGTCCAAACCTGCTTGCGCCTTTCTGGCTTTGCCTTGCCGATGCAATACATGGATAAAAAGGGCAAATGCAAAATTCAAATAGAGACAACTTGAGGACGTGATGCTCCGAAGCAACAACTGTCCTCTTGAGAGGATCAAGCAAAGGCTTCAAAGGCATGTCTTGAGATTTTGCAAAACATGTCAATGTTCTTTGTATAATGGGATGTCGAAGGTGTCAGATGTCCCAAACCCAATGAGGTTGTCAGAAAGGATTTTGTTGCCATGTCTAAGAATAAATTGAATAAATTCCACTTCCCACATCCAACACTTCTCTTTTGCGCTGCAGTTTTGGTGGCACCTCCTGAGCGACCATGGATCTCTTCCGACCTTGGCCGAGCTGCTGGACACTTGGCTCCGATTTCATCCGATTTCATCCCATTCGTGCTTGTTTTGGCACGGAAACAGCGACCTGGTGAGGTGTGTAAGGCTGGGTCCCCTTTAAAGGTTAAACTGGTTATAAACTGGTTAAACAAGATTCTACTGATTTCTACTGGCTGCATAGGGTATTTTGGAGTATTTTGTCGAAGGATGTGTCAAAGGTCACATTGTTCGACAACCAATGTTGCCAGGTGCAATTCGTTCTTTTGAAACTACAACTAGCACCACCCTTTTGTTGTGCTGTTGAAGCATCTCTAATTTTTCCCCACTGCTTCAAGTAGAGCCTCCAGCTCTGCAAAACATCAAAGTCACGAGAAAGCTTCAGAATGATTTCATGCCTCGCCTCAACCCTGCACTTCTGACACCATCTCTGGGCTTTCCCACGACCAAAGCGTCGTCGTAGCCTTGGGCTTTCAACAATTGATTCAATGAGAGGCCTTGTACACAACAACAACATACTACAGAGCGATGAAAGAATTCAGAAAGGCAAACATGGCCATGTCGGTAGTCATTGCCAAATGGAAGGAACTTCAAAATGCAAAATGATGCTTTTTGGCCAAGCTACATGCAAACAAGCAAAACCAAGCAAAGGCCTGGCAAATCACGTGAAACCGCGGTGACTGTGTGTTCATTGAACCTGGATCAAATACCTCTCTTTCCTCATACTCTTTCATAAAGATTGTGTAACTTGTGCCACGCTCTGCCATGCCCTGACAACCTTTTCTACTAGCGTTACTAGCGTTGGACGCCCCTGTTCTGGTCCTGAAGCTCATTTTTTATCACTTTTCTCATACTCGTTCCGACTCGTTCCTGGTGTTTCACGATCGCGCCTCCGCCCGCAACAGCCACGATAACTGCAGCAATGAGCTCGGTACTCAAACCTTCGAACGAACTTCACAAAGCTTGGCTTTGAGCCACACCAAAGTAAATATGGAATATGGTGAGCATTGGCTAATGTGGTGATGAATTCCGGGGAAAGGATGGTAGCAGCTCAGCGATGCGAGCAAGAGTGAAAGATTCAGTGAGATGTCGAGACATTCACCAAGTATTCACGAACTTCCACATGTTCCACACATGTTCCACACATGTTCCACACATGCTAAAGTCATCTAAAGTCTGGCGCCTTCCTCCAATTCCTCTACAGCTGCTTCATCTTGAGCGGTCCAACTCGGCATTGTGTGCTAATTCTCTCAATTTTTGCAACGAATTATTGGTCTCGGAGTGACTTTCAGGGCAAAATAGGTGGTACCCACAAAGTCATAAGGCAAACGTTAAGAAATTTTCAACTTTTCCTTCATCTCTGCGCCAAAGCACACACGAACACCTCCGACCTTTGACTTCACATGGTGATGAGGCCCTGATACAAGGGATCACTAAGGCTCAGAACGATGCGCTGCTTTTGAAATTTTGTGCCTTGCCTGAACAGAAACTGCAAAGCTATGTGCAGGGTGCAAAGGGATGCAAAGGGCATATGCCGCACATCTGATCCAGTGTTTCATGATGTTTCATGATGTTTCATGATGTTTCATGTTTCGTTGATTATTTCGTTAATTCGAGTTCATTCCTTTCAGTGAGAGCCACTTTGGACGCGCTGTGATTCACCGGTCGTCCGGTGCCTCCAGAGTCCTCAGCCTCGGAAGCAGCTCGGTTTGCTGTCGAGATTCGAGATGGCCATGGATACGGCGAATGGTGAGATGCATGGCAGATGGTGAGGTGTTCAGTTCAACTGCCTCAACGAAACGTGGGTTTGAGTGTTGAATATTCAACGATCTTTCCTGGATCCTAACGGAGAACCAGAACAACAACAACAACAACAAGAACAAGAAGAAGAAGAAGAAGAAGAAGAAGGAATAAGAATTCAGAGTCCACCAGGTCTGCCCAAAAATGCCACCTAAAAACAAGCGACAAGTGCTCTCTCTGTATGTTCCAAACCAAGCTGCTACTTTCAATGTTGAGCCCAAAGAAATGCTCTCAACAGCCTGAAACGAAGAAAGAGTTGGGGTGATTCCGTCAAAAAAGTTCAATCCAGAAAAACGCAAAAAGACAAAAACGCATATTTCATGTTTGCAAAAACGCAAAAAGATATTGAATTTGATCAGGAGAAACGGACGAAATGGCGCACCTCGACATCTCCCCGTTGCTCGGCGTATTGCAACGCCCTTACTGCTAGACTCTGCTAGACCATACAGGCTGTATCGGGTTGTATCTGTGATCAGTGACAACATGTGATAACTCAAGGACTTTGAAACAATGAGACAGGAATAAGGATTCAGAAAGTGCAGAGAAGAGGGCCTCAAGAAGAGCAAACAATAGGGAATGCCTGCAATACCAACGAAGAAAAACACTACAAAAACCTAGATCTCACTTCGATCTCTGATGAAGAAGCACAAGGATTCGAACTGAAAAACTAGGAAAAAGGTAGGACCCCGTGGCACAAGAAACGGCCAAAGAAACATCCTGAGACTCCCGTCGTTTTGCCGTGGGCATCCTGCAACAGCTTCTATCGCTGTGCATGGAATCACTACATTCACTATACATTCACTACATGCAATATGAAATTCTCAAATTCAGCAGAGGAAGCTCTAGGAATTTCCCTTGTCCCGAGAGATCCGAAAGTCGTTTTTAATATCGCGCGGATATCGCACGGTGGCCTTGGCAGTTGTATCAGCTCCCTCCGCGACTAAGAGCCGCAAACCTCAGAATCAAAGGACCATGGCGACAGTTTTCAAATCGAACACCTTTGCTGAAAGATATTGAAAGATATTGATAAGGATGTCACAGGATGTCACAGGATGTCACAGGGACGATGAATGGTGCAAAACTGTCCTTTTTGAGAAAACTCGCTTTTTTGGAGAATGTACACGTGATTTCGAAGGGACATCACCTTGCAAACAAACTTACACAGATACCTTCACGATCCTTCATGGCATGATCATCCTGATGTCCAAGGGTATCCGCACTGTTGCTTGCACCAGCAGTGGCTGCAATATGCAATGCACTTTGACCTTGCCTGTGCACAGCAAAAATTTCGTGGCTTTGAAATGCAGTTGTACTAATGTAAAAAGCTAAACAGCTAAACGATGCTAAACGATGCTAAACGATTCCAGTTGAATCATGTTGAATCAGGTTGAATCATGTTGAATCATGTTGAATCATGTTGAATCCAACTAAGTCTTGAGTCGACTAGTCGACACTCGACACGAAAGTCGATTTGATTCCACGATTTTGTGGCCTATTCGTCTGCGAGAGCAACGCACTGCCTCCATCAGCTGAAAGCCTGGCGCAGGTCTGGCCGTCTGGTCGTCTGGTCATCTGGCCGTCTGGCTGTGTCATCTGTGTCTGTTGTCGCTGTCAGATTTCTGTCAGGTGTCCTGTTTTAGTCTCAGTCTCTGTCTCTGTGTGAAAAAAACATGGCTGAAACGCATCATGGAAACAACTTCGCTGCTATCTTCGCCTCACTGCGATGCCAAGTCAAACCACAAATAGAAAACTAACATAAACTAACATAAACTAACATCAACCTAAAGCAAACCGACACATTGGCGGGTTCCTCAGAGTTCCTCATGGCATCTTTTTTTTGGTACCTGTAATCACTGTAATCACTGTATTTATCTGTATTTTGTTTTTTTTTTTGTGTGTGTGTCATTCTTGGCCTTGATTCGCGTTGATTTGCATTGTGCAAACAAGTGTGTGACACAACGGTGCTTCATCTGCTCGGTGACGCTCTTTTTACACGGCTACGTGGAACTATCGAGCACAACTTTGGAGCTCACAGTGCCTGGCGATCGGAGAATAGTCGCGATTGAAAACACTATACCCACTATTTGAAACCTCGAAAATCAAACCATTAGTCCTTTCTCTGCAAAAAAAAATCATCTTTTACTTGATGAGAACGCACGAAAAATCTTTCATATCTTTTTTGAGTGGGAAGAGATCATATCAATATTGTGTTTGGGTCGCTCATTGGAACACTTTGTAAGCTTGAAATGTACCTTCACAGATTTCTTGTATTAAAGACTTTCTAACTGGACAAAGCTATAAACACTGGCAAGAGAAGCTTAGAGAGAAACAAGAAAATCACGTTGAAATGCTTTTCAATGCACACACACACATATATATATATGTCTTATGTATGTAATATTCTTCATAGACATATGACATATGTATTTAAATGATTCAAATGAAGACTTTCCAATGCCGACTGAAATTCATGGCCTCCACGCGTATGCTCAGCTTGTGCTCAGCAAGGGACTCCAGTGGAAGGAGCCCACTGAGTTCGACACCTTCTTCGTCTCGCACCTTGGAACGTGCTGCGCCGTGCGCCAAGCTGCGCCAAGAAGGCAACATCGATACGTCTGATCGGTCATTTGAATTTGTTTGACAGGTAGTGTTTGATGTGTTTGATGTGTTTGATGTGTTTGTACCGGGAGGAACATGACCAGAACGTGGAGTTCTCCAAGGAGCATGTGCCCGGAAACAAATGGGAGCACAGCCTGCCTTACTCTCCATATTTTTCCGAGACATAGTATGCATCATGTCTACATCATGTCTACATTATAATTATAGAATCGTTCTAGATATTCAAAAATCAATTCAGATAGTGTTGAAGTGTTGAAGCTTCTCTACTCCACCCAACATACCCAGCACTCTCTGATGAATCCCCCTTAGGTATGCACTGCCAAGCGTTTCCCCTAGCGAGGAGCACGGCATTTTTCCCATGCCGAACAACAGAAGGGCCGAAGTCGGGCCGAATAGTCTTTCACAAGGCTCGACTTCTTGGGTAGTCAAAAAAAACTCCGTGTTGTATTCTCCCCACGAATTCCAATTCATCATAATTCATCTCTCATGAGTTTTTCATATCTTTTCATTCTCTCTGTCTTGATGTAGCTGATGCCTGATTGAATTTTTGCAGTGTGCCACAAAAAGCCTTCCTTTGAGATCTATTCCTGGAAAGGTTTTGACTTTGTGCAGCATTTCTGGGTTATGAAATGTTATGATAATCTAATGCCCTTACCGCTGTGCCTGCAGTCGCTGCCAGAAAGTCAGTGGTTGAACGTGTTCCAGCAGCTGTGCGACGGTCTTGGTCTTAAGGTCTCGCAGTAGCTGTCGATTTCCGTCCCTGCAGGTCAAAATGCTTGAGGTACGCTGGTTCAACAAGAATGTGTTCCTCGTGTTCCTCCATTTTGGTGTGAGAAACCTTCAAGCACCATCCTTCCAATGGGAAATGCATCAAGACTAGGCACACAATCCTTTGACAGCTGTTCTAAATGGTTAACTTTCATCATGGCCGACTAGAGCTTACTACTGGGGTGAAATGTGTTTTCCTTCCAAAACACCTTGGTTGAAATATCAATAAATACATTAAATACATGTTAATGGCATATCAATGGCATCTCAATGGTTTGTTTTTGTATTTTTCATATTTTTTCCATATTTTCCATTCCCCATCTTTGTCAAGTTGCACTTCCACAGCAACTGTGACTGCATCAGCTGCATCAGCGCCCTGGTGTCCAAAAACGGAAAAGGAAACCCATTGCAATGCGTATGCAATGGGTGGCAACCAACGCAAAGAGAATGGCATAAAATTACCAAGCAATTTGAAAGCAATGGATTGGCTGTGTTTGTGCAACCCGATCAACCTATATCAACCTGCTGTTTCTTCAAACTCCAGAAACTGGTCGATGTCTTCCCGAACAGCACATCGATCACGTCTGTCCACTCAGTCTACTCAGACTACTCCCTGCGCCAAGGGGCTGCGAAGTCCAAACGACGCGGCTTTAAAGGATCCTGGCGATCAGTGGAGGACTTCAGGAGATCTCAAAGATCAACGACCGAAAAGCCACTCTGTTGGTTATATTGATTTGTTTTGTCTTGTCCATCTTGTTCATTTGAGACTAGCAAACATGCATTCTTCGAACTTTGCAGAACTAGTCGGATATTTTTTCGGATCCGTGCTTCGCCCTGAACGAAGGCTCGATTCAGCGCCTTCAGTTCCATCTCTGTCCGGTGAATTCCTTTAATGACTCGCCCAGACCTGTCAGCGTCACAAGCTTTGCAGTTTCAACAAGGCAATGCCGGGTACACATGATTAGCTGATTAGTCATGATTAGTCATGATTAGTCATGATTAGTCATAATCTCAATAAGTTCCGGTGTGTTGCAACTTGTTGCAATGATTCTGCCTTGCTGCCAAGCTGCTGGACAATCACCGCCCCCAGCCAAACTGCAATGACCTTGCTCGTGCGGCACAGGGCAAGTTGGCTTCAGAATCGAGGCCAAACAGTGCACCAGCCCTGCACCGCTGAAGCACGAAGAGTCACGAAGAGTCACGAAGAGTCACGAACTCTTGCCACTAAGTGGCTGCCCAACCAGCAAAGATGCAGAATTTTCGGACGTAGATGCGAACAAAGGACAAGTGCTGCCACCTCGCGTCTCTATCACACTCATCACAAGCCAAAACTCTGCAAAATCGCAGGGATTGCCTGACACCTGGTAGGTCGCCTCAAGTGTTCTTTGTCCTATGCAAAGTAGCATGGTCTAGAAAAGCAAGGCGCAGTAAAGATAGGGCACTAACAACAGGCATGCCACTTCCAAGTGGCAGGTTTCCAGGTTCACCTACACAAGTATTGTTATTATTCTATCTTATTGTCATTTTTACTGCCTTGTGTGTGCATTTCTGTTTTTCGATATCACAGATGATTGAAAACAATGTGCAAGGATTACAAACGTGGTCATACGGGAAATACACGTCAATTTGTTCGAAGAACTATTTCGGCTTCCTAGAAAGCCCAATTGTAGAGAAACTTGCGGCCCTGACACAAGGATACGAAAGTGGCACTTTTCTGAGTGGCGAAGGTCAACATTTTCCTGCCTCTCGTTGAGGACGTTGTTTTGACTGTGCTGACTCCGTGGAAGTTTAATGCTTTTCGTGTCGCCCTCAGACCTGCACAGAAAGGACAGAAAGGACCGCAGAACACTGAGAGGACAAGTTGAACACTGCTTTGCTCCTGCCTATTGAATACCTATAGGACCTATTGAATATCTAGCTAGGGCGACAGTCGACAGTGATATCCTAGCGATCTTGGCATTTCTCAGCACAACTCTTTCCATCGATGACCAAAGTCTGCAGAGCGACAATTTTGCACAGCAGACAGACTCCCCATCGTCTATGTCATGTTGTGTGCTACCACACCGTTTTGGCAGCTACGCAGCAACACAAACACCGAACGTTTTCACTGGTCTTCTGCGTCAACTTAGTTGTAAGCACTGGAAACAGCGGCCTGCCTGATGGCTGACACCAACTCAGGTGCCATGGAATATTCACTGCTCCTCAGCCATCACTCTGTTTGCAATGTGTAAAGATCGCAAAACAGCAGAGCAAAGCTACAGCAAAATAATAAAAAGCTCACAAGTTACTTAAGTTGCAGGATGTGGGGAAACTAAGGATGACTCAATGATAAGGAGACAATTCTTGAAAAAAAAAGTTTACAGTTTCCTGCCTCCTGTGCAGAATTTTCCGTGAAACACTTTGCTTTTGCATATTTAAAGCATCAGGAATGGTGCGAATTATGAGTCGAGAGAAGCCAATGGCATCTTGTTGCTGTCCAGAGTTCGCCAATGAGAAATTCGAATCTCCACGCGTGAGTGTCGAACAAAAGGATTGAAAAAATCCTTCTGACATGACATCTGCAGATACACCTGACGAACCAGGACACAGGACCCAGGGTTGAATGACTTCATTCTTTCTCCCTAATTCTTGAATGGAATTGTCGGAATAGTGAACAGATCTAGAGTAAACCTGCTGTAAAATGTGTAAAAACATGCCGAAACGGTCCGATTCCAACAGATTTTTCACTTTTCGACGTTGGCCTTGGGTCGGGTCGAGGTTCTGCGCATTGGCTGCGAACCTGATGAATCCCCGGATGACCGTTCCACGACTGTGTGAGTTCTGTGAGTTCTTGCAGGCCTTGCAGGCCTTGCAGGTGCCGTTTGTCCAGCCTGAACTGTGCAATGGCTACCGTGACCAATTGTGCAGCATAGGCCTCAGCAAGATTTCAATCAGGGTGTTCCTGGAACTTCCCTCCATCTTTCGATCCTTTCATATCCTTTCAATCTTCTCAGTTTTTCTTGTCACAACCCCTTTGATCAAAAGGTCTGATGCATGCGTAACGCCAAGGAACTACCAGAACGCACGTATTGAAGGAGTGGAAGTTCAGCTTTTCACTGAGCATAACACGGCACAACGTCTTTTGAATGACATCATGACATATATGACATGGCACTTCTATGTTTCACAATTCTGCACCTTGAACATCTCTTGAAAACTCAGCGATTCTCTCGCTATGTCACAGAGCGCCACTAAATACATCAATGCAGTCGCCAGTAAACAGCAACATACGTAACATACGGATGCAACATGGCCAAAGATGATGCTGAACATGATGCAACTGCAATGCAACTGCAATGCAACTGCTGTGTTCCCCATGTCCCCGATCTCTCAGTGAGTCGCCTGCTGCTCCTATCCTGATATGCGATGTAGAAACACAGGACGTGGCACAGGATGAGGGCGACAATCTCCAATGCCTGGATGGCGCAGGCAAAGCCGCGGCGCCGCAAGACATCGTGAGACAACTCGAATTGAAGCTGCACAGAGTTTGTCACAAAGTATGAAAAAAGGACACGCAAAGGTGACATGTGAAGAGCTGTGAAGCACTTGCCACAAATCAACTTTCCCAAACTTAGTGTTCATGAGAAACATACACATACACACACTGATGGGTTTCTCTCTCTCTCTCTACGTCTTCTTAGAGTCTTAAATTTCTTTGCCTTCAGCGGAAAGTCAGTTCTTCATGGAACTTCGGCATGTCGGTGGAGTCGGCTTGTTCATTCTTGTTCTCGTTCAAAAAAATCATCGGCTTTTATTCGGTTTGCTGTGCCAAGCTGCGAAAACTCGACGGCTTGTGGCCATCAATCGTTCTGAGATAAAGCTCAGTCCAGCAACAACGATGACCTCGTTCAAAAACATCACCGTGTCCAACGGAGTCCAACGGAGTCCAACACCTCTCAACTCGTTTCATCGCGTTCGCAAATCTCGAAGATTCTCGAAGATTCTCGAAGATTCTCGTAGTACTGGTATGAATCGCTATGATACGGTTCTTCGGTTCTTGACTGTTTCCCTCTGCATGTATCTGCATGTTAAACATGTTCACACATGTTTCTCTTCCCCACGTGGTGCTCTACACATCTGTGACAACAGTCGCCGACTCCTGCGAGTGGCATAGAAAATGTGCACTTGGAAGCCATAGGGTTTCTGTGCCTGGGATGTGTTCGGGTGGAACACTCAGAGCCACTTTTGATCCATTTCAGTCATTTCATTCGGATTGAATCTGGGCGTGCCAGCAACATTCTTAGAACAGTCCACCAAAATGCAAGCACTACCCCGTTTTGTCAAAGTAGAAAGTTTCATTATGCCTCATTGCAGTCGAGAGACACGATAGGTGTGCGACAGGGCGAAAAATCCAAAGCTATTCAATAGACTTCTCAAACCTCAAGATTCCAATCTGCGGAGTACTTAGAGTACTTACCTACTTAGGACCCTTAGGACCTACTTTTCATTTGTCCATGTCAGATATGTCAGCGTCAATCTCGTCAGACTTCGTTGCAGTACTCAAGCTGTCAATAGCAAACCTGAGACCACACTGACACCCATTGCCTCCCATGGAATGGCATCATTTTGAAGCAAAAACGTCGATCAAATTCAGTAAAGTTTCCTCAAGGCGCCCCAAAATCCCCAAAACTTTGAACACTTTGAACACTTTGAACTGCACTTACAGTGACTTACAGTGACTTACAGTGTACAGTGACGATCTGCCACCAAGCTTCCCCAAACCAAGAAATACGGTGTGTAGGTCTGGAGCTCGTCCCAATCATGCTGCATCTCCTCACGACTCGTCAATCTCTACTCGACTTGGGAGATGGCGCAACGAATTGAAGATCAGCGAAGATCAGCAACGAATGTGTCAATGTGGCTCTCCAAACAAGTCCGAAAATGCCTTAGATATCCCTAGATGTCTCTAGTTGAAGGGAGTCGAAAAGAACAAGAACTTCCGCATCTGGGACTTTCATGGGCTTTCCCTCTTCAGACTCTTCACTTTCCAATCTTTCCAATCTTTCCATTGTGCTTCACCCTGATTTTTCTCTCCATGAAGGTCAGTTCGTTGGAAATCTGCTGCTCGATGAGATACGCCATCGAAGCATTGGTAGAGCTTTTAGACCTCGGAGTAAGTCATCAAGGGGTACATCGGTACATCATGGACCGCACATCCAGTCTCCAGTCCATTCCAGTCCTCCAGGCTACCAAATCAAAGCCACATGAATATGGTGGATACCTGGTGGATACCTGGTGGATACCTGGTGGATACCTGGTGGATTTGGGAACTGCACAAGATCCTGTCTTGACACGTCTGGAGTCTTGACATTTTCGTGCCCAAGCTGCCAGTCCTCCTCTGATTCCCATTTCTTCCCAGACAACTGATCAGCCCCTGGAATTCGCAGAACTTGGGAAACGCCTGGCGAGCAATGCCCCTTAGTGACTCTTAGTGGCTTGGTGACAATGACTATGAAACATCACCAAAATCTATCAAAATCTTATCCCGTAGGTCCCCGTAGGTTCTATTGTCTTTCCCTGCCTTGACGTTCAAAAGCTTCTGCACTCTCCAGTTCGGCTGCTAGGTCCACGTCCTGACACGGCCAGGTAGGCAAGGACCAATATGGACCAACGCAAGCAGTTTTTGGGAGGCATAAAAAATCTTACATTTTTTCTTACCAGATCTTACAATCCTTCCATGTCATGCCGACCAAACTGTCTTCACCCTCTATCTCATCTGCCACATGTCTTTCTCCTTTGGTCAGAAATTGTGAAAACCCTTTGCGCAACAAGAATCTGAATTATGTGGTTGTAAGTCCGAATATCTATCTTCACAAATATTCCAGGATCAGCGTCATCTGTTATCTGCCAGTATCTTCTGCAAGCAATACCCCTGTCTTGCACCCATTCCGGACCCGCATCATCTCTGCGAAAGGTGGCCGCACGCAGTTGTTGAGCAGCTCCTGACAATTCAAATATCTATCCACTACAAACATCAGAACAATCCGCCAATGGACAAGAACAACATTAACACACAATTGCTATATGGTGAATCACGCAATGCGCAACGAATGCATTGGCAAAGACGTGTGAAAAAAATGGAGGCCTCTAGAGCGTGATGCAAATGCAAAAATGGAAATGACAAAAATCAAGTTGTAGTTCTTTCCATTTGGATCCTTTGGATCCTTCAGTTCCCTTCAGTTCCCTTCAGTCCTTTTGACACTTACGTGCCAAAATGTTGGCGCCTGCATAGCTCAGCGGTTCAAAACATGCCCATGTAGCTCTGGCGACAAGGGAACCAGCGACGCATTTGCAACACATTTGCAACTGCAACCGACATGGATGACTTCATTCGACTTCATTGCAGCTTTCAGCTGAGCTGCTGATGGAAGCAATGAGAGACACCAAAAAGTAGAGAAAGGCGTTGCCGATGCAAAGGTAAAAAATGTCTTGAAGAAACGATCGGGTATTGGCCTCGGTGTTCAAAGACGTTTATGACGGCATCCCTGCCATGACTTCCAGTGACATCAGTCCGCCATCGGACACATCGGATGCCTTTACGGTGTGCCGACAGTGCCGACCCGATCCTCTGTCTGAGAGATCTGAGAGTGCAACATTAAGAAATCACGAATTGCACTGAATTGCACGTGCACGTGTTTTGAATCAAGCGGCCCTCAAGCTCTTAAGCTCTACCAATGCCAACGGTGACGGATATTGATTAGATATTGATGGTATTGATGTACCGTTCAGCAACTCCGCTGACGATGCTGTCGTTGTCTCGAGCTGTTTAGCCAAGCTGCAGCTAGATTCCATCCATTCCTGGAGGGGACTGTGCAATGCAGTTTCCACTTAGAACATGTTGCAGCCTATCAATGTAGCCCTATGACTTGACAGCATCTATGCCAATCTATGTGCCAAAAGCTTAGAACTCCTTCGCAAGGGACAACGGATAGCAATGGATAGCTGGCACAAAGATCCTGTTGGAATCGGTCTCGGCCAAGGCACGTATGGGCTGTCACACCCAAAAGCAAGGCGGACCTGGGGCCGTGAAAGGTCGGAGATGCAAAGCCAAAAGCCTTTGCAAACAAAAACAACTCGAACAACTCGAACAACACAAAATTCAACAGGTCAATTTGTCAATGGAAGCAGTGCTTCATATCATTCCCTAGTAGCCCTATCAATCTGCCAACATTTCTTTAACACATCCACACACACACACACATTCCACATATTTTCACATCTTGCACGTGTCATTCACATGTCATTCACGTGTCATTTCAGCACGAAGCTGTGGCCAAGCCGCACCACAATCAGCCGATCTTGCACTGCGCTGGAGGCGCCAATGGCTTGTTCCACATCTGCACGGAAGAGATCCGCCTGTCTACGAGTGTAACGAAATGTAACGAGTCTATGATCTTCTACCAGGGGAACTAGTGAAACTAGTACTTTAAACTTTAAACTTTAAAGCGGTAAAGAAAACGGTAAAGATGGTAAAGCAAAGATGTGATCAGAAATCAGAATGCCAACTGAGATGGCCATAGGCGGCTCCCAGAAAGGCACCTGCGAGTGGACAATCTGCTGCTTCCGGAAGTTCCGGCTCTGCTTGAGGTGCAAATTTTCGAAGTAATTGGCCCGGTTGTAGCCTGCACATTTACACGTTGTCCAGAGATGTCCAGAGTGTCCAAACAATTAGCAGTCCAAAGAGTCCAGCTGGTGAACGAATCAGTCCTTGTAAAAGAAACGTCGCTGTGAAGTTGTTGCATGTTGCATAGTGTTTGCATGTCCTTGTGCATGTTTCCTCGGACGCTTGTGTTTGCAGTCAGATTTCTACAAGAATCTACAACTCCCTATGAGACGATAGGATTTCTATGTTTCCACCATTTTCTTTTTCATTCTCCACGCCTGCGAGATGAAGTCCAGCTGCACCAGCAGCCGCACAGGCTGCGCCCACTTCCATTGGGTGACGGGAAAGTGCAACAAAAACTATAGAACCATAGAGAAACACAGATTGGATCGATTGGATCGGCTATGGCAGCTCCAGGCTTGGTATATGGTGTCATAAATGTGTCATAAATGTGTCATATGTCATGTTACCATTGTCATCCATTGTCATCCATTGTCCATTGTTACCCGGATTTACCCGGTATGTTCTGATTCTGCAGTGTATCCGGAGATGATCTTCTCAGGTGGAGGATCTCCGGAGGATCTCCGGGTTCAACACTGGATCACTTCCAGGGCACCATTGTTGGCTGTGCTGGAGCCATGGAACCATGACAAGGGATGGCTTGAAAACCAAACAAACATGAAAAAATCATTGAAACACTAGATAACAATATAGATAACAATAATGCAATAATAGTATCTAAATAGTATCTAAGTAGTATCTATAGTCCATCCGATGGGATGTGCTGAGATGTAAACGCAAGGCACTGTTGAGCGCAGTGTCCCCGTTGGTATCAGCGCGATCCACTTTGGCACCTGGCGGACTCGGACAGGCTCGGACTCAGACTATTCCCCGTGAGGGTAGACGATGGGTAGACTTTCTACTCAGTGTTTCTCCAAAGATCAAAACGATCCTATCAGATCAGCTCAAACATTCATGCTGCATATGCTTAATTCGATAAATATTGTGCAATTATCATCAGGCTGGCCAAGTATTCCCATATCATTGTATCTTGTTGTCCTATCTCATCCTATCAGACTTTAAGGATCTTTAAGGGGCATCTCGCCATCTTTCCTCCTGCACTTGCGTCCAGCCTGCGTCCAGCAACTCTCTGATGATTTGAGGGCCGCCGTCTTCACTAGAGAGCTCGGCAGCCTGTGCTCAAAATGCTGCAATTAACATCAACTAACAACTCTTTGAAAGACTCTTTGCAACTTTCTGATGCACAAAGCATCGACATGGCAAACGACATGGCAAATGAGTTTCGGGCCAAGTGCAGCAACGTACTGTTCCTGCCAGAATTTGGCCTCAAAGCTGCAATTCAGCATCAATGGTATGTTAGTTCAGTCTGGTTCAGTCGTGCAGCATGTCCCCAGCCCTTGGTGATACAGTGATAAAGTGGTGGTAGCGGACGTATACGGGGGTAGTTCGGGTAATTCAATACATTGGTGATCTTAGCTCTTGGGTTCCCATGCGGAACTAAGCAGTTTCCTGCAGCCTTGGGTGCCTCAGATCCACAACGCGTTTGATCCATACAGACTCACCGTGTAGCATCATAGCATAAAGCACATAAAGCACATAGCAACAACACTGTTCCTTTCTGGTGGGCTCCGTGTCATAGCATTTCTAACAGCTCACATGGCTCACACATGGACATCTCACATAAATCTCGCACAGATTTCTCTATACCAATGCTACAAATGTTGATCGATTTTCTCGGTATTCTCTATACAAAAAGTGTTTCCATGTGTTTCCGCAGCGTTCGACTTTTTTTGGTTCGAAACGAACGACTTTTTTGGGCGCCGCACAGGTGCCTCGGCCACAGCGCGGCTCAAGGCCTGGAGCTCCGTCTGCAGCACCGCCGCGACCCTCGACCAGTTGGACCCGTTGGACCCGTTGCCGTGCTGAGCTGTGCTGTGGGGAACCCATCAGAAACGGCAATTTTTTACATGAGAAACTAGCCGCAACTAGCCGCAACTAGCCTTTACTCTGATTTTATCTTTGAGAAACTTAGATGACTCTAAAGTACTCTAAACGTGAGAGGACATCAAAGATAAATGAATCTGAAGGAGTATGTCAAAGCAATTTGGGAACTGTCTGATTGACACATTTTCTGAACATCTGTGACATCTGTGTCTGTGATTCCGGACAGGTCAGGACGACACTCTACAATCAGCGTGGCATTGGCCGCAGGGGCACCACCTTGATGGCAACGACACTTTTATCGGCACGAACCAAACCTGGCCGACAATCTACGACCTTTGCAATATTCGCAACAGTTTCGCAACGATTTCGCAAATTTGCACAATGCATTTTTGCATCTCCGGATCTGTCCGGTTCTTCCCGGCTTTTCTTTCTTCTTCCGTTCTCCGAGTCTCCAGCTCAATGCTAAAATGCGTGCCGAAGGAATCTGTAGCGCGTGACGGTGGTTCGACTGTGCAGCGAACTTTGTGAACTTTACAAACTTTCAATATCTTGACAGATCTGGGCACAGATGCAGCACGGTGCCTTCCAAACTTTTAAAGCCTTTGCCAACGGCGTTAAGCCCTCTGCATCCTGGGAAATAGGCAGGAAATCCTGGAGAAAACTATTTTGACACCACTGGAATGAAGAAAGTTGCACAGGCAATCTTTATAGCTTTCTCTTCCTGTGGCAAACTACAGCCCTCGGTGAATTGCCTGCAACTTTCTGGTAACTCACAAGACAAGACACCTTGATGCCGAAGATCAGAGCACCATTCGAACTACGAGAAGCCTTGCAAATTGGGCAAGATGGAGGAAACGCCAGAAGACATTCTTGCTGTTGTCAAGCATTCAGCAACATATTGAGCAACATAAGCAACCGAAAGCAACCGAAGCACACCTTTTGACCCTGGGGCCCTGGCTGCCCATGCTAGAACAGACATTGCTGTGGCCTGGCGGTGTGCTTTGCATCGAGGTACCATTGAGGCACCCGAAAAGTCTCAGCACTGAGCGCCCAATGTCGCGGCACGTGCACGACGTGGCGGACCTGACCATGAAAAGCAGCTAGGTGCAGCCTCAGGTCGCAGGGCGTCGCAGGATGTCGCAGGGTGGGACAAAAATGGACGCTTCCAAAGGACGTCGCGGACGTTGTGATTGCAGCTTTTCAGACATTTTCCATGCTTTTGCCATCTGACTTTCTGTGGCTTGAGCAAAACCAAGACAAAACCAAAACACATGTTCCTCCCTCTTGAAAGTTCTGTCTAGCACGAGTTCCTTTTCTCAGCAAGGAATCTTTGTGGTGCAAAAGCGGGTACCGAAAATTTCTTGGACTTGAGACAGCCCAAAATCACGGGCAAGTTGCATTACAGAATGGCAGGCTTGGTTTTGTTGCAACCCATCACTCGTAGCAATAAATGTCAAAAAAATACAAAAAGGTGGAGATTCTCAAGCATTGACGTACTCGCATGCACTCGCCCTGTTCCACGAAGGTACCTACTTTCTGCGCAGAAAACTGGAGCACAAACGTGTACTCTAAACAATTCACATTATAGACGATAGATGATGATAGCGAGAGCAATTACAGCTCACACTCAAAGCTCTTCGCATCTCAGGCTTCATACATAGCTTGCTTGGTGTCCATCGATCGGCTCAGGCTATTGAAAGGGCTGGCCTTGTTTCGGCAACTCTCTCGGGTCAATTCCAAGGCGATAAAGACTCGGGATGAAGCAACCATAAACCATGATAAACCATGATAAACCATGATAAACCATGATAAGCCATGATACATGAAACCGCGACATAAATGGCATAGACATGACCGACATGAGCGACATGACCATCGAGTTTCTACATGTGGCAGCGCCTCCGGACTCAGGAAACCACTGACTTTCGCCTTATGAGATGATGCCCAACCGGGCGCAACCGGAAGTTCCTTTGGAAATCCAAAGCAAAATCACAAAACATCGAAAGCAAAGCATTTGGATGTAAAGCGTTGACACAGTCACTAGAGTCACTGGAGCCGCTCAAGCTTTTTCCTTATGAATCTATATCTATATATATATATATATTATATATATATTATATATATAATACACATAATATCTATCTATATAATATATATATATATAAATATAATATATGTTTTTCCTTCGAATTTTGATCAAAAGCCAGTTCCGCCACCTTGCGCTCCGAGATACTGCTGCTGAATCCAGCGCCTGGACTTCGTTCGCAGAGAGCTTCAGCTGAGTGGCTCTGATGTTGTCCTACGGCAGAAATTCGTTGAATTCTGAATTCCGTTTCCGGTGAACACGGCGCATCCATTTATCTGGTTTCGAAGTTGTCATCATGCCACATCCTATGGTTGTCACACTTGTTGTCCTATGGTTGTCATGTGACCATATTGTGACCATATTGTGACCATATTGTGACCATATGCTCCTGCAGATTCACTCAACGTCACCAACCCCACTGACCACTGTGACCACTGGGACCAGTGACCACTGGCGCGACCACCACGCCTGGGCCTGGCGCACGTTGCGGACCCCGGGGATGGGTGTGGTGCCCTTGGCGATGCACCAAGCGATGGCCGCTTGCGACAGCGTCGTCTCTGGACCATGCTGCTGCGCCACGTCTTTCATGGCATCCAGCAGTCCAGGCCATGCGGCGTCTTTCCTCAGGAACAGGTGGAACAAAAATCAACAAACAGAGTTATTACCTGAGAAGGGGGGGGACGAAAGCCAGCCCCCAAAGCAATGCTCATGGTTTTTTTTGTCTCTGCGCTGAAGTATCTCGAAGTAAAGGCGGTTGCTACAGTAGCTGTTAGCATTCCACGATACTTTCGTCCAGATCAGCTCCAGCTCGGCCGTTTTAGGCCAAATCCTGGCCAGGAGCCTTTTGGAGCCAGATCCAGAGCAGAAACCTGTTGGAAGCAATTTTCTGCCATTTGGCGGCCATTCGGCCGGCTATTGCATTTCGCTTTTGGGAAGAACGGGAAACGGCTACATATACAATTTTAGAACGAACAGCAAGCAAACAGAAGCTATGAACCAGCATTGTGAAGCTAAAAACACATAGACCCTTTTACACACAGACCCTTGCAGACTACACACAAACGCTTTTACACACAGACACTTTTTTACTTCGACACACAGATGCTTTTACACACAGACCCCTTTACAATAGCTTTACACAGAAACACGTTGACACAGAGACGCTTTTACAGACAAACAGCTTCTCACAGACACACAGACGCTTTCACACACAGACCCGTGTACGCAGGGACAGCTTTACACACAGACGCTTTTACACATAGACCCTTTGACACACAGACCCTTGCACACACAGACGCCGTGAGACATAGACGCTTTTTTCGCACAGACACTTTTTGACACATAAACATCTTGACACAGAAATGCTTTTACACAGAGACCTTTTTACACACAGACACTTTTACACAGAAACCTTTTTACACACCGACCCTTTTACGCATACACAAAATGTTGCACACAGACCCTTTTACACACAGGCGCTTTTACACACAAACACTTTTACACACATACGCTTTTACACACAAAGGCTTTTACATACAGACCTTTTTACACACAAACATCCTTACACCGAAAGGCTTTTACACAGAGTCGTAGTAGCACACAGACTGTTGGACACACAAACATCTTGACACAGAAATGCTTTTACACGCAGACCTTTTTACACACAGACACTTTTAAACACGAACCTTTTTACACACCGACCCTTTTACGCATACACAGAATGTTGCAAACAGACCCTTTTACACACAGACGCTTTTACACACAAACACTTTTACATACATACGCTTTGACACACAGAGGCTTTTACACACAGAAGCTTTTACACAGAGACCCTTTTACACACAGAAGCTTGTACACACAGACCCTTGTACACACAGATATATCTACAGAGAAACGCTTTTACACAGAGACGCTTTTACATAGAAACATCTTCACACAGAGACGTTGCGGCATGTTTTTTTACCTTCATTTGTAAAGCCGAAAAATGGTCAAATAGTTGGTGTTTTCGTGTTTTTTGAACAGTCTCGGAGCAAAAAACTCCGGAAAAAAAAACCATGTTTTCTGACGCCTCGCAAGCCCGGAGCCTTTTGGAGCCAGCTTGTGGGACTTTCGCGGCTTGCGGGCCGGCAACTAAAAGGGCCTTCTGGGATCAAGGGGAAACGGCCATTTTTAGCCAAATCCTGGCCGAAGCTCAGGGGGAAACGGCCGTTTTAGGCCAAATCCTGGCCAGGAGCCTTTTGGAGCCAGATCCAGAGCAGAAACCTGTTGGAAGCAATTTTCTGCCATTTGGCGGCCATTCGGCCGGCTATTGCATTTCGCTTTTGGGAAGAACGGGAAACGGCTACATATACAATTTTAGAACGAACAGCAAGCAAACGGAAGCTATGACCCAGCATTGTGAAGCTAAAAACACATAGACCCTTTTACACACAGACCCTTGCAGACTACACACAAACGTTTTTACACACACAAACGCTTTTACACACAGACACTTTTTTACTTCGACACACAGATGCTTTTACACACAGACCCTTTTACAAGAGCTTTACACAGAAACACGTTGACACAGAGACGCTTTTACAGACAAACAGCTTCACACAGACACGCTTGTACACACAGACGCTTTTACACACAGACCCGTGTACGCAGGGACAGCTTTACACACAGACGCTTTTGACACACAAACATCTTGACACAGAAATGCTTTTACACAGAGACCTTTTTACACACAGACACGTTTAAACAGAAACCTTTCTACACACCGACCCTTTTACGCATACACAGAATGTTGCACACAGACCCTTTTACACACAGACGCTTTTACACACAAACACTTTTACACACATACGCTTTCACACACAGAGGCTTTTACATACAGACCTTTCTACACACAAACATCTTTACACGGAAAGGCTTTTACACAGAGTCGTAGTAGCACACAGACTGTTGGACACACAAACATCTTGACACAGAAATGCTTTTACACGCAGACCTTTTTACACACAGACATTTTTAAACACGAACCTTTTTACACACGGACCCTTTTACGCATACACAGAATGTTGCAAACAGACCCTTTTACACACAGACGCTTTTACACACAAACACTTTTGCATACATACGCTTTGACACACAGAGGCTTTTACACACAGAAGCTTTTACACAGAGACCCTTTTACACACAGAAGCTTGTACACACAGACCCTTGTACACACAGATATATCTACAGAGAAACGCTTTTACACAGAGACGCTTTTACATAGAAACATCTTCACACAGAGACGTTGCGGCATGTTTTTTTTTACCTTCATTTGTAAAGCCGAAAAATTGTCAAATAGTTGGTGTTTTCGTGTTTTTTGAACAGTCTCGGAGCAAAAAACTCCGTTAAAAAAAAAAAAAACGTGTTTTTTGACGCCTCGCAAGCCCAAAACCACGGTAGTTGCGGTGTTTTTTTGCTCCTGGAACCAAAAACCACGGTGTTTACAGTGTTTTATGGCCAGCACCTAGCAAAAACAGTGGTATTTACGCAGTTTTCAGCATGTTGCAAGACGTACTTTTGCCAGGCCAAACGCACAAAAACACCGTAAATTACAGTGTTTCGGCATTTGAAACCCGATGAAAACCGTCAAGAACCACCAACAAGGTAAAGCCGAAAAATGGTCAAATAGGTGGTGTTTTCGTGTTTTTTTGAACATTCTCGGAGCAAAAAACTCCGTAAAAACCGTGTTTTTTTGACGCCTCGCAAGCCCAAAACCACGGTATTTGCGGTGTTTTTTGCTCCTGGAACCAAAAACCACGGTATTTACAGTGTTTTATGGCCAGAACCTAGCAAAAACAGTGGTATTTACGCAGTTTTCAGCATGTTGCAAGACGTACTTTTGCCAGGCCAAACGCACAAAAACACCGTAAATTACAGTGTTTTGGCGTTTGAAACCCGATGAAAACCGTCGAAAACCACCAACAAGTGTCCAAAATGGAGCATCTCGTTCGGGCCCAAAAAACCAGGCAAACGGCAGGTCAGTTTTTGAGCTCTCCCCCCCCAGGCTCCGGCCTCACCTTTCAAAAACGGACCGATTTCGGGCCTCCCCCCCCACACCCCCTAGATTAGCTTCGCTTCGCTTCGCTTATACCTATACTCAAGCCCAGGCCTTCGGCTGGCTTTCGTGATATGTTATTATCCTTTTGCAAAGTTATGTTACAATGTAAAGTTATGTGAAGTTACTATGCTATATGATATGCTATGATATGCTATGCTCAAAGATAATCCATTGCATGTTGCTTTTCACGTCGGAAGGGTCATCTATGGTCATCTATGGTCATCTTGATGATCCTGGCATATCTTGGCCATGACATGTTTCTGTGTTTGGTCAACGGTCAGAGATATGCTTTGTTGCCGGGGTTCTGCAGCTTGTCAGAGATGGCAGCACGTGGACCAGATGGCGGAGTGCTTGGGGTCCACTTCCCTGTCAGAGCACCTCGGGTTCTTAGCCGAAACAGCGAGCTCTTTTAAGGCCAAATGAATAGATCATAATGGATCCGTATATCTATAATATTCTATTTTTATTCATATATCCACTGCACATGTATTAATGGTGCACATATCCACTGCGCACACCCATGTGCACATCTATTGAAAACTCTCGGTGTATATTCACTGCAAATACGCAAACATCCTATCTGACAGATCCTGGTAGCAAAAATCACACCGACTGCGCGTCACACATCGGCGGTCTAAATTGGTGCCAAAGCGCCCAAGGCCAAAGGGCTGTACGCCAGAATCTTCACGCCCAACTCGTCGCAGGTTTCTTTCATTCCATTCCTCCAGAAAATTAATGATATTTCAACAAAACATCACAGTATCATATGAGTATCATATGAATATCATATGAATATCAAGTAATGGACAAGGTCAGAAGACCAGTGCTCAAGAACAGCTTATCAACGACTTTGTTAAGTTCAAGATCTAAAGAATTCCTGTCACTGCTTGGAGGATGTGAAGAAAATGATCGTCAAATGCCAGTGCAAGCAAGCTGCAACTCTGGGTACCGATACAGCAGGCTATACCTCAGGTCAGCAGTAGCAGTCTTAGCCTCACAGTGCTGGCATCTGACTACTCGCCATGCCATGGCTTGTCAGTTGCTTGCGTCACAGGTCCAAGTGGTCCAAGGTGCTGGATCTGATTGGATGTCAATGGGATCCCTCGTTCACCCAAGGTCTTGCTGATGGCACGGACTGCTGAACTACCTGATGGCAGATAGGGACCGAAAACCTTCATGTCGATGAAATCTACGTATACCCAAGTTCCCCTTGCAAGCACATGACTGAATCCTGCTGTATGCCGCAGTATGCCTGTACGTAATTCTTTGGGTCTGATTGGGTCTGATTGGGTCTGACAGGTGGTCATGCATGAGTCATACATGAGTCATGGGACAAGTTGCCATAGTTGGAAACGCCAACGGCTTTCACCAAGCCCTGCTCATAGCAATCACCGAGGCCGTCCCAGAAGACCTCACTGCGGACATCAGGAATCAGGATGTGTCCATCTCCGCGGGATTCTCCCTGAAACATCACATCCTGCAAGCTTCGTTGCCTGAGGATCACGCCTCATTCTTCCAAACCTGAGCATTGATTATCTTGAACTTATATTGACATTATATTGATATTATATTGATTAGCTGGGGACATGTTGGACTGAAAAAATGATAGCACTGTGCTCAAGGGATAGCATCAACTCAAGAACACCATCTTTCGCTGGAGTCCAACGGTTCCACTCTCTCTCAACAAAAACAGAAGGCTGACATGCAAGCATAGGGCTGACGGGAAGTGAATCTGGTAGATGTCAATGGAATCCATTCCTCAAATTCCAGGGTTGTCTGGATGTGAACAAGGCTTTGCTTCCAAATACAATCGCAAGGGGCTGTCCAGAAGGTCCGAATTCTCTATGGATTCCAAAGATAGTCAAAATAATTTTACTGTTTCTTTGCAAATTTTCATCGGTTTCTTGACGATTCCACCTTCCGCATAAAGCATGCGAGTGTCCCAAACGCTCAAGGGAGCCTTTGCACGCTTTCACCACATCTTGTCGATCCAGCTTCCATGGAAAGGCCGCAAACTTTGTCGCGACCTGTTCAGTCCAATTTCCATATGTTTCCTCTGTCTTCCTCGGTATGTTTCTTTTCTCGAAGAACGGGGAAAATATTTGGAAAGAATGCAAATGATATGAGAAAAGTACAGCCTTGCAGACATGCCTGGACGTCCTTTGCGCCACTTTCTCGCAGGAATGTTCCCAGCAGTTCCTTCTCACGCGAACAAAGAGGCAACGCTTCACACACTTTCACTCTGCAAAACCATGAGAGCCATCACCCAAAAAATCTGTGACTTTCTTGCGAAAGCTCTGAACAGTTGGACACGTTCTGATGCACAGCTTCGTAGGCCTCACTGCGCCCTGGGCCGTAGATCTCCGCAGTATCGAAGAGCTTCACACCGCCCTTGATGCAGGCGTCGAAACCTGGAAACCAAACTGTGCAAATATGTGCAAATTATGCAGGCCAAAAACAAGAGCTGTATCTGGGTGGCAAGGGCTAGAGGCTAGAGAGGTTGGCAGTCCTAACAGCTGGAGTTCTGAAATCAAACCGTCACATGTGTTCTTGAAAATGCTTCAACTAGCTCTTGATGAATTTTGGACATGCTGGATTTGGCTCAAGAATTCATGAGTATTGATCAGAAATGATCAGAAATGATCGGAAAGAGGATGACCAGGATGAACATGTGGAACCGCACAGTTGCCGTGTGCTGCATGTGCTGCACCTTCTCGTAGCTCCTGGTCCTGCTTTTCGTTGTAGCCCCAGAAGAGGCGGTCGCCCCAGGCCCAGGCGCCGACACCAAAATTCGGCACTTGCAGGGCCTTTCCCAAGTTCAATGACTGAAGCGTAGATGCGAAGTGATAACGAAGTCTGAAACACATTTCTGAACCAGAAACATGATGAAACATGGTAGCATATGGTAGCATATGGTAGCATTCTGTGAACGATTCGGATGTTGTGACTCTTGTGACACTTGTTGTGACACTTCTTGTGTGTAGATCTGGCAATGCGACATGGATCCACCATGATCCACCGGTAGCTAAGTCAGCTAGTTGGCCAACCGTTGGGGTCGTGCCTGTGTGGCTTGTGCGGCTTGTGCGGGTGGCATCACAGGCGCCACTGCTGCAGGGGCAGCAGCCAGCAAATCCCGGCGACTGACGTTGGAAACAAAGCACTGAAAAGAAGAAACAGCTGAAGTGAGCAGCAAATAGGGGAAAAAAAATATATATATAATCATATATATATAGCAAGAAAATAATGGAAATATGATATGTCCGTGAGGCATCTATTTCGCATCTTTGTATGCCTTTCGTGGATTCGGTCTTCATGAAATCGTCATCTAGGCTGATTTAAGGCTAGAGTTTGTGCAGGTCCTTTCGCCTCATGGCGTTGCATTTCACCTTCTTTCTGCGTGTGGCAACACGCGCTGCCACACCCAGCGCTAGCAATGGCTTGGCGAAGGAAGCGGTCGAAGCCGTCGAAGCAGTCGAAGCAGTCTGGCCAGGCGGAACCTACCACAGAACAGTCATGAGTTTAATGATTTTGATCATTTTTGATCTCCAAAAAATCAAATGTTACTTTAATGATTCGAAAATACGAATTTGACTCCTTCAATCTTCAATATGATCCAATTCCAGACGTCCATCACAGTTTTGTTTCTTCAAATGGTCAAAATATGTCAAAATAGATCAAGGAACTGTTCAAATCAAATCAGTTTTGTCGCTCTCTCCGTGCCTGGCTTCTTGCAGGGCTGGGGATCGCGGCCTCTTGCACCCCGTGTTTCCACACATTGGTTGCTACGAAGGCAGCCATGGCTTTGGATTCCGAGGTGGTGCAAGTCAAAGCAAGTCAAAACAAGTCAAAGAATATTCTTCAGATTTGTCACTCAAGAGCAGCTACGGGACTGTTGGGAGCGACATGTGATGCCAACAAACGTTTGGACCAGCAAATGCTTCACACACGCAATAAACAATGTAAACATCCTTGTGCAACTTATTTTCATTTTGATCACTTGCGAATGCGCACATCACCACAAGTCGCACATCACCACAAGTCGCACATCACCACAAGTCATTCTGTCCCCAACACAGAGGTAGTCACAAATCCTGCTATGATTTTTGCGAAGCATTCGTCATTACTTATTAGTGCCAAAGATCCAAATCTTCCCACGGATGGTGAGGGGCTCCACCGGCTCCACCAGGCCTACACTGGGTGCCCCCGACGGCGTGGCACCGCTCTGATCCTGAGCTGACAGATCTCCATGCTTCGCCAAGAGCGCCTCAACGACCACCTGAAACCACGGAAACCGTACGGAAGACACACAGAGTTTCAACAGTTTCCTAAACAGAAAAACTACGGTGTACCCTACATCTTGATAAGACACAACCGACACCAACAAATACCAACAAATACCAACAAATACCTATATTTTGACTTTGAATCATTTTGCTTGGAATCGATCGGATAGCGCCTATGGAAAGTTTTGCCAACTGGCCAAACAAATACAGCATTGACAGCATCAGTTTCGTGGCATTTGTGTTTCCGAACTGAGAGCCCTGACAGAGAGTGGTCCCGGGGCAACCCCGCCGTGACTTGCGAGATTGACCACACGGTGCAAAGGTGTCTCCTGGCAAAACACGCAACGGACATTTGGCTCCGAATGGCTCTAACTTTTTCTGACAGAAAGATTGAACGCCCCTAGAAAAAATCATCAAACACAACACGTATTCTGGTGGTTTGAGAAACAAGGCTTGGGAATCGGCATCCTGAGCTTCTGCAGAACAAATGCATTGGTTCAGAGAAAGGTTGGCTCGGCGCTTGGGCTTGGTGGCCAAAATTTCACTCCCGTGAACAGCAACAAATATCTGTGAGAGTCAAACAACGATGCTTTTAAGATCTTTTAATATATATATATGATATATATATATATAACATTTCAACCTCGTTCTTTCTGAGTACCTTCTGCGCGTCAAAAGCAAACACCTAAAACCTTGGACCTGTGCTAACGTCTTCCACACGTATATTGTTCGCATGCAGTGCGTAGAAGATGGGTGACTCCGAGTGACTCCTTGGTATTGTCATCCAGAATACAGTCACAGCGACCTCAGTTGGTTTTCCAGCTGCACCTGTGATGAACAACCATAGACTAGACTATAACTGTTACTATAACTGCACATCTCAAATTATCAACCCCCAAATGAGCTAAACATAGCTAAACCACCAACACTACCAACATTACCAACATTACCAACACAGCTGAAAGTGTTTCAAGCTGCACTTGCACTGGAGCACAGTTTCTTTCCGTTGTTTCTGATGCGGCCAAGAGTTGGACCAATGGGCAAGTAGTTGGCCGCTTCGGCAGCTGCGGACATAAAAGAGGCCTTCCACCGTCGCGAGATGTGGCGACAGAAATGACGACTTCTGAAGTTTCTTCAAAACTAATTACAAACTCTTTTGACGTCGTTTTCTGTGTCTTTCTCTTAGTACTGTTGGTGGGCTACTTTATCGTAACTTCTGCCTGTCCTACACATGTCATGATTTTCCATTCAAATTCATTGTTCACATCTCGCAAAGCAGAAACCATTAGGCTGCATGATGCAGCAATTTGGCCTGCATCTTCTCCATGTAGCGGACCACATCTGATGTGCACCTGATCAGATTGAGATAATTGACATACAAACTTGATCTGATTGAACTTGAAACACCCATTGTGACATATGCCACAAGACCCACATCAACAAAGTGACATGGAGCTGACACGTCATGCTGTCGATATCTTGGTTTCCACACCCGGAAAGCTGAGCCGCGACTCCACTGTGCAATATTTGCAATGCCTCAAATAGCAAAAAAACATGAAAAAACACATGATTCTCACAATCCAGCCACATTGAGAAGGGCAGTATTCGATGATTCCAGAACGTGATTCTAAAAATGGTTCAAAATCTACTGTAAAACCGCCACACTTTGCCAACTTGACATGATCATCAAGTTCGAAATTTCAATGGGGCGGAGATTCTTGCAATCAGGCATGAAAGAGACACTCTTTACTCTTTCATTGAATTTGCAAGAAACTAATCCAAAGCAGGGTGTTGTAAGTGTTGTACACTTTCAGGACCAGTTTTGTGGGCCCACTAATTCCATCTAATTCCATTGAATATGAGATATATGATATATGAGTGAATTGATGGGGTGTCCATGGGGTGTCCATGGGACCCTCAGCTTCGCACCAGGAAAAACCACCGCAGCATCGACATCGCGTTGCGCCCGGCGACTTCGCCGCGGGGCGCAAAGTCGAAGCCCGGTGTCGATGCTAGCAATGTGCTGATGTGTGGAGTCTTTGTGCCTTCAGAAGCCCTCATTTAAGATGCGGTTACTATGCTTTTCTTGTTTTGGTTTTGGGATTCAACAGTGATGCGACATGGTTGAAAGATGTTGAAATAGTTGAGATGATTTGTGCCAAGGCTTGCAAGAATTTCATGCAAAATTTGGAACATGTTGCATCTCCCATGAACTTAAGCTGATGAAGACCGGGAACACGGAAACAATGGCAGTGTTGATAGGGCAGGGGTCATGCAGTTTGTCCGGTACATAGTCAGCGCAATTCACAGCAAGGCAAACCCTTCGCAGCACTCAAGGGTGTAGGGTGGATCTAGGGTGAGTGAGGGAATCATGTTCTTTTGAACTTGCATTTTGTGGTGAGATGTGGTGAGTGATGTGTGAGTGCAAACTGATGATGCCTTCTCTAGCATTTTTTCGTGTCTGTGATGCTACGTGGATAAACCTGCATTCCCAGGGCGGATACCTTGGAAACTCAAGCAGCAAGCAAACATCATTAACAAGACTCGTTCAACATTCATATACTCTATGCTAGGGGCGTATCATGGCGTATCGCATGTGTAGTTCATATGGCGGTGGTGGTGGCCGTGGTGAGCTTACATTCAAGGACCTCGGCTGCAGCGGCTGGACCTTCATTTTGGAACTCTGTGGGCTTTCCAGCGCTTTGGCTGAATGACGAGCTGCTACTAAAGGTTTTGGGTCACGATGCGTCACTAAGGATCGCAATGATCTTCAAACGGATCCGATTGTGTTTCTCCTCTCGATGTAACTGTTGACCTAACTACCATGTCCGTGGCCAGCAGGATTTTTCATGCTCGAAGCCACAAGAAAACCGCTCCATCGCCAGATCGTGCAATCATTATCTCGTCATCGAGGAAAGTGATGTTGAGATTCTCGTTCCTGCAACCCAAAACATCCAAAACAATGGAGGCCAATGATGAAAGGAACTTTGAAGTAGCAAATGAAATAATGTTTTAGAATATGCAGCTGTTGTGACGCCGTGAAAAAATCGCTTCGCAAGAAAGATCATCCTCGTTGGCAAAAGCAATTGGTCAAGCGAGCGAAAATGAAGTAGGAAACGCCTGGAATGGCACAGAGATGTGTCAGAAGCCTCAAATGTTGACAGGAATGGTTAACATTGACAAACAGCAATTGACTGAATCTAATTGTTTTTTTTTGGATTTTCTGAATTTCTCGAGATTCTAAGTCTCAACTTGAATCTCTCGCTGCAACGTGACCCAGTGCCTGGAAGAAATCACCTCCACCTTGGCCCGCAACCGTACCTGGCAGTTAAAGCATGCTATATATAGCGCGAACGGCAAAACATGGCCAAACTAAACCAATCATGCATCAATCATCCATTAATCATCAGAGATGTGGAGAGATTCAATTTTGAACAATGCAACACAACATGGAACATCAATTTTCAAAGGAACATTTGCAGCTGGCCTGTGTTTCAGGCACCAGCCATGGCACAAGAGCCGAACCCACAGGCGCCAAACGGGCACAAGTGATGAGCTCCAGCTCCTGAATTTCAAATGTGGATGCTGTGAGCCCTGTGAGCAAATAAGATAAATATAGATAAATAAGTTTAGAAGTTCGACAGCGCTCCCCACCTGTTGGGAGTCACCTGGCGCAGCCAAGTCGCAAAGTCCGGAATCTTGATGCAACGCTTAGTCGAACTGGAAGAACAGAACACAACAATTCAACAATTCTATGGTACTACGCTTCACTTGACAATGATTGCATATGATTGCATTTGCGCAGGACCTGATTTCGTGAACTTCTGCTCGATCTCCCCGCAGTCTACAAAGGGCATTGCACCCAATAGAAGAACCTCAGTGAGGCTGCCGTGGCCACAGAATCCTTTCATATCCTTTACCGCTCGCTCAAAGCGCTTAAATTGGCGCAGTGTGAAACGCCCCAAATAACTTGCGTCATCAACAAATGGCAAAAAGCTCCGTCTAATGCAAAAATGAAACAGCTGGCGCGGTACACCACATCAAACGCCATCTCCCGAAGAGCTTCTCCTCAACCGAAGACGGCATGCTTGAATCATCTTGAATACATGATTGTGTTGTTTGTGTGCGCATGTGAATGTGCTGTCAAATCCTGATATGACCCAACATGAAACTTCAATGCAGTGCGCTACGTACCAAGACTGTTCATACTTCTTGAAGACCCAGGCGTTCTGTCCGAGCCACTGAAACTGTGCCATCGACTGGCAGCGATCCATCTGACATTTTTTCCAACTCAGCAATGCTTGCCAAGATGTCGCCCTCAGTTCCAAGACTCTGCTTGATGCTGCATGGATAGATGCATGGAGCAGTGCACGGTTGAACAAACGACACCCAATTTTGGCAGCCAGGAGACCCGAAGCTTGAAGGACAATGGCCCAAAGCCACCTTGTTTGACAACTGGGTCTGGGGGCTTATGATCTGCAATCCAGGTGCAGGTAGCTGGTAAAAAAAAATAGTCTTGGGTTGAGAAGCACCAAATCTTTCGCACTTGAAACCCTAGGAATCCCTAGGATCCTATTTGGCGCATCCTATTTGGCGCATCAGTAGGGTCCATGGAGCTCTCTAAAAAGTACCCAGGATGTCTTATGTTTTTCTCGTAATTTGGCTGTGCCACGGTTGGTGCCCGCAGTCAAGCGGAGCAGGTGTGCCTGGAGGGGTCAAAGTCATTTGGCATCACTTTTCTTTTGACAATTTCACAATTCTGGCGGCAATTCTGGCTTCATATCGGGTCATATTGGTTATTGAAGTTATTGAAGTTATTGACATTACTCATGCGACAGAGTCTCGCCTTCAGCGCGAATGCTCCTGCCACGCGAAGCGCCGCTCCGCCGCTTTGGGGCGGTGCCTCCCGGCGCAGGAACCGTGCCACGGCCCCTGGAATCTGATCCAAGTCATCCTGAAAATCCTTAGCTCCAGCGATCTCTGGCGATGGCAAAATATGGAAAATGAGTGCTGGAAGCTGCTGGAAGCTGCTAGAAGCTGGAATTTCGTCATCTGCCACTGTCTGGCTGTTTGGTGACATCCATGCCACTTTCACAAGAACTTCTGCCATGCTCAGCGAGACTACAACGTATGAATGTAAGATGCATTTGGCCATCTTTGCCTTAGCTTGTCTACTTTTGTGCCAAGATTCCAAGGGTATCCAGGAATCACCCTTCAATCTAATCAACCTTGGGGCAATGCCTTCTCAAAGGGTTTTCACAGTACAAAACTTTGCCAACAATGACCAGGATGACAGCATGATGACGGCTTCACACTTGAGACCAAGTGAAAACTTGAGACCAAGTCAAACCGGAACAAGTGATACAGATCGATACAATGTCTGTGATATTTGCCAAATTTTGCCAATAACGTTAACAATGCTCTCATCAAACAAAACTGCAAAACTGCGTGCAGAATCTTCTTTTCTGCCGGGTGTCTCCACTGTTCGCGGTTGCTCTTGATCTTCTTCCCACTCCTGAGTTAGACCAGGCGGTGGATGCTTTTTATGGCTAAGACCGCTAGGACCGCTAGGACCGCTAGGAAGTGGAGAAAGTGGAATGGAATGGTTTGATCACATTTGATCGATCGATCCATCTTTGGATCTGCCCATGGCGAAATTTGGACACTCCATGACGGTCCTGAATACCATCGTCGGCCTCCCATTCAGCTTCCAGCTGCTTCCGGGCTTCAGAAATCTCCTGTGCAAAATGGTCGATGGTCCTGGATACCTTGCTGAGCTAACTTAGCAGACTTAGCAGACTTAAGCACCCTGCACATCACACCGCTCTAAGTTCTCAGTTGGGCTGTCGCCTCGTCCTCCTCGTCCTCCTCGTCCTCCTCTTGCTCCTCGTCGGACTCCTCCCAGGCTTCCTCCGTAATACGCGGGAGACGTGGAGACTGCCAGTGACAGGAACTGACATCGCCCGGCCTCGAGGCTCTTGGCCAGCTCCTTCCCAGGCGGAGGCGGGACGAGTTGAACCGAAAACCAGGAACATCAAACGTCTTTCGATGTCTTTCTATGTCTAGATTTTGTCTCTTTCAAAATCTTTTCTTGCTCCCTGTCGGTATCGAGACCCATTGGTGCACTGAAGTGATAGGCATATGTGAAACAGATTATCCTCAGTATGCCTCAATTTTCGCTGTTTCACATTTATTCACATTTCATATCATTTCATATCATTTGACCATGATCTCAGCGCTGTCCTTCTCCAACTCCGCTTCAATGGCATCTAGAGGATCCCAAGCGTCCTGATCAAGTGGATCAAGGGACAAAATTCTCTTGATACTCGCAACGTTCTGTTGACATGCAAATGTTAATAATGTTAATGTTAACAGTTAAATACAGTTAACAAATATCTAACACATATCGAAGATTAACGAACATTTGCAGCGCAATCCAATATGAGCTGTCAACGGAATCCAATGACTTGGCAGCTTACACGGCCCAGCCACGGCCTGGCCTGTGGGGGTTCCTTTTGTTGGCAGCCCAGCACCGACCTGGGCAGCCACGGTCACAGCCGAATGATACCGAATAAGTGAATAAGTCATCCGAATGTAACCTGCCACAGCCTTGCAACTCCTTGCAACTCCTTGCAACTGCCCTGAGAGAAACTTCGGACTTCCGAAACTATGGCGGAAGATCTTGTGAAGTTCAAAAGGAATCACCAAAGCTGCCGAATGCCGCAACTAATGCCCTAAGCTGGTGCTGATAGATGCTAAATGATGCTAATAGGCTAGACCTTGCTCCCCAAGCACCCCTCTGATGCACTGCAACATAATCGGTCGAGACGCAAGAGCCAAGCTGAATCGTCCTGAACGGTTGAAAGGAGTTGAAAGGAGTGAAATCATGATGAATACGGATGAATCAATATGAATCACGTGGGTCTGGAGAAACTCTTGGGATTCGTTGAAAAACTTGCAATGTGATGACCATCGCATATGCATAGGTTGCATAGGACGAAGGGACAAACGGCGCCTGCGGGTCATTGCTGAATTCCACTAGCAGCAGCCGCTTTGGCAGGGCTGCGGCAGCACGGATCTGTTCTGCCAGTTCCTGCCGGGCCAAGGAAACTCTGCAGCCCTTAAGGAGGTGCAGTGCCAAAGGTTATCTGTGTCAAGTTCTGATAGCAAATTCACATAATGAATTGTATATAAAATACTTAAAATATTTTATAATATTTTAAAGGTCAAAAAGTCCAAAATCAAATTTTCCCATGAAGCTGTCGTTGCTCCTCCCGGCTTGGGGTGAAGTTCCGGACATTTTCAGCTAGCGAAAGGATGCCAGGGAAAACCTCTCGACAGGACAGTGAGGCGTCTGCGCAAAGTGTTCCTCGAAATAATTCTCTACATCTTTTTCCATCTTATGCTAGCCCATTGCCCATGAGTTTTGCTTCAGTTTGATTCTTCTCCAATGTGTTTGAACATAACATATTTGAAATATTTTGAAATCTTCTCAAGCTGTTTGAATATTTTGAATTCTCAATTGTGTTCCAGGCTTGTCACACACAATGTCGCCTGTGCAGGGAAGTTGGACACCTCGCCACGCGGCGAGGACTCCAATGCCTGCAACGTACCAAGGCAGGGCAAAGGCGAAGGCGAAGGCAGAACAATGTGATGGGAGTTCTGCCGAGTTCTTGTGTTGCTGCATTTCTGAACAGTTCTGAACAGTTCTGAACCTTGCAACTTCGCAACTCTACACTTCTAAGATTTCTAAGCAATCAAAAAACATAATGATTGAACTTCGGCCAGACACCGCCGAACTCACCATGTCTATCCATGTCTACATCTCCAATGCCAAACCGGACCCACCTTCAACAGCTTGGGCCATGTTGGACTTGTCGTCTCCATCTCTGCAGCAGATGAGTTCAGTTCTGCCACACCACGGAGCAAGGCTTCAGCAAAACGGCCGCCTCAAAGAGTGTCAAGGGCTCAACTAGGAAAGTCCTGAAGTAAGCCTTTCGAAAACATACAACATCATACAACATTGAGTCCTTGACCAAACACAATAATTCTGTTCAATCAAGTTGAATCAGTAGAAAAATCACAGCTCACGCTCAGGAAGACTCTTCAAGCTTTGAGTTGTGAAATCTGCTGTGAATCCAAAATTGCTTCTTCCGTTCTCTTGTTGCACCTTGCTTCAGCTGCTTCTTAGAGATGCGCTTTAGCCCTCCACCTTGGCTGGAACCAGAAAAGGGTGCCTTGACAATCCTTGAGATAGATCTTTGACAATCATTCATTCGTTTTCCGACTTCTCTCTGCCAGGGCACTCAGCAGTCTCGCCAGAGGCTTCGGTAAGTTTGGCAAAGGCAGGCTGCGTGCAGGCGTCAATCCCAGAAGAACCAAACCTGCCGAACAATGCTGGCAACTCGCTACCCAATTTGCCAATTACTCGCCCGTTGTGTCTGTGGGGTCGCCCATGTTCTCGCAAAGGCTGGCTTGCTGTCATTCAACAAAATGTTGAGGACAATCCCACTATGATGGTGCCACATTTTTTTCCGATTTCTGAACATTCTGAACTCTGCAAAAAGTTGTGAAACACCCATCTGCAACTACAATATGTACAATTATGTACACATATTGCAGTGATGTCATCGTTTGCAGTTTGGATAACACTTCCCATGGCGCCTGCCCGGCGATGGCGGGTCGCCACCAGGAGCTGCACCACGGCACCGGTGCCATGGCCACAGGACCAGATTGGCGCCGTGGCCAAGCGCCGAAGGCCTGGCGTCTGACCGAAGTCCAGAGAGGAATTCCAGAGGTATTTAAATTAAATAGGTGAATCACTATGAATCACTGTTTGATGGAAACATATTGAAATATATTGAAAAATCGATTTGAGATGGTTTGAGTTTGGAAACTGCATTAAGCAATTCTGGAGACCAAAGTTGCCTTGCAATGTGCACCGGGCCTTGTCTTTGCAAAGAAAGTAGGACATTGTCCATGTGTTCTGCTGCCTGGGAAGCAGAACTTGCTTTTTGTGCAACTCATCACTTGGCTGTCGCACGATTCGCACGATTCGCATGACTCGCATGACTCGCATGACATGAGATTCTGAATGGCCGACTTCTTTGGCAGCAAGGTCGTGGTCGAAGCTGGAGTTCAAAGGCGTAGCAACCACCACGGCACCTCAAGGATTACAGTAGTGACTAGGCACGCTACACGATCAGGCACGATACTGCTTTTGGCAGTAACATGTCAAACTGTGAACACAGAGAGAGAGAGAGAGAGAATGCAAAAAAATTGTAAGAACAAATTATAAAATATTGTTGTTATATAAATTTATACATTGCAAATCTAAACATGTTAAGAACATGGAACGAACTCGTCACTGCAAGGTCTGCACCTGTCTCTTCTGCGATGGCTTCAAGGAATCTGCTGTACCTGTGGATAGGGACACCCGTGAAAAATCACTAAAATGTGTTGACATCCGGTGTGTCCTATCATTTGTATTTTTCAACATGCCGCTTGGTACAATATATGCTATGGTAGAATGATCTTTGGACCTGTCCCCTTCTTTGACATACACCACATACTACAGAATAGATCAATCTCTTGTTGGCATTTCCAAAAACTTCAAGAAAAGTCCACAGTTGCTCAAACATCCTCCAATCCGACTTGGAACATCTTTGGGCCGCAAATCAACACTCCTAACTCATCCATACCTAACTTGCAGTGCTTCTATCCGATTCTATCCAAGCCACGAAGTGCGGGGGAGGGAGCCGCTGATGGCACCACCCACAAAGTGCACCAAACAGCAAGGCGGCTCGGCCTTAGCCGCGACCACGTCACGTCACATCTCAATACATCTCAACCCTTGGCTCCATGGAATTCATTGCCAACAAAGAACTTTGGAAAATTTCAGAAACACCTATCCAGCATCATTCAGCCTATCCCTGTTCATCCGTTCCTATTTCCAGCTGTTTTTGATTGCTGTGAACACCCTTTAATCTGTCCGTGCCTCTGGAAAATACACTGGACAACCGGCCACCTGACACAACTGTTGTGCTTGGGGTCATTGCTGTCTCTGGTCTCTGCAAATTCAAACAGTCACGGACCGCAGCAACAACCACAGTCTACCGCCGTCTACGTCTACCTTTGTCTACTTCAGCGTCTTTCCCACCTCAGTCCATTGGCTTCCGCGCCGCCGTGTCCGGCGTAGCAGTCTGCCCCGTCTGCCCCGATGCCGATGAACCCGGAGGCCTGGCAGCAGTTTCAGTGTCAGGTTGGAGTGCTGCTGCAACGGTTGCTGCAACGTTGCTGAATCTTTGAAACCTTCTGGCAATGCACCACCTTGGTCAAAATCACAGCACAGACTCAGCAGTAGCAACAAACAGTGTGCCTGGGACAGCAAGTGCGGGTGCTAACCATACCCAGTGCTTGAACACAGCGTTTTGCCATGTTGTCACTGAAGGCACCTGAAAGGGCGAACAGAGAAGCACGAGTGATCAGGATGAAGATGAAAATGGAGGCAATCGCTGTATGACATCTTTGTTTTCTGTTTATTTTCTTGTACTGGGCTACTGGGCCGTCACCCGTGTCACCGCAACAAGCGGGGTCTTTGATGTTGCAATGCGTGTGGCGCCAGGCGGCAAGGCCGCACATGGCGAAGCTGCCATTGCAACAAATGACTTTCAAATGATAAAAATCATAAAACAACCGCTGCGAAAAGGTGCAAAACACACATGTGGATCGAACATGCCAATTGGCCCTGAAACTGAGATTACCTCTCACTTTTCATAATAATCTAGCCTGCCTTTAAATCGGGGATTCACATTTGCATACATTTTTTTTTCACAAAACAGTTCTGGTGATCAACAACATGTGAAATTACAGCGAATAGACCTTGTATGGCTTTGTATAGCGTTGTAATCTGAATGTACCCATGCACTTGCTCGGCTAACCTGAGGGAAAAACCCGACCATGCCAGCTGTGCAGGTTCCAGGTTCAAAATTCAATTCTCAAAACAGCTGTAACAATGCAGTTAAACGAAGGTGCAACTGTGACCCCCAAATATCGTTTCTCACCATTTTTTGTTCCGCCCTGCCCCCCCCCATGAAGTCCACACATGGATGCTCTATGGATGCTCTTTGTTCCTCCGTGCCGTTTTCAAACCGTGATTTGTATGACATCCTGGACATCATCATCATGTCTTCACCTTCCTCACTGTGAAAGGGCTGGGCACTTTTTGCGTTGGCCCATTACACTCACCAGGCTGCAAAGCTAGGAAAGCTACTTGGTGATGGACGGTGGTATTTAGTGGTATTGATGGATATTCATGGCAACACATAGCATCCCATCAGTACAACTATGTTTAAACAATGTTTCTGAAAATCAACTTCCACCTCTGCAGTGTCATTTCATGATCTTTTCATGTATTTTCACGTTTGGCTTGCTGCTTGCATGCCTTGCGGGTTTGGCACTTCACTTCACAATTTCAGCCTTCACACGGGAATCCGTCGGCTTGGGACACTTCTGCAGGTATTCCAAGAGCTGGACCTGCGCAGCTGCGCAGCCAGACGGATTTTTCATGGTCTTTCCAGATTTCGGAAGCTGTGATGTTTTGAAGATCCTTGTAGCAAACATTCAACAGGGATTGGACTCCGACTAGACGTGGTAAACAAATAAGTCATATAAAGTATTATTATAAAGTCATATGCCATATGCTTTTTAAGATTGTTGACCCGTTCTTGTAATCCACTACGAGTGACTCGTGTTGATGTCACGATGTCCCTGTCAGCAACTGTCAGCAACATCCCATTGGCACCACGATGCACCACGCCTTGGTGCTGCTGGGCAACTTCTCGAGCTCCGTGGGTGGCAGCTGTGCTAAGCGTTCCATGTTGGCTTTCTGCTCCTCCGGTTGATATCGAGGGATATATGGGATATCGAGTAGGCAAACTTTTGGGATTGGTCTTTGGAGCGGGTGGATCTTGATTGGTGGAATTTGCTGGTCATGAATGAGTTAGAAAATGTTAGAAACGGCCAGTAGATTGTGGAAGGGCGCTGATTGGAAAGTGTGTTTGGGTTCTTGCCACTCTGTAAGCAGCGCATGCAAAACTGAAAGGCAACCCTGATCAGTTCCCCGTCCTCAGTGAAGGTGGGGGCAGCAGGAGCCTGCCAAGGGATGGGATGCAAACTATGATTTTCTTCTTTTTTTTTCCATCCTCTTTCCACTGGCCTGTGGAATTGGCATTGGTGCCATTGGAGCCTTGCTTGGCGTCGCTTGACGTCGCTTTGCGGTGTGACCTTTCTCTGAGAGACTGGCCATGGGGGCCATTGGAGCCATTGGAGCCATTGGAGCCATTGGCCTGGGAAAGTTGAGGCGGCAAGTCGTTCCGGGTCTGCTTAGTAAACGAATGTGTTAGCCCTTTCTAATTTGTAGATCCAGTTAGATCCAAGTGAAAAAAGGCCTCAATTTTTTTCTTTCCCAGCGGTCTGCGGGTCATGCGGGTCCCTTGGTCTTCCGCCATTTCTCTCCATTTCTCCAGGCTCTCGTACCGTGCCATACCAGGGAATCCCATGGGAGCGAAACCGCCTGGAGGCCTTGGTGGCGAGCTCCAATGCTGTGACCCGATGGCCCCATCCGAGTGGGGACGATGGCGATATGGGGACTGAGATACTGGCGATGATTGGCGATTACTGTTGTATATCATTGGCGTATGCATTTTGTGTGAAGTATGAACGCTTCCAAGTATGAACGACCAGGTCGTTAGTATGGTCTGGGAAACAAATCCGTCGAAACAAAAACTAACACAATCTGAAACAAAGGCCTTGGGAAGGGAATCAAGTAAGGCAGCCAACGAGTCTGATCAAGTGTTTCACAGCCTGAAGATGATGGGTCTCAGTTACTGCAAACGTCATGTGAATCATGTGATAAATATGACTAATTAAAACACAGTGGTATCAGTACCGATGGGTACCGATTTCAATATCACCGTGGCATCACCGTGGCTTCGGGCGGCAGAAACGGCAGAGGCTGACCTGCGGTCGGCAAAGCTCTGAGCTGATTGACGTGACCCTCTGAATCTTTTGGAAAAGGAAGGGCTGGGACTTGATTCAATGGGTTCAATGGATTCAATGGATCATGATTCATTCATGATTCATTCATGAAATATGGAAAAACTATGGGAAAAGCATGAACTAATTGTGAGCTGAGGCTGGCGGCGCCTGTCATGGCTCCATTTTTGTCTGCGCACATTCTGTACAGGTGCCCTAATGGCGCCTGCGCTGCCAACACGTCAGCTTTGCGTGTGGAAAGCTGGGATGAAGAAACGTCCAGAAACGTTCGCGATTCCGATTTCGGCAGAAATCCTCGACATTCCAGGCTGATTGTGACTGGATGCCTACGATTGCCTACGTATCTAGACGTTCTAGGCGCATCATGGCGCAGCATGGCGCATCTAGAATCTAGATGAATCTAGGATAATCTAGGCGTATCGCTGTCGCGTCCAGGATTTCCATCCAAGCGCCAAGTCATTGCCAAGTGCCTGCAGCCATCTCTGCTTGGATCTCTGGGTGATTTTGAGACGAGCGTGGAAGTAAAGCGAAGAAATATTCCAATTTTGTTGCATTTTATTCAAATTGAAATATTTCTGTGAGCATCATTGCTCTGGCACGGCTACCAAATGCCGCAACCGGCGCTTGTCGATAGCGATAGCTCAACTTGCCAACAAAACACCATCGCCAGTCCATAGGCGTTGCAGTTTTGCCAAGTCGCCTCAGGTGACCTAGTGGTGGCTATCTGCCGGGATGGCATGTCACAATTGACACCAGTTTTGTCTCATTTTCTCTCCATCGGAGGTAGAATCTAAGAATGTCTTAAGAATGTCTTAAGAATGTCTTAAGAATGTCTTAAGCATGTCTTAAGAATGTCTTGATCTTGATCATCTTGATATGTTTACATTTTTTTCATCATCTCAACATCTTTTGCCATTTCAGCATGGTGAAGTCAGCACAACAAAGCCGTGACGTCACGTGTCATCCCAATCATCGAAGAGGGTGTTGAGCCAGACGTGCTGCAGCATCTCCTTGGTAAAGTGCAGTCAATGAAATCCTACGGAGATCCCACGGATCCTGCCGGCATTGCCCAAAAGGATTCGATCTCAACTATCTGTAACTCTCTGCAACTATCTCAACTCCTTGCTCAAGATGTCCACTGAATTAGTTCTCTGCAAAGAAAATCAAAGAAATACGTTTGGGATTCAACTGCCAAGGGTCAGTAGCACTGAGACGTTCGGCTGGGTCTCTCCGAATGCACTGATTGAGGAAGTCCTCACTTGAGCATCGCAAAAGGAGGCGCAAACCGGCACGCGGAAAGACCCAATGGATCCCAATGGATCCCAATGGCACAACATGGCACAACATGGCACAACGATGGCACAACGATGGCACAACGATGGCACAACATGGCACAACGATGCACAATGCGTCACGATACGACACAAGTTGCATCGTGTGCATCGTGTGCATTGTGGAGTCCTTGCACTCTCCGCTCACTTGCTCCGGCAGTGGTGGCCTCTCCTCCGAATGGAATCACAGCCAGCATTGCAAACCAAACTATCCAAACTCCTTGAAATGGGTTGTCTGACAATTCAATACAATTCATGCAAACTGTCCTGAATTCATAAGTATTATTAAGTATTCATGTCTAAGTCAAACCAATTTGTTTTCTCACCAACCTACGGTCGTGGTATGCCATCGTCCTGTGAAAGACCAATCTTCACCAGTGCTGCCATCTGATGCCTGCCCATTTTTGCACAGGTCTTGAGTCTTGAGGACAAGACTTTCACAGATTTTCACAGAAAGTTGGACAAACCTCTTGCAAAAATGCATTGAAAACAAGCAAACAATGGCGAACAATGGCGAACAACAACCATCTGGGCTGCATTCAAGCCACTCAAATCGCCCCCACGGCACATTGGCGGTGCCCATTTCCTGGCGACAAATTGGTGCAATGATTTGTATTGATTTGTGACATTTTGTGACGAATCAACAAAAATCCACACTTTTCACAGACTTTTCACTGATGCTATCGCAACACGCGAAAGGGTTTGATCAACGAGGAGGGATTGTGATGTATTTTGAAGAAGGCAGGAAAACACCCAAACCACAAGACATTAACAAACTATGAGCTATGCTGAGCCAGGCGGCGATGACGACACAACCGAAGCTCCAGAGATCGGCAGCGCGGCCGTAACGGGAATGCGCCAAGACCTGTCGTGACGTCGTGAAGCGAAAAGAGCTCAGCCTGCACAGCCTCTCCAATCACAATGTGATGATTTCTGAGTTATTGGACTTTTCCAATGGAATTAGTCGTGATGACCCATGGGCCAATTATATTACAGACTATTACATATTACATTGTAATATATTGTAGTGATATCACATATTATAATGAACAGTCTCTGAATATAATGTATATGGAATATAATATTGACTGTGATATCACATATGGATATATATATATATATCTATAATATACAATTATATTACATTATATATGGGCCAATTATATTATAGACTATTAATAGATTATATTTATTATATTCACAAAAGTATTGATTGCACAGTCTCTGTCCATGGCATATCCAGCTCGGTGTTTTGGTGACGTTCTCGGCCCGTGCTAGTTGGCCTCTGGTGCCATCCAGGGGATGGAGCCCCGCATGGTGTGCCTGGCACAGCTGTGAATCATTCTTAAACTCAGACGACTTAGATATACTTTAGATATACTTAGATTCATTGGATAACTTAGATATACTATGATATACTATTGATATACTATTGATATACTATTGATATACTTATATGTAAATCTTAGATTCATTGAATCTCCCAATATCCAATCTCCTCTGGCACTTGAGGCGCGAAAGCTGCATCTACGGCATCTGACGATATAGGCTTCAAATGACTTCAACCACTAGCTGCATCAAACTTCGAGACTTCGAGGCACGTCAAGGTCTCGTCGGTGCGCTTGGAGCAGCCGAAATCTGCCAGCTTCACCGTGTCACCTGAAGAATTTGCTGCACATCAACGGATACAAAATGATCAAAATGAAAGATAATTCTACAACATCAGCTTTCACATGGATAGGAATCCCCATGGCATGTTCGGCCTTGCCAAGCAAATGTTGAAGTTTCATGCCTCTACCTTGAATAATTTGAATATCCAGCAAGTTCTTTAAAAAACATGTATTGCAAAAACGTTTTGACGCGTTCCCACCAATCTTTGCATTGCCAAGGTGCCATCTCCAATGAGGATGTTACTCCCCTTGATGTCACGATGGATCACTGCTGGCTCCCTGGTGTGGAGATACTCTAGCCCTTCCTCGGAAAGAATGAGACATGCACTACAATGACTTGGCGAAACAAACAGCTCGCGTGAAATTCCTAGGACCTACATACTGCATACAGGCTGTTATTGCAATCTTGAGAATCAAACGCTGCAAATTTTGCAGCATGCATCCCCACTTGTTCTTCTCAACATCTCTCACATGTACTACTGAGACAAAAACTGTTGATTCTCTTCCCTCCTGGAAAAGACTACAAGAGACCACGCAGTAATTCCAAAAAAACCATGGGCAAAGTTCAAGCGGAACTGGGAGAGTCTTGTTTCAGCCATGGCATTTTTCCCTATTCCCGAGACAGACCCAGTAAACCATTTTTGTCGAGCAGCTAAGGTCTGTCGTGCATAGGAAGCCATCAGGCTCTCTGCGAATGCTCCGAAATCGTTCAAGGCCTCCGTCCAGATTCCAAGCAATTTCGCTTCGGCTGAATTGACATTTAGTCACTTTAGTCATCTGCATATAACTTTTTCATAACTTCTAATTTTTAGTCATTGTTGGAAATGTTGAGACACACAGTGCAGCCGGGAGCTGCTGAAAGTGCACCTTTCTGCAGCTTTTTTTATCCTAGATTTGTCTCCATGGATTCCTTCGATCCCTTTCAAGTTCTATCTGACAATGTTTTGTTCCTACATGAGCTGGTAGCCCCTTGGAGCCAGCTTGAGACCTGCAAAGAAACGACCTCAAGAAGGAGTCTGAAAGTCACTTTTTTTAGTCGCGTCAGGTCTCAACTGACCCCAAAAATCGCAAAACTTCTGCAGCATTTTGCTTGCCCGCTCCTGAGTGATGCTGCCACCGGGCACGTGCTCCAAATACAAATAGAGGCATTCGTCCAAATAGTCATGCCTTTGGTCGAGGGGTGTTTGGCACACAGAAACACCCATGAGGTAAGCTGATGCCAAGGCCAAGGTGCCCTAAATACTCCACGATGTGAGGATGCTTCAGCGCTTTCCTTGGCGGGGTGCTGGCCTTCGGATACCAGAGTGCCTCATATTTGTTGTGCACCCTTTGTGCCGGGGCTGCCGAGGCTCATGATGTTCACCTCGTTTTCCAAGGATTCCTGCGGAAACTCAGACGGTTTTAGTCTCCAGCACACCCGGAGGGAAAAATATGACACAATCCGGAGATTTTAAATTTAATATTTAATATATTTTTAATATTTAATATGATTTAATTGCCGGAAACCGGTCCCTAAGAGCAATCTACTCTCTCATTTCTTTGAACAAAGTCCCACGTCCCAAACTATGATCCGGTATATATACATCATATGCACACACACACACATATATATACATATGTATAGATATATAACATCCAATTATATGCACCCAGGCTGTCCTAGTTAAATTCCAGCATGCAGTGTCTGACGCGCCACTATCAATACTATCCTTTGAATTTAAATATTGGCCAGCACATCGTAACACGACTTGGTGCATTCATTTGCGTCCCACGCCATCCGAGGCCATCCCTTGTTTCACGGTCCCGAAACTTTGCATCACGGCGATCAGAAGAGTTGATCAGCACCTGGTCCAAGGCAAGGCCAACTGTTGCCAACCGAAGGTTCATTTTGATCAGCAGAGAGTGGCATCATCATAATCATCTTTCATGTTTTTCCATGTTTTTCATTGGGATTTGACTGAATTTACACTGGATTTGGATTGAATTTACACTGAATCTACACCATCACGCCATCACGAAGGAACGCCTCAGTGCAGTTGTCAACGAGCCAAACGTCGAAAGACCGGCCACATCGCTTTTTCAATCAAACACTTCGCAACAAATGCGGCTTCCTATTTTTGGAAGCTCGATGCCGATGGCCTTTGCCACAAGCGGATTGAACTAACAGAATACATGGCGGAGGTGACATCGGTTGTATTAGACGGACATTTCGTGAAGGCAGAATTGGCAACCGATCTCTAAGCAAATCTTGTCGTCATCTGAGTCATCGCATCACACTTCGAATTGTTGGGTGCTCCACATGGTCGATCTACCAACATCCCTTTGAAGGCGTCTATGGCGTATTGGACCCATCTGAAGCATTAACGCGCTGCCGCACTAATCCGCCAACACGGGAAGTGGGTCACAGATTGTCTCATCCACCGGACTTTGATACACAGCTCGCCCGACAAGCGAAGTATGAAACACTTGACTGTGGATCATTGTGGATCCAGGGTTGCTGCTCTCACTTTGAAAAATGCAACCCCAAGAATAATTGCAAAATGTCAAACGGCATGCACGAAGCATGATCGAAGGAAGTTTAGAAGTCAAACTTCCGACAGTATGGACAGATGAAGAAACAGAGGTGGGAAGAGCCAGAGAAGAGAAGCGAAGAGAAGACAAGACAACGCAAGGCAAGAAGAAAGAGAACGATCAGAGAAAAGAAGAGAAAAAGAAAGAAAACGGTCAGAGAGGAGAAAAGAAAGACTGAGAAGAGAGAAGGTCAAGGTGCGCGAAAAGTAGACAAGGCGCGAAGCACTGGGTTTTTCCAATGATTTGTGGCCCCGGAGGGTCGAAAAGTAGGCTCGCTAAAGCGGCGGGTGCGGAGCCATCTGGCAAGATGAGAGATGAAAAATTGTACGCCGCTGTGGCGCGAAGCACATTTCGAAGTCAAAATGTGCAAAACACCTCAGCTTCCGAACACTTTTCGGAGTTGAGATGTCGAAAAAGTGCACGCCGTTGTGGCGCGAAGCACATTTCGAAGTTGAGATGTTGAACAAGATGAAGCCCACGAACCCGAATGCTCACACGTATGTTAATGGTACAGATGTCAAAACACATGGTTATGCAGTGACGCACAATACCTTTCTGCAATAGTTTATTTGAACAGTCTTGTACATGTTTCCCTTGTTACCAGTCTGCAGTGTGGAGTGGAAAGTGTAGAGTGTGGAGTGTGGAGTGTGAAGTAAGGAGTGTGGAGTGTAAAGTGTGGAGTGGGGAGTGTAGAGTGTGTAAAGTGTAGAATGTGGAGTGTAAAGTGTAGAGTGTGGAGTATGGAGTGTAAAGTGTGGAGTGTGGAGTGTGGAGTGTAGAGTGTGAAGTGAGGAGTGTAAAGTGCAAAGTGTGGAGTGTGGAGTGTAAAGTGTAAAGTGCAAAGTGTGAAGTGCGGAGTGTAAAGTGTGGAGTGAGGAGTGTAAAGTGTGGGGTGTGGAGTGAGGAGTGTAAAGTGTGGAGTGTAAAGTGTGGAGTGCGGAGTGAGGAGTGTAAAGTGTGGAGTGTGGAGTGTAAAGTGTAGAGTGTGGAGTATGGAGTGTAAAGTGTAGAGTGTGGAGTGTAGAGTGTGGAGTGTAGAGTGTGGAGTGAGGAGTGTAAAGTGCAAAGTGTGGAGTGTGGAGTGTAAAGTGTAGAGTGTGGAGTATGGAGTGTAAAGTGTAGAGTGTGGAGTGTAGAGTGTGGAGTGTAGAGTGTGGAGTGAGGAGTGTAAAGTGCAAAGTGTGGAGTGTAAAGTGTAAAGTGTGGAGTGTAGAGTGTATAGTGTAGAGTGTAAAGTATAGAGTGTGGAGTGTAAAGTGTGGAGTGGGGAGTGTAGAGTGTAAAGTGTGGAGTGTAAAGTGTGGAGTGAGGAGTGTAAAGTGTGGAGTGTAAAGTGTGGAGTGTGGAGTGTTGAGTGGAAAGTGTGGAGTGTGATGTGTGGAGTGTAAAGTGTGGAGTGAGGAGTGTAAAGTGTGGAGTGTGGAGTGTGGAGTGTAAAGCGTGGAGTGTGAATTGAGAAGTGTAAAGTGTGGAGTGTGGAGTGTAAAGTGTGGAGTGTAAAGTGTGGAGTGAGGAGTGTAAAGTGTGGGGTGTGGAGTGTGGAGTGTAAAGTGTGGAGCGAGGAGTGTAAAGTGTGGAGTGAGGAGTGTAAAGTGTGGAGTGTAAAGTGTGGAGTGTGGAGTGTTGAGTGGAAAGTGTGGAGTGTGAAGTGCGGAGTGTAAAGTGTGGAGTGAGGAGTGTAAAGTGTGGGGTGTGGAGTGAGGAGTGTAAAGTGTGGAGTGTAAAGTGTGGAGTGTGGAGTGAGGAGTGTAAAGTGTGGAGTGTGGAGCGTAAAGTGTAGAGTGTGGAGTCCGGAGTGGAAAGTGTAGAGTGTGGTGTGTAGAGTGTGGAGTGTGGAGTGTAAAGTGAGGAGTGAAAAGTGTGCAGTGTGGAGTGAGGAAAGTGCCACGCTTGCCACGCAAAACGACATGACAACCTGCTTGGACACATTCGAATAGGAGAGGTTTTGCGGCTTCCCCCATAGACACGGCGAAACCACAGGAAAACCAGAGACTCGAGACGAGACACGTGGGAGCACCAAAACGAGCATTTCGTGCGAGACTTCCTCGAATTTTCACACTTTGTAGCTTCAAAATCGACGTTTTCCTACGAGTTTTCCTTAGAACCTGAAAATTTGCAACCTCAAAATCGATGTTTCGTGCGAGGCTTCCGTCAATTTTCAGCACATCGCACAAAATGCCACGCCTGCCACGGAATTTGCACCTTGTCGCCACTTGACGCAGCCCTGCCAATGCGATTTACAAAAAACACGCAGCACTACACGTCTAAAGTGCTGCGCCTGCCACGAAAAATGACGATGGACACGTCCAAAGTGCTGCGCCTGCCACGAAAACTGCAACACATCTTGTGAAAATGTCGCAAAAGTATTGCGCCTGCCACACAAAACGACTTTCGACATGTTACAAAACACCTCTGAATGTCACGAAGTGCCACGCCTGCCACGCGAAACGAAGCAACCCGACGTCTGAAACCTCCAAAAATGATCCCTCCTGCAGAACTTCCCATAGGCACGGCCATATGGTCCTCGCGCGGACGGTTGCGGACGGTTGCGATCGTGAACGCAACGTCGAGCGAACACACCCTCAACCCCCAGACCCCCAGAGTGAAACGGGAACCCGTGCTACGCATTCGGGAAAAAGTGCATGCCGTTGTGATGCGAAGCACATTTCGAAGTCAACAGGGTTAAACCGCTTTTGGATGTTCAAATGTTGTTTCGCATGGCAGGCGCAAGGGATTCGGTACTTTGCCAAAAGTGAGCAAAACGTGAGGGTTTTGTAGCATTTCCAAAAACGATGGCAGGCTTGGGACATTTGAAGAGGATCTGCAAAGATGCATTTCGCATGGCAGGCCCAGTCCAAGAGACATATTTATCAGAGATGTTAGGAGGTCAGGGCGCCATCTCCTGAGAGAGGTTGCATTTTGGAGCGTCAGATCTTCAGGTTTGCTAAGATGATTTTGCGTGACAGGTGCAGCACTTCGTATGACCTGGCCTCACTTTTTCGTGGCAGGCGCGGTACTTTAGACAGATGGAATGGAAAAATCGCAAAACGCATTGGTACGAGGCCATCAGCTCTGCACTCAACTTTCCCTTTTTGAAGGAAGTCTCGCAGACTTGCTGTGTTTTCAAGCTTGCAGATAGACAGATAGATATATAGACAACTACGACCACAACCACAAGTACCGCTACACTACACTACTACCACGGCTACAACTACAAATATACTACGCTACATTGCTATTTACACTAGCACAACAACAACTACTACAACTACAGGTGCAAGTACAACCACAGCTACCACTACACTACACTACACTACACAATGCCACACTACAGTACACAACACTACACTACACTACGCTACACTACACTACACAATGCTACACTACAGTACACAACACTGCACCACACTACAGTACATCAATTACATCACACAACAACTACAACTGCAACTACGCTACACTAATTACACTACACTACAACTACAGCTCCACTATACTACAACTACAACTACAACTGCGCTACACCACACTACATCCAGCAGTTGTGGGTGAGGTGACCATTGCAACCATTGCAACCACTCCAAAAAAAACAACTCCAACCACCTTTCGGTCCATCAGTGGATTCGCTCCGCCATCCATGCATCACCACAACTCACCTCTCCTATAGTGTCCTATCCTTGAAACTTCCGCCACCGCCTTGTGCGGTACTACTGTTAAAAGCATATAAGACATATAAGACATTCTGACACGAAACAGATCAATCCAGGATCCATGGGCCTAAATATGGGACTGCCCTAAAGACAACCAACACAATGTTGGTACGTTGGACCGTTGCCACTATACCTGGGCCAAGGTGAACAAAGGCGAAGGGTCTTTGAGTTGCACAGGATGTGAACAGGATGTGCCTTTAAAGGGTCTCCATATGCTTCAATTCAGTGTGCTTCAGTAGTTTGATTTCTTCAACTTCGACTTCGGTGCCCCAGAAACATCCAGACATGAACTCGCGATGCAGTTGATCCAAACGAAACTCAATCGTACTTGCGTAATCTTGCGTACAGAGATGTACAGAATCCTTGGCCATCTGACTAAATGCTTACAATTGCTTAGAATATCCCCCATCCCTGCATGCCAAGGGGATGAATGTGCCCAGAGGATTCGCAAAAGAATGGATCTTACAGTCTTACGCTCAAAATGGCAACAACATCAATTGGTATCCCCAAAAGCTCATATATATATGTATATATATATGTGTATATATATATATGTATATAAATATACATGTTATGTTATCTTATGCTTATGCTTATGTTTATGATTATGTTTATGTTACGTTACATTACGTTATGTTAGGTTGTGATATATATATATATGTATAGTTATATTATGATGTATCTACATGCTCTTACGTACATATGCGTCTCATGGGTCGCCAAGCCTCAAGGATCGATCCAATTTGAGATGAAATACTATTAGAAAAATCTTGGGCCTGCAAACACTGGAAAATCACAAATATCTATTTTGTCATTCTGGTGTCATTTTGTTGTATTTTTTTTTGTCACTTTATTGTCATTTTGGGAACGGGAAAATGCACAAAAATCCTTTAAAAATGACTCCCAGTCTGGGAAACGCAAGGGATGACAAAAAACAACAAAAAATGACAAAGAAACGACAAAAAATGACAAACAAATGACAAACAAATGACTCGCGTGCTGGTGAAATTGCGTTTTTGGACTTTGCAGCTCGGCTCCGGATCCAGCCACCCGCGCTGGATGAGAAAACGACAAGAAAATGCCAAAAAAATGACGCCGCAAAACAGGAATGAAAAAAACATGACAAAACCAAACGACAAAAAAATGACAACAATAAATATTCAACAACCCTCAGAGTTTGCTGGTAAGATTTTCATAAAAATACTATTTAGAGACGGCTTCCAACACGGAAGCTTCTGGAGCCGAAGATCACTACGATACCATACATGCATGTAGGTAGATAGGTATGAAATGGTATGAATGAATGTGAGTGTACGTTATATCCAATTTGAGTTGATTGCGGGACCATCTTTCCCATAAAAAAGACCTCAAGATTCTCCCTGATTTCTCTGACAAGATGCACATGGAGTGAGCAAAGAGCCTCACTCATCAAAAAGGGCTGCGACATGTACCAGGCAAAAGAATGGTATTGCACTCCCTCAATTGGTCACATGTCAGATGCCCATACATGGCCCACTTTGGTTCAGATTGACATTGGCTTCACAGACTCATCTGCTTTGATTTAGCCGTCGCTATCCTTTCGTGGCAAACACGGGGCCATGCATATGGTGATGTGTTTTCGTTCTGATGCGAACGCTTGGATCTGTCACATCCAGTGATCTGGACCCTGCACCCCGCTGCGCCCTGCTGCGCCTGCTTCAATGCACGAAGGCCACGAACGGCTTGGAAAACGTGGTGAAGTTCCTCAGCACCAGTCGGGAGTTGATGCCAAGTTACCAGATGTTACCAGTTAGCGCTAGTACAACTGGAAAAAATCGTTACAAAGATCTCATAGTGCCACAGTGCGCTGCACAACGTCACTATTTGTCCATGTTCATACTGAATCCATATTCGTCCATACTTGCCCTAGTTTCTTTCGTTCAGATTAGTCAAGGAACGGCAGGCTCTTAGTTGTGAACGACGCAGCTTTGTAGAAGGAGCTGGTGGCGTGATTTTTCCAGGAAAAAACGTCCTCGGAAGGGGAGGCTCCGTCACTGCGGGTGTCGATCCTTTCAGGCCCGTCCAGTTTAACCGTCAGTGGTTCAATGGAGTCCTGTGATCTCACCTGCCTTGTGTTCATTCCATGTTTACTCGCCGTTTACTCGCGCACTTTTTCTCTCCAATGAAAGCTACGGCGCAGATTAAGTGGCCTGCAGCACTGGTCCACCGGCTCCAGGAAAAATCTCTAGAAACATCTGATGACTGATGACGATGAACAAATCATGCTATGACGCTGGGATGCAGGCTCCCACACGCTGCCAAAGCCACACCGTGGCAAGTGAGACTGTTGAGACTGTTGAGACTGTGGCTTGCTGAAGCCTTCTGGATCTGTGGGATCAGTGTGAGGCAATGACTAATGACTGAAGGGCTCTTTCAACAGGCGATTTCAAAACGGTCACAGATACAGAGGCACTGAGCACAAAATGTTTGTGAAACAAACGGACCCAAAAAGGCCCAGCTACCCAGATCTTTTGAACAAAATAAAAATGCAACTTGTTGGCGTGGGAAGGACTGGGAAGCTGAATGAATCTTATATCTGCAAGGACTAGCAGGACCTGGGCATCTACTTCTGCAATCTTCTGCGCATCATCGTATCGTTATCTGGCATCCATCTCTTGCTCGTATTCCACTTCCAATCTGGGACCCTTTCGCCTCTTCTTTTTGGACGGGCCGCTCATGTCCTCCAGGTCAGCCCCAAAACCACCCTCCATCTCAACTTCCTCCACCTTGTCTTCTAAGTCATGTTCCCATTCCTCATCATCTTCGCCCAAGTCTTCCACAAATTCCATGTCACTTTCATCTTCCTCCAGAAGTTCTTGCTCATCTTCTTGCTCAGCATCTTTGTCCATGACGCTGTCAAACTGTTTCTTGGGGAAATTGTAGATATCCTGGGTCAAGCGAGCTCAAGTGAGCCAAGCAAAGCTCTGATTCTGCTAAAATAGGACCATGCACGCATATTTACATTTATATAAGCGCCAAAGCAATCCAAAACCAATCTATGCCCACATAGATTGCATGGATGCTGCCAATGCTGCTCAGAGTCTCCATAGGTGCCCTGTTTCAATCTTTCAAGAAGCTCTCTCTCGATAGCCAAATCCACTTTTGCAGCTGTTTCTGCTTTCAGTTCTCGTGTGGCTTCTCGCTTCTCAGTCTTCTTCTTGATGGGCACGAGCTTGGGGCCACCCTTCAGAGCCAGCTTTCGCATCCTGGCTGCAGCACCTCTCTCTTGCTCTACTGTGATACATGTAAGGAACAATGACGACAACTTCTGTAAGATGTAAATACCAAGCCTTGTCACCCGCCCTCTTGATGCTTTGGTTCACCAGCAGCTTTTGATTTTTCTTTGTGCTGTAAATTTTGGCTCCTACTTTTTTTTTCCCCCCCCGCTCTCTCTCTCTCTATAAACATATGTATGAGTTTTGTCATGGTTTGCTGCATCTTTATCCAAGCTTTCCATGTCAAATGAATGCTAGCCACCACCCAATCGAAGCACCTGATCAACATCTGCCGCATCTTGGTGAGTCGTTGCTTGCACCGATTGATTACTCGATCTGGCCAGTACTCTAGGTGTTTGTTGATCTGCTCCAATGCTTGCAGGAAATTCTTGGACAACTTCACCTCAGTCCGCAATTTTAGACCGTCCTTCACCAGCCCCCTTCTTGGAACCAAACATGGTAGACCAGGTTGCTGAGGATTCCATAAATTACTCAGTGAACATATCTGCGATGTCAGATCAAGCCGCTCTTTCCCACAAGTTCTTAGGTGAATGGGCCCTCTCCACTGTTTTCATGTAGAGGTAGTTGATGCCCTCTTCCTCGATGATGGTTGCATATTGGCTGTTTGCCAGGGGGCACGAGTTCTTGTTGCAAAGGCCCGTCACATTGTACTGATTTCTACCTTGCATGTCATGGAGATGGATCTGCATGGTGACGAACATGGCAAGCAAAGGGGACACGGCATTAAAAGAGAACAGGTCGTTCTTACTGCCGCTTGCTTTGAACAATTACCCAAAGGAATCCGTGTAGAACCGTGGAAAATACAGTTTAAAATGCATGAAACAAATCCGAAAAATAAATACTACAGAAGTTATCCCGGAACTGACATCGACATGACACACCCCGACCAGGTCTGACCAGGCTACAGAAGTCTTGCTTTGGCGTCTTCCACCTCACCTTGAAGGAGCAAAAACCCTCGCCCAAACAGGCCCAAATGGTTTCATCGTTGTGCATGGCCGCAAACGAAGGCCACAAACAAGCTCACACTGTGACGCTGCACCAAAACAAAACCACCACTAATAGACCACTAAGAACAAAACAACCACTCTGTGCTACCGAATCTGATTCAATCTGATTCAATCATTATGTCACGTTTGCGGTATACCATGTTTGTGGCTTGACTTTGCTACGAAATGCCAATTTTAGACATCTTCAGCTGTTTCAGATTGTACAGTATCTGCATGTGGAGAGGTGGCGGGCCAGGATTTTGAGCCATCAATGGGTACCATTCGACACCTGCAAGGACACATCAAAGCTTTGCGAATGACTTGCGAATGACTGGAAACAAGAGAGGATCATTGTGATATATTGTGATCATTGATCATACAATCAAAATTAGCAAAATTTCATAAAATTCCGTGTCAGTGTTGGCAGGACTGCCACTTGCAAACGCATACGGTGGCTTTCCAATAAAATGCTGTGGCATGTATATATCATATGCATGTATCACATGTGGTGCTAACATATGCTAACAATTGCTAACATAATCATCAATAATCTTCCCTGATAAAACAGCTAAGCAGCTAACATCATCCCTAAAACATAGCCTGCACTGCACCAAGGATTGCCAAGGATCGCGGAGTGAATCAAAGTCGATATTGACGCTGCCATCGAGTTCCTGGCCCGGCGTGGACAAATGGGCAAAGAACAAACACTGAAACAAAGTTTAACAAATTCATTGAATTTCATTGAAATTCGTCAAACGCGAATTTCGAATGATACGGCTGAAACACGATGATGGCTGCTTTCCTAGCACCTTGGCAGAAAAAGAACTAGAGCCTCAAGCAATTAATCAATTTGGACTTGGACAATAGTTGGGGAACTAGAGCCTCAAGCAATTAATCAATTTGGACTTGGACAATAGTTGGGGTGATATCTTCCCTGGCCTTCGGCTTTTCTTTGGCCGGAGAAAACGATCTAATTTGTCCATCTTTTTGACCTTGGCTCCACAGACTCTGCTTGGACCCGTCTCAATCTCACAGAGGGAGCACCATTTGTCCGCCATCCTGTTTCCGTGTTCTGTTTCATTCTGTTTCCATATTTCGGCACCGCGTCCACATTCCGCTTTAAAGAGATGCTTTGGGCACCGGCAATGGCAACCCCCTAGGCCCATCAGGCCCATCAGGCCCCATCTTCGGCGAACACTAAGAGCCGCGCCGTTGCGGAGGATGGCGTAGTGAGACTTGCCCTGGCTGTGGTTGTCCAGGATCTCTTGCGCACTCAGCTCCTGCACGGATTGCAAGAGACAAAAACGGACAACCCGAGTGTGGTACCAACCTGGTACCATCTTGCCATATCTTGCCTGAATCTTGCCTAAATCTTGCCTAAATCTTGCCTGATGTAAATCATCTCTTGGATCCACTCTTCGCCAAAGAGTAGACTTCCTGTGGCTTGACGCACCCGTTCCCATTGGATGCTTCCCCTCCTTCAAGGCATCGATACCTCAGGGGAAGAATCAGCGCGTCGGGATTACAACTCAAGATTTCTCAAATGATATACGACTATGATGGTTTTAATGACCCCAATATTTTTTTTTCCATTGGATTTTCCATTCCCAGCTGCGTTAACCGACTCAAAGTTGATAAACAACTAGTGGTTCCTACCGATTGATCGAACTCGATGGACTAAACATATAACAGGTCAACAGGTATTTAAATGTATGACTCAGTATGACTATGATAAATCATAATAAGCATGGGACATTGCATGATAACATATATTAACATCATATATTATATATTTTAACATATATTAATATTAACTATATGATACGATATGTATCCGATATCCCTATGTGTTTGCCGGGCTACGCAGGATGGTGGTCTGGTCTGCCAGCTGCTGGTCTTCCGACAACGGCCACAGTTGCCGCGCGGTGCGGAAGATCTCCTGGGGCCATTGCCAGAGTGGGGCTGGAGATGGCTGCAGATGTGGTGAGGATGGCGGACTCTGAATCCAACAGAACTGAGGCCATTTCTGCGGGACGTTACTGAACAACTGAACAGCACCCAACCACTCCACACAACATGATAACTGCTGAACAAAAATACTAAAACAATAATGAATTGAAGACGTACGTGCTTGCCTCATATGGAGCTTTTGTTGCATCTTGTTGCAAGTGAAGCCAAGGTTGTTGAAAGCCAAGGTTCCGCTATGATGCGCATCGTGTTGTAGGGGTCTGCCGATCCGGCCTTCAAGAATTTGTCTCAGAAATGGATTATGCTTCGTATAATCTCCGTATACTTTATACTGTTTATAGCTCAGTTTTATAGCAACTCGCTGGGGAACATGATGAGAACACATGAGAATCAAATGAAACCCGAGAGGAAGCAGCTGGATCACCGCAGTGAAATTGGAAAAGCCTTGCCTTCTGCATCAAGGCTGGCCCGTAATACAACAGTGCGGGGCCCCTCCTTGGATGATTTGGCTGCAAACATGCAGTTGAACCCGTTGAATCTGTTGAACCCGTTGAACTGCATCTGCATATTTCACAAATGAGACTGCAAGATCTTGGTATATCTTGACCACCTTAGTCCCGCTAGTCAAATATCGTGGGCATGACTCTTAGTTGAGGCAAGTCTCTGCTTCTGCTGATTCTGCGAAAAAGATTGATCACAGCAGCCTGCACAGGTCAAAATGCAGTGGTGCTTGCTTCGTGGCAACTTGTGATACATGGGAGGCACATGAAGTCCGGGTGGCTTTCCCGAGGTCTCTTGGCAGTAAGGATGGTTCTATTCTAATACAGCTGGCAACAGTAGGCCTGCTAAGCCGTTTCAATCTCTTTGCACCAGGTCTTTCCCCAACTAAGCCCAATGGAGCCCACAGCAAAATCAAAAAGAATTACATGATCACTCAAATCAGTTTCCACCAGCCCAAATGATCAGGACTTTTTCTTTGCTGCGTGCAGGACTTTGCTGCGCTATGCACAACGGCTAAGGCCATAAATTTATCAACCAATCAGCCCTGGATGGAGTTCAACCACCGAATCAAGGGCTGCGCCATGGACTCTTCCCAGCCGGGATCTAGAAAGCAATGCGCCTGTCCGGGCACAACGATCTCTGATGCTCGTGGAAAGTAGCTGTGGAAGAAAGGATTCAGAGACCTGAAGTGCCGCAGCTACAAGTCCTGGAAAACACTATGTCCAGCACATCCTCACACCAATGCAACTGTCCCTACCATACCTCATACAGTACCGACTGATACTTCTCAAGTCCTCACATCTAATGTAAAAACCCAACTCTAATCCCAAAGAAGTCAAAGGCAGAAAAGGTACCTGGGTGGATAAATAACGTCTTCTTCTGCCCCCAGCAGCAGCACAGGCTTCTCAGCCATCACGGGAAAGCGCGGTCGTAGCCAAAACGGATGCTCCGTGGTGGGCCAACCGTCGCAAGGAGCCTGCAGCAGCCGCTGCACATAGCGTGCTTTGCCCCCTTCCAATGAGACGGATTCAGTGGTTGGCAGCAAAAATAATCGTTGCACCAACGAGGAATCCCAAATTCTCCCGGTGAAGAGGTAGAAGTAGAAGGCCACAAGACCGTACTCTTTGAACACGTTGGTCTTATGATTCATCATGGCAAAACCAGCTCCAAGTGAACTGATTGGAACAGTTGCGCTGAGGACTGCAGCATGAAGAAAATCACCTGGAAGTCTTGGAACAAAATCTCGAAGAAGCCTCTGCACCAAGATTCCTCCTTGACTATGTCCCAACAAGACCACGTTTTTCAACGACAAACTCTGAAGTGTGGCTTGGATCATTTGCAAATGATCTGAAGCGAATACTAAGCGCCCTGGGCGTAACTCCAAGATGTAGCTGTCGAAACCCTGCTCTGACAATAGCTGCTGAAGGGCTTGGAAGTACCAGGTTCCATGCCACATCCCCGGGATCAGCACGACTGGGGTTTGCTTCTTTTCAGAAGCCGCCGCGAGGTGAACAACGGTCCTAAGCTGGACGCGTGCCATGCACAATATTGACAACTCGCTGTCAAAGTGTCGTCACTCTGTCTGTTGCGCGGACTTTCTTAAAAACAATTAGCGCCCAAAACAGATTTAATACAACGAAAGAGAGAGCCAGCAATGTATGTCTGTATGCATATTTTATGTCTGCATCTATGCTTGAGGCCCAGGGAGGGGGGTGTACGAAAGCTAAAGGTCACATGAATGTGGGAGAAAATAATATACATATATAGGCATATATAAAGATATATAAAGTACATATGTATAGCGATATATATATATATATATAAATGAATAGATATGCATAGGTATATGTGTGTGTATATATACATATATGAAGAAAAATATTACAGAAAGAAAATCAAAACACGATATCGACACAAAGAGATAGAAATGCATATACATGCACAGGAGCTGCACAATGGGGAGGTTCATATGTAGAAGGCAGTTGCATGCTGTGTTTGGTAACATCTGATGGAGGTATAAAGAGCTGCAAAACATACACGACATAAATGCAAGTGATCTAGGACTTTGCAGCCGGCACCGCCATTGAACAATAGGGAGGATTGTATCCGGAACTGCTTTTGAGCTCACTGCGGAAATGTCAGACGATACTCATCCACAGGGAAGGGGTCAAGACGGTTGCAAAGAAGAGGTGTAATATTCAGCTTTCATTCGTAGAACATGTGAACCAAAGAACAATGTTAGTGTAAAAAGTTGGGGCCCCATCCAGAAGTGTAATTTTTGATGGGGCTCAAATCCTCAACTGTTGATCCGAGTCACAAAGACTTGTATCGAGCCCACTGAGCTTGGAATGTCTGAGCGAAAGAAGATGGGTACGCGATAAAGTTTGGGCCCCATCCAAACTTGTAATTTTTGATGGGGCTCAAATCTACACAGTGTTGGCCTGAGTCAGAAAGAACTCTATCGAGCCTAGTGAGGCATATTGCGCAAGAGTTCCATCCGAACAACACGTAATCTGCCGCTTTGAGGTGTAAGACAATTGAACCAAAGAAAATGGTTACTGTAAAAAGTATGGGCCCCATCCAAGATTGTAATTTTTGATGGGGTTAAAAGCCTCAACTGTGGATCTGAGTCACAAAGAATTCTATCGAGTCCGCGGCCAAATTGATCGAAGCTCCGGCGACCTTGTAATGTCATGCTCTGATGAAGCATAGGGCGCAAGAGTTGTATCCGAACAACATGTAATCTTCGGCTTTGAGCCGCAAAACATCTGAACCAAAGAAGACTAGAGAGTTACAGAGGGACGGCCCTGGCAGGATTTGAGCCGGTGACCATCTGCTTCCGAGGCTGCTTCAAAATGCCCCGGGAGCTTTGGGGGGGAGGGGGTTCGAATGAAAAATCATTGTGTTGGACTCAGACCTGCCCCTCCCCTTGCTGAAGCAAGAGTGACTCCAGCTAGGTACCACTAGCTTTCGTGATAATATGTGTTGTTAGTTTTTTCTTTTTATCATGTCATAATGCTTGAAATATGTCATCGCAACTGCAGCTGCAACGCCACTCTCACCTGCCGAGTAGCAGGAGCTTTGGTCGCTTTGGCCGCAGCAAATAGGCCAAGCATAAAGCCGCTGCTGCCAGGAGGTGGCCGTGATGAATGCCAGTGCCAGTCATGGGATGCAGGCAGGGACAGATTTCAAAACGTTCGTTCCGTTTGTTCAATATTTGAGGCGTTATTTGAAGCAATCTTTAAAATGATGACGATATGCAAGGAAAGCATGTCGAACCGTTGGACTCAAGCATAGGAAATGACACAAATGAATGTTTGAAAGACCGGTTGGGCGGAATGTTTCTCTTTGGGCAAATCTTGAGCCAAGAAGCACATGATCGCCACCATGGGAGTTGCATCGCGATTGTGATCCATTATATATGCATTTTATTCATCTATCTATCTATCTATCGATCGATCGATCTATCGATCTATTTATTTCATGTTCTTTCAAGCTGCCACTTTCCGGAAAAATCATTGTCTGACTGAAACGGTGTGAATTGATGTGAATTTGTTGCTCCAGCTGCGATGTCTGGCCTGTGAGCGACAACTCTTCCGCCAAGGTCTCTTGATCTCGTGGCGGGAGATCACCTCATGGAGCATTTCAAAGATTTCAAAGGCTTGGGAGGGTAGAAACAAAGTTGGAACAACTGATAACAACTGCTCAGCCTCTTTGACAGAATCAACCAGCAGTTTTCAGATTTTAATGATTTCATCCAAAACTGAAATGTGAAATTGCAGGTCAGGATCACTCGCTGACACAACAAATCATTCCCATCGAACCCCCCCAACATAGTGGTGTCTCTAATTACCCACATGGACCATTGTTGGAACCCCTGTTTACCACAAAAACGAACCTACAAAATGAAAAGCCAGCAAGCACCAGCTTTCGTCATCATGATCATCATGATGTATACACTCCCGGAAATCGGTGATATATCAGAAAACCCCTCCCATCATTGGTTTGCCACCGTATGAAGATCACCCCAAGAAAAAAACTAGGGTACCGTTCAGAAACTTATCTTCCCACAGTTTTCCCATGATTTCCCGCTATACATCATATACATCCAGTAAAATCTCTAGTAAGAAATCCCCCATCTCCAAATGACTGGTCCGGGCAGCTGAAGCTTCGTAGCACCTCCAGGGCATCGCCTTGGCTCATGACGACCAGCCGCATCTTGGCCACGCGGAAGGGATCCGATGGCACTGGGCCCAAGCTACAGTCCGCCCGGCCCCAACGCCACTCCAAGTAGTCCTGCGACGAAGCGGAAAAAAATTGGGATATGATGCGATGTGCAACACACAGACACTTCACTTCACTTCACTTCACTTCACTTCACTTCACTTCACTTCACTTCACTTCACGCATGATAGGGAGTCCCTTGCAGCTAGTTGCACAATTCTCTAATTACAGCATCAGCTGAAAAAAAGATCAAGGGACAAAATCCTAGAACCCCTGAAAGTCGGGAACCATTGTGCAGAAGCACGTATGTCTTCGCACGCTGTACGCGCTTCCGAAACCCACTGACAGAAGCCAGTTGTGTGCTCTGCATGCACAACTTCTCTGGTTCCACCAGAGCGTAAATCAGGTCCAACTGATCTGTGAGGCATTGTGCCAACGCTGCACAGAATTTTGCAAGATATTCTTTGTGCCTGCTAGTTCTGTAGCTACCGTCACTGTTCTTCCCGGTATCTGGGCCGCCTGGGTCGCTCGTGTGGGGGCTTGAGCACTCTCTCAGCGACCTGCCGACTGGAGTGATGGATGGCTTGACTCGGGCGCAGGCAACAAAAAGCAGTCTTGCATAGGCGCGGCATGGTCGCACCGCGGAACTGGGCGGTTGCCAAATCTTCCTCCTTCTTGACGTGGGGGGTAGTGGAACCCCGCCTGTCTTCTGCTAGGTCTTCGTTCTTGCTGGACCGCGGACGAACCATATCTGCTTCAACAAATTGCTTCAAAAAATCTTTAATCTTCAAAACCTCCAACAACGGTTCTGATAGCGTCACAAATTCGGCAAAAAGGAATCCTGAACCCAAAGACAGGGAGTGCCATGCGCGGGGGAGTGCCATGCGCGGCGTAGATGAGGAAAGAACAAGGGCAACTGTCAATATCGTGCGTGCTGCTTGCACGGATGAGGTTGATTTAGTCTTCTGCGCTGCTTTTTGACCCGTGCGCCCGTCTGCGTGGCCTGCTTTGGGTGAGACGCCGCGAAGAGCTGAGAATAGTTGAGAAGAGCTGAGATAAGAAGCTTAGATGAAATGAGATGGGATGAGTTGAGACGACCTGACATGAGAAGAGCGGTGAAGAGCTGAGAGGAGCTCAAAAGAGAAGAGTTCAGATGAGCTGAGAAGGGGTTAGAAAAGCTCAGATGACATGAGAAGAGATGAGAACAGTTGTGATCACCTGCAAAGGGCTGAGGGCACATGAGATGCGATGAGATGGGATGACACAAACTGCAGTGACAATGGGATGCAGTGAGCGATTCCAAGAGAAGCTGCCACACGATGAGATCAGACGAAATGAGAAAGATCCACCAGTCAAAAGACATGGCGCCGGATTGACAAGTCAAGAGGTTGTTGCTGCGAAGCACAGAAGGCTTGCCCGCACCCTATAGGCACAGTCTTTGTTCCGCTCTACAGGCTATGAGTGTTTCAATTTTGAAACTTCCCACGTGGTACTTCTCAGTAATGTGACCAAAGGAAGTTTAGAAGTCAAACTTCCGACTTATGGACAAATGAAGCACCAGTGGTGAGAAAAGTCAGAGAAAAGAAGAGTCAGAAGAGAAAGGGTCACAGAAGAAAAAAGATGAAAGTCCGCAAAAAGGTAGAAAAGTCGCGAAGCAGTGTGTCTTTCCAATGTTTTGCAGCTCCGGAGGGTCAAAAAGAAGGCTCGCTAAAGCGGCGGGTGTGGAACCCATCTGACGGTCTGGTGGGAGATCAAAGATTGCGCGCGGCTGTGGCGCGAAGAGCGTTTTGAGGGAACACATGTTAAACAACCGTCAGTTTCGGAGCGCTTTTGGAAGTTGAGCTGTTGAAAAAGTCTACGTGGCTGTAGCGCGAAACGCATTTCAAAGTGAACATGTTAAAGGGCAGGCGCGTTCAATTCTACACTTTGCAAAAAGTGGGCAAAACGCAAAGGCTTTGTCGCAGTTGCAAAAAAATGACATACGATGACAAGCGTCGGACGTTTGAAGAGGGTCTGCAGAGATGCATTTTGCGTGAGAGGCGCAGTGCTTCACCAGAGATGTTAGGAGGTCAGGGCGCTGATTTCCTGAGAGGTGTTGCATTTTGGAACATAAGTTCTTCAGGTTTGTGAAGATGATTGTGTCTGACAGGTGCGGCATTTCCTATGACCTCCTCATTTTCCGTGGCATTTAAGCAGATGGAGTGTCAAAATCGCAACAGGCATTGGTACGAGGCCGTCAGCTCCGCACTCCAATTTCCATTTTTGAAGGAAGTCTGGCAGAATTGCTTTGTTTTTGATATATTTGAAGAAGTCTCGCAGAGTTTCTTCGTTTTGGTGCTTGTTTTTGGACCTTTCAACCACTTTTGAAAGCTTCCTTTCAGACAGATAGGTAGATAAATAGATGGGTGGTTAGGTAGATAGGCAGATAGAGAAAGAGATGGATATAGAGATAGAGATCGAGATGGAGATATAAAAAGAGACAGGGAGATAGTGAGAGAGAGGTAGAGAGATCCGTAGACGGATCGATAGATAGAAATATAGATACATAGAAAGATACATAGCTAGAAAGATAGACAGCTAGACAGATAGATAGATAGGTAGACAGACAGACAAACAAATAGACAGATAGACAGATAGACAGACAGACAGGCAGACAAACAGACAGATAGAGAAATAGACAGATAAACAGATAGACAGATAGAGATAGAGAAGGAGATATAGAGATGGAGAGAGACACAGAGAGAAGGAGACACAGAGAGAGAGAGAGAGAGAGAGACAGACAGACAGACAGACAGACAGACAGACAGACAAACAAAGACACAGAGAGACTCAGAGCCTCAACCACTTTTCGGTCCGTCAGTGGGTTCGCTCTGCCATCCATGCATCACCACAACTCACCTGCCCTATAGGTTGCCTTTCCTTCAAACTTCCGCCACGGCCTTGTTATAATATTAGAGTGGATGGCACGAGGAATCGAAGCAGCCACTGAGCCACTCAGCCACTCTGCGCACCAGTCACTCAGCCACTCAGCCACCACCACCCCCACCCCCTAAACCCCCGCGCCCACCCTTAACCCCTCAAACCCCTAACCCCAAACCACAAGGTAACATTACGCACTGAGTCACTCAGTCACTCTACTTGAGTGGCTGCACTAGCCACTAGCCACTCAGCCACTCTAATATTACGCAAAACTGAAAAGCGGGAGCAATGCCTGCGAACAAAGTACTTCCTTACTTCCTGATTTTGATGCTGATGATGATAATGAAACATTCTGTAAAAAACATCAGATTACATGGAAACTTGCCTGCCGTAACAGGTGAACAAAACGGCCTTTGTGCGGAAGTCATCGGAAGTCTAGGGATTTCCAAGGGAAAATGCAACCTGCGACGCGAAGGGTCCTGGTAGACCTGCGTCTCAGTCTTTGGTCCAAGGTTCCACACCACCGGGAACGAATCCTCAGCAGCACGCAGCGAGGTTGCACCGGTTGCACCATCCACGTCCAGAAATGTCCACAGAAACAGCCGCTATTAGCACAACTGCTATGGGTTGCTATAAAATCTATAAAATAAATTCGGAAGAATCTCAAGGCTATCAGGATCTCGAACAGTAGAATGTGAAATTTTGGCGTCTTTGAGACATACTCCACTGATGGACATGGGTAAGCAAGCCAGCAAACACACAGTACTACTCCACATTTCTGGTCAGTAGATAGTAAACACGCTAAACATGCCAAAATGCTCTAATCCTGGCACTTCCAGCTTCTCACTGTTTCCTTTCGGATCTGCTTCCAGTCAAGCAGCTATAAAATTGGTCAGCACCGGCAGGGGGAACCTCAAAGGAACGGGCAAATTCTGCAATCTGTGCGATGTTCTGACACTGAACACGTTTATATCATGTTCTTTTTGAAGCCTTGAAAAAAGCGTCAACTTGGGCTTTTCTGGAAAGACACTTGAGGACGAACTTCTCGCAGCCCTGCATGGGGAACGGTTCCGCCCCAGCTAAGTCGGCGAACCTCAGAGCAGTTGGGCGGAGTACCACGGCCATCTCTACAGGTCCACTGTGGTCCACATACAGTACGTGAACACACGGAATCACAATGACAGTTTGCAGATTTGGGCGCTTATTGATTTTCTTTCAGCATACTGCATGCGAATGTTCTGCACATACATGTAGGAAACGAACTACGCATTTGGGGATCTGTCTGTTGCACTCACTGTCGCTGCTTCTTACCAGGCTTCGCCTTGGACTTTACAGCCTTCCTTTCCTTCTCCTTCTCCTGCTTCTTCTTCCACGCCACAGCCACTTGGAAGGAGCGCTCCAGCTCAGCCTCCGAGTGATCCTTGGGTCTCACCCTGAAATGACCATTTTCAGCATGGAATCGAGCATGCCACAGCTGCTCCCCCACGTCCCACTTCACCCCGCGGTAGGGCACCTTGGGGTGGAACTTTGGGAGGGATACCAGGGTGGCCACCGGCTTCACGTGGCACTCGAGGCCTTCCTTCTCACGGTGCAACAGGGCCTTGGCTTCGGCCGCTGCCTTCTCAGTGAAGTAGCCGCCATGAATGTTCTTCCTTTTATTGCCAATGTTCTTCGCAGGGATCTGCACCCGCCACTTTTGCTTATCTTTCTCCCACTTCACCCCTGGCACTTCGCTGGTGAAGTTGGGGTCCTGCAGCTTCGGCTCGCTGAGGATGCCCTTCTCCACCAGCTCTGCACGGAAAGCCTTGGCGGCCTGGAGAGCTTCTGCGTCAGCCTGGGCCTCGGAGATGCCTGGGCCCATGAAGTTTTTCACTGGAAACTTCCGACCTGTCCTGGTCTTGTGGCCTTTTGAATCAACTTTGTAGAAGTCGACCTCCCACGTCTGCAAATGATTCTTCCACACGACATTCTGCAGCCCGCTTTGCTTCACCAGGTTTTGTCTCATGAACCGAGCTGGTTTCTGCTCCCCGGCAGGTGACGGGGGATGCTCAGCAAATGCAACTGCAACTGGGGCTTCTTTGATCTTTTCGTCCGTGGGTTTCTCCTCTGCAGCTGCCCCCACAGATTCAAAGACTTCCACGCCTTGCATGGCATGGCTGCCGCCTGCGGATGAGAGCCGTCGGAGCCCGTTCTCATCAAGCGCCCAACCACGACCAGCCCAAACAGAAGTGGGCAAATCTCTCATCCACGGCCACCTCTTCATGCAATCCAGGCCGCGGACCTTGTAGTCCTGGCACTGGCAAGAGGGGCAAGGAGCAAAACATGTCGAAAGTCGCAGTCCTGTGTGGCCGATATGTATCAATATATATATATATGTATATATATATACACTCTAGGCTCTAGGCTCACTCCAGACTCTAGATGAAACCAAGACTGACCACTGGTGGAAATGGTTTGATGATGTTTGATGAATAGATGCGGGGAAATGCAAACATGACATGAATATCATGAATAACATTGGACAACGAATGACAAAGACTCGAGCCCCCGGGGAAATCTACTGCCGTTCAGCTGACCGCTGAATCCGCTGACAGCTTTTTCAAAAACATTTGTCGAATGAAGTGAATGAACCTTGTGAGATGATGTTCCAGTCGCATCAGCCGAGGCAGGACACCCTTGCATACTGCGCCCCATAGAATGAAGCGCAATACGACCTGTGAGAATATGGGACAAGGAAACACACGAAACCCAACTAGGAGCTGTCTACGGGAGGGACGAACAGAGGGGCAGGATAAACATGATACACATCTAACCGTGCTGATCAGAACTTGCAATGCGCAGCTAGACGGCTAGAGAGGCCAGAACTCTTTGCAATCTCAAATGAGGCTGTGCTTGTTCGCGTAAGCTTGTTGACTCCCGTTCGCTCGGCCCCGTTATGCTGGTTTTAAAGTCCAGCCAACTTCAAGATTTTCAAATCACGTTACGTGCATTTGTGTTTATAATTGTTCACGCATACGCAGATATAGCAGTTGCATGTAGGAAACATCACTGTTTCAACGTCTGTCAACTGCACGATCAAAAATTGCTGCGCAACCCGAAGAGATTGGAGGCGGGGTACCATTTTAAAGGAAATGGTTTGGTGGGGGACAACAAAACTGCAGCTAGCTACTGCAGCTTTGGTGAATTGTCACCTCCGGTCCCCCAAATTTATTGCTGAGAGTGGTGTATTCATCACATTGCGGATATATTTTTGGCTCATGAGGTCGGTCCTGTATTTCCAAGTCACGATCTGACGTTGGATTTGGTGGAGATATTTGCGGTGTGCGAAAGGCCTCTGCCTCTGCAGGGAACTGTTTCTGAAAGAAGAAATTGTAGGTATATCCTTCTTCCCGTCTGAGCCAGGCATAAAAAGAAAAACATAACGATACTGAAGTATACCGTATACCACATACTGGTGCAAGGGTTTGAAGAAGAAAAAACTGGGAATGCCGCAACACCGTTAACACCTTGCCTCGCAGTGGAACATCATGCCATCAATGCCGTGCTTTTCGTGAAAGCGCTGCAAGCACCGCAAACCATGTCCAGTGAGACGCAGCACGCATGCTGGTGCATCTGTTTGGGGCGGGGATGGTGTTCCAATTGCTGAGCCCAAGAAGAAGTTTGCAGGGCAACAGGGCCTGCATTCGCAGGGGTTTGCCGCAATGAGATCTATCTCTAAAATCTCCAAATGAGAGACCATATGCCTCATGATCTACAACCCTATGCTTCAATATCTCCTGCGGGCTACCAGTGAGTGATATGAAGGAACTTTCCACATTGCGCTGATTGAATGGCAATGGTATCGAAATGTATCGAATGGTTACAACATAGTGAGTTGGGTCGTTTTTAGTGCGAAGTCTTAACCCATTGTATGGCTTGATTGCTGAATGATTGTTGCGATTTTTTGGGACTGAGTGGTCAGGATTTGACTGGCAAATCATTTCAAAGGAACCACCCCGGTTCGTTCATTTTTTTTTTGGGATGCTGTAGGCTAAGAATACATGGTGTCACGACAACACGGCCTGGTGGGACTCCAAGTCTTGGAACTCCGAAAAGCCAAGCACTGCTTCGCCCAGGCCGCTGCTTGCGAAGCGAATGCATCCAAAGAGCTCTCTTCAGGATCAGCTACGTCCTCCACTACACGGAAAGTGAAACGCAACGGCTGCTCAAGCTGACTTTGAACATCTTTGAACCCTTTGCCTTCGTATCCTAACGGTCCTACCGCGTTTGTCTTATTGTGTCTTTATAAACTTTAGATGTTTACCAAATATACTTTTCTGATGATTCTATGCATACCATCCATGCGGATCATCCGGGTCTCTCTGGTCTCTCTTCCCTCTTTATTCCAACAACTGTCCTTGCAATCTTCCCTGCCAGCACCTTCCATGTCACATCTGCTTGGTTCCAGCATTCGGCCATAACTCTGGGAGCTTGCAAAACCATTGAAGCCTCGAGTGCGCTGGGCACCCCCTTCAAGCTCCTCTTTCACCATGACCGGCCCAGGAGTGTTTCTATCGAAACTTGAGGACCTGAAGTCTTGTTCCATCTCTTCCTTGATCTCCTTCTTGACCAACAGCCAAAGATCGTCCGCCTCCATTCTTGTGTTCTGTGGGTTTCCAAACTTCATTTCTCTTTTGGCACTTCTCTCCTTTTTGACCTTCACGCAATCAGCAGGTTCTTTCTTTGCTGAGCTTGGACCCTCTGTCTGCATTTCCTTCGGTATGTCGCGGCGAATCAGGCGGCGACGCTTGGCACATGATGTCGGGGTTTTCATGGCTCCGGAATGCGGCGGCGTGGTACGATTCAGGTTCCCAGGTCGACAACGAGAGCAATGCCTGGGGTACTTGGAAAATTGAGCCGCAAATGGCAAGATGCGCAAGATGCATCAAACTTCAACACCTGGCCTTCACAATTCATCACAATTCCTCATATCCAAAGCAGTCCTGTCAGCTGACCAAACAACAATCTGGGATCTCTATTTGCGCATATCGCTCATCCAGTCGCTCAACTGTCGAAATGTTTATTTTTTGCCATACTCCGAAAACTTAACTCTATTCACCGACATTATCAGCAAACCCAACTCTGTATGGATGGATGTTCCCGCTCTTCTGGATCTCGCTGGGTTGAATATCGAAAACATAATGGAATCTGATTGGCGCTTTTTTTTACAAACACATGATGGCGGTAGTACGGCAAAGCAAAAACATGTTGCTGATTTCTTTGCCAACAAATGGAGGCTTCGTAATCAACAATTTTCAGGCAATAATTGTCAGCAAATACTTGCAAGAATGTGTACAGTAAATGAGATATGATGTGTGCGGGGTATGTATACTATAGACTTGTAAAATCTTGTTAATATCTTCAAGTTAATGCGTAAATACTGCACACACACACACTGTGATCAAATGACACACACACAGAGGAAGAAGAGCAAACCAACTTTCTGATTCATCTGTTCATGGTTTCTTTATGAAAGCTTTACGTTTCTTTTGGCTGGACGTCCAAAGGTTTGAAATGTGTCCAAGAAACCAGTGGACAAAATAGAACGCCACATCTTGTGACTTTTTCGTCTCTTGTCCTGCCAGGATGAACTCTGTCATGAGTGGATTGGATGAATCAACATGCATTCGGAACCAGTGTACTTGACGGAGTGTCCGTGTTCAACAGAACTTGTTAAATTCATTGGAGTACTGAGGACGTCTCGGGGAGTGGCAGGAAGAAGGAGATATCTGGAGGCCTCCTTTGATGGCTTTGCGCAAAGCACCGAAGAGGATCCCTGGCGGTGCCTCTGCTTGAACCTCAGTTGCTGCTCAGCTGTGGTTAGCCGTGGTCAGCTGTTCACCTTTTAGCACTTGGAAAATCAACCCATTGACTCACAGCAGATTGTGTAGATTTTGTCAAACATCTGATGAAATGAACATGAATCGGATGATGGGATCTGCTGAGATCTGGGATTCTCCATTCCTATCATTCCTTCCTTTCCCATCAGCTTTCCTGGCACCATTCTGACCGCTCACTACTGTCATTGCCACGTGGCCAACCAACCCATGTTGTAATCCATCTTGCCTCGGAGAAGCACCGCACCGGCAGAACCAAACACCCTCTAAACACTGCCTCCATGCGCTCCGCCAGGCAGTGGGAGTAACGAAAAACCCACATCAAGCCATACCATACCAATTCCCATACCTCTATATACATATTACATATATAATTATATACATAATTAGTATATATACACAGATATATATATATATGAATATGGCACATATGTTGATTCATATGGATTCATATGGATTCTGCATACCCTCCATGATAAGGAGTGAGGACATCGTATGCACCTCTGCTCTTCACCAATAAAGGGCCGAGTCGCAGTGGGTAAATCGAATGCTGTCCTGCTGACTCTTTGAGAGTCCAGCAAATGAAGGCAGTGCTTTCTGAAAGTGCTCCAGAACATAACCTGGGAACTCTGGGAACTCTCACTTAATGGCTTGGGAACCAATGGGAACCAATGGGAACCATCGAAAAAAGTGGCAAACCCCAATAAACCCCATCCCCAACCCTGGCCCAAACACGATCACCGTTTGGTCTGAACTCCCACTAAGCTTGGCCATCGGTAGCTCACTGCCAGTTCTGCAAGACTAACTCTTCCATATTCTTCCCTCATAGGGTCAGTTGGGAAAACAGATTCTTCTGACAGATTCTTGTTTGCTAAAGCTGCATCCGCCGACCCCGGCCTTTGCCAAGGCAAGGGCGGCGCCTAAGACCACCGGAGGTGTGGAACTTGGCTCTCGGGTCGCAAGCAAAGGCACACACCATCAAGGCAACACCTCTGTCAGCTACATGCCCCAGCCATCTACATGCCCCTGCCGTTTGCCCGGCCTCAAACCCTCCAAACTCTCCGCAGGCCTCCAAGGCAACAACTCTTACAGCTACATGCCCCTGCCATCTGCTTTTCAGGGGGTTCAAGACTGTCTTACAGCTACATGCCCCTGCCATCGTTTGCCCGGCCTCAAACCCTCCAAACGCTTCCACAGGCCTCCAAGGCAACGACTCTTACAGCTACATGCCCCTGCCATCTGTGTTTCAGGGGGTTCAAGACTGCCGTTTGCCCGGCCTCAAACCCTCCAAACGCTTCCGCAGGCCTCCAAGGCAACAACTCTTACAGCTACATGCCCCTGCCATCTGTTTTTCAGGCGGTTCAAGACTGCCGTTTGCCCGGCCTCAACCCTCCAAACGCTTCCGCAGGCCTCCAAGGCAACAACTCTTACAGCTACATGCCCCTGCCATCTGTTTTTCAGGGGGCTCAAGACTGCCGTTTGCCCGGCCTCAAACCCCCCAAACGCTTCCAACCCTCCCGCAGGCCTCCAAGGCAACAACTCTTACAGCTACATGCCCCTGCCATCTGCTTTTCAGGGGGTTCAAGACTGCCGTTTGCCCGGCCTCAAACACCCCAAACGCTTCCAACCCTCCCGCAGGCCTCCAAGGCAGCAACTCTTACAGCTACATGCCCCTGCCATCTATTTTTCAAGGGGTTCAAGACTGCCGTTTGCCTGGCCTCAAACCCTCCAAACGCTTCCGCAGGCCTCCAAGGCAACAACTCTTACAGCTACATGCCCCTGCCATCTGTTTTTCAGGGGGTTCAAGACTGCCGTTTGCCCGGCCTCTAACCCCCCAAACGCTTCCAACCCTTCCGCAGGCCTCCAAGGCAACAACTCTTACAGCTATATATACATGCCCCTGCCATCTGTTTCTCAGGAGGTTCAAGACTGCCGTTTGCCCGGCCTCAAACCCTCCAAACGTTTCCGCAGGCCTCCAAGGCAACAACTCTTACAGCTACATGCTCCTGCCATCTGTTTTTCAGGGGGTTCAAGACTGCCGTTTGCCCGGCCTCAAACCCCGCAAACGCTTCCAACCCTCCCGCAGGCCTCCAAGGCAACAACTCTTACAGCTACATGCCCCTGCCATCTGTTTTTCAGGGGGTTCAAGACTGCCGTTTGCCCGGCCTCAACCCCCCCAAACGCTTCCAACCCTCCCGCAGGCCTCCAAGGCAACAACTCTTACAGCTACATGCCCCTGCCATCTATTTGTCACCGCAGGCCTCCAAGGCAACAACTCTTACAGCTACATGCCCCTGCCATCTATTTTTCAAGGGGTTCAAGACTGCCGTTTGCCTGGCCTCAAACCCTCCAAACGCTTCCGCAGGCCTCCAAGGCAACAACTCTTACAGCTACATGCCCCTGCCATCTGTTTTTCAGGCGGTTCAAGACTGCCGTTTGCCCGGCCTCTAACCCCCCAAACGCTTCCAACCCTTCCGCAGGCCTCCAAGGCAACAACTTTTCACAGCTACATGCCCCTGCCATCTGTTTCTCAGGAGGTTCAAGACTGCCGTTTGCCTGGCCTCAAACCCTCCAAACGCTTCCGCAGGCCTCCAAGGCAACAACTCTTACAGCTACATGCCCCTGCCATCTGTTTTTCAGGGGGTTCAAGACTGCCGTTTGCCCGGCCTCTAACCCCCCAAACGCTTCCAACCCTTCCGCAGGCCTCCAAGGCAACAACTCTTACAGCTATATATACATGCCCCTGCCATCTGTTTCTCAGGAGGTTCAAGACTGCCGTTTGCCCGGCCTCAAACCCTCCAAACGTTTCCGCAGGCCTCCAAGGCAACAACTCTTACAGCTACATGCTCCTGCCATCTGTTTTTCAGGGGGTTCAAGACTGCCGTTTGCCCGGCCTCAAACCCCGCAAACGCTTCCAACCCTCCCGCAGGCCTCCAAGGCAACAACTCTTACAGCTACATGCCCCTGCCATCTGTTTTTCAGGGGGTTCAAGACTGCCGTTTGCCCGGCCTCAAACCCCCCAAACGCTTCCAACCCTCCCGCAGGCCTCCAAGGCAACAACTCTTACAGCTACATGCCCCTGCCATCTCTTTTTCACCGCAGGCCTCCAAGGCAACAACTCTTACAGCTACATGCCCCTGCCATCTATTTTTCAAGGGGTTCAAGACTGCCGTTTGCCTGGCCTCAAACCCTCCAAACGCTTCCGCAGGCCTCCAAGGCAACAACTCTTACAGCTACATGCCCCTGCCATCTGTTTTTCAGGGGGTTCAAGACTGCCGTTTGCCCGGCCTCTAACCCCCCAAACGCTTCCAACCCTCCCGCAGGCCTCCAAGGCAACAACTCTTACAGCTATATATACATGCCCCTGCCATCTGTTTTTCAGGAGGTTCAAGACTGCCGTTTGCCCGGCCTCAAACCCTCCAAACGCTTCCGCAGGCCTCCAAGGCAACAACTCTTACAGCTACATGCCCCTGCCATCTGCTTTTTCAGGGGGTTCAAGACTGCCGTTTGCCCGGCCTCAAACCCTCCAAACGCCGCAGGCCTCCAAGGCAACAACTCTACAGCTACAGGCCATCCTCAGGGGGTTCAAGAGGCAAACGCCTCTTACAGCTACATGCCCCTGCCTGTTTTTCAAGGGGTTCAAGACTGCCGTTTGCCCGGCGTCCGCAGCCTCCAAGGCAACAACTCTTACAGCTACATGCCCTGCCATCTGTTTTTCAGGGGGTTCAGGCCTCAAACCCCCCAAACGCTTCTCCAAGGCAACAACTCTTACAGCTACATGCCCCTGCCATCTGTTTTTCAGGAGGTTCAAGACTGCCGTTTGCCCGGCCTCAAACCCTCCAAACGCTTCCGCAGGCCTCCAAGGCAACAACTCTTACAGCTACATGCCCCTGCCATCTGTTTTTCAGGGGGTTCAAGACTGCCGTTTGCCCGGCCTCAAACCCCCCAAACGCTTCCTTCCGCAGGCCTCCAAGGCAACAACTCTTCACAGCTACATGCCCCTGCCATCTGTTTTTCAGGAGGTTCAAGACTGCCGTTTGCCCGGCCTCAAACCCTCCAAACGCTTCCGCAGGCCTCCAAGGCAACAACTCTTACAGCTACATGCCCCTGCCATCTGTTTTTCAGGGGGTTCAAGACTGCCGTTTGCCCGGCCTCAAACCCCCCAAACGCTTCCGCAGGCCTCCAAGGCAACAACTCTTACAGCTACATGCCCCTGCCATCTGTTTTTCAGGTGGTTCAAGACTGCCGTTTGCCCGGCCTCAAGCCCTCCAAACCCTCCGCAGGCCTCCAAGGCAACAACTCTTACAGCTACATGCCCCTGCCATCTGTTTTTCAGGGGGTTCAAGACTGCTGTTTGCCCGGCCTCAAACCCTCCAAACCCTTCCGCAGGCCTCCAAGGCAACAACTCTTACAGCTACATGCCCCTGCCATCTGTTTTTCAGGGGGTTCAAGACTGCCGTTTGCCCGGCCTCAAACCCTCCAAACCCTCCGCAGGCCTCCAAGGCAACAACTCTTACAGCTACATGCCCCTGCCATCTGTTTTTCCGGGGGTTCAAGACTGCCGCTTGCCCGGCCTCAAACCCTCCAAACCCTTCCGCAGCCCTGCAAGGCAACAACTGTTACAGCTACATGCCCCTGCCATCTGTTTTTCAGGGGGTGCATGGGCTACAAGAGCCTGTGATTCACCGTCTCTTATGGGGCTTCTGTTGTGGCACGAACCATTTTGTTTTCTTGCATGGTTTCCCAGCAGGCGTGTCATGGTTGACGTGAATCTGCCCAAACGAACGGCATGACCACACAACAGTTTGACACACCGGGCACGAGTGGGCATGGCGCCGCGTCTTTCTGCTGACACGGCCCTCCTTCACATAAAATTGGTTGCCGCATATGCTCCTATGGTCTATTTGCCTCGTTTTGGTGTTACTTGACGTTTCCCCATTGCAAAATGGGCATATGTACACGTAAGCTTTTGCCACTGTGCTGACACGGCCTTCCTTCACATAAAATTGGTTGCCGCATATGCTCCTATGGTTTGTAGCTACTGTTGCCTACTTCCCGGCCTCAAACCCCCGGACCCTTCTATCTATCTATCTATTCTATTCTATTCTATCTAATCTATCTAATCTATCTAATCTATCTAATCTATCTAATCTATCTAATCTATCTAATCTATCTAATCTATCTAATCTATCTAATCTATCTATCTATCTATCTATCTAATCTATCAATCTAATCTAATCTAATCTAATCTAATCTATCTATCTATCTATCTCTCCCTCTCTATCTATCTCTCCCTCTCTATCTATCTCTCCCTCTCTATCTATCTATCCATCCAGCTATCTATCCATCTATCTCTCCATCTACCTATCTGTCTATCCAACTGTCTATCTATCTATCTGTCTATCTCTCTCTCTCTCTCTATCTCTCTACCTATCTATCCATCCATCCATCCATCCATCCATCCATCTATCTCTCTCCCTCTCTCTACAGGACCCCCCCAATAGGGGGGGTCGGCGGCACCTGGGCGCTAGCCCATTCTATAAAGCTGCTAAGTGCTATGTGAGACTGTCCTATGGGTTGGGTTACCAAGGCACTCAAAGCAATGTCATGATCTCCAATCCTGAGTTCGTCATCTTGTAGCGGGATCGATCATTCAAATTTACTGATGACCCACGTGCGTACAACGAAAATGCACAGATTGAACATGGAAACCCACGATTGCAGGATCTCAGTAGTATCCCAGTATCAGGAAAATCCAGTTCCACACCCAATTCGTGTGGACATGTGGGGGGTATCATGCTGAAATCATGCTGAATCTGAGGATCTGCTCACCCTTTTTGTAGCCGTTGAAGTTTTTGACGCTGCAAATAGGCCGCAGCCTGTCCAGTTTCATGAGGTCGTGGATGCTCATGAGGACCAGCATGGCCAAGGTCCTGCCAGATCCCAGATGATCCCGTTGTGTATCAAATATGATCAAACAGATCTCACATCCACTTTATCCAGTGTATCTACACCAATGTCGCTCCAGCTGGCTATTAAATCTCCCATTGTCGCGCCGCTGTCGCGCGCGCCCGCCAACCGGTCAAAGGATTGCAAGGTGTGATGATCCAATGTGTCCTCTCAGGATCGTGTGGCCCGTTCTGCTTCTTCAACAACCCAGCACCGACGCAGAGTTTTTCCAGTCCATCCCAGTTGGCATTGTCATAAAAGGCCTGAAAGAAAAGCGGGAAAGCGACTGGGAAAGCCAAAGCTATGAATTTCCTGTGTGGAGCCACTGAAAGTTGAGATCACTAGAGCCTTGCGTTTCTTGTACTCCACGCTCAACTCCTGACTATCCTGACCTTGGCTTGGAGCACCAAGAGTCAAGATTAGGCAAGCCTCTTGCAGAGGAAAAATTCATGTGAGGTACGAACACGCTTCTCATTTTCAAATACACTAATACACTGCACTCAAATCACATCATCTCCATCCACTGTCTCCCTACCGCAGCCTTTGGTAATTGGTTTTATTTTGTTTGTCCAGATTTGCAGGTGGCCACTGGCTGCCACTGGCTGCAACCAAAGTGCCGTTGCATTGGAAGTCCTCCTCGGTCTTCCTTGGGGATGATGGCAGGACAAAGTGAGAGTTTTTTGACTGGACTTCATTTTGTATCTTACCCTCTGGTAAACTAACATAACTATGGAAAATCACCATTTTTTATGGGAAAATACACTATAAATGGCCATTTTCAATAGCAAACTGTTAAATTACCAGAGGGTAATCACTTAATCCAAACTTTGTGACACACCGAAGCCACTGGCCCACTGAATCCGATCGCCAGGCCGCGGTGTCCAGTCCTTCTTCATTCCAAAGCTAAAGCATTCCTTTCCATCGAGGTGCAGCCGCCTTCAGCGACCGTCTCGTTATTTCACATAGCCATGGAACATCACCATGCTATTAATAGGTAAACGGTAAACCATCTATTTCTATGGGCCATCTATACCATGGCTACGTGGAAAATAACCAGAGGGGATCAAAAACAATCCCAACATTGACCCAACTGGCGTCAGTTTCCACTTTCCGACAAGTTGCATGAGCCAAAAGATGCAAAACATTGCTCCAATGGTGCCTGGAGTTCTGCTCCAAAGGAGAACAAAACCATGGCATCGTGGAGATCCCCAGCTGCTCAAGCTGCTCAAGCCATCAGTTTATTGGCTGGTTGGTGGTTGACCTACCCCCATCTATAAATGGATGATATGGATGGTTTATAGTGGAAAATGCCATTAAAATATGGATGATGACTGGGAAATACTGGTTGGTGGTTGACCTACCCCTCTGAAAAATGATGGAGTTCGTCAGTTGGGATGATGACATTCCCAATATATGGAAAGTCATAAAACACATGTTCCAAACCCCCATCCAGTTGGCGATCACAGGTGATAAAAATAGTGGAACACATGGAACACCTTGGCGATTGGAAGATATAAACAATGATAAACAAACACATGGATTTTAACATATAAAACATAAGGTTTTCATGAATTTCCACAATGAAATATGTTGAACTAGTCCTACCATCAAGGCCAAGCCCAGGCGCGTTGGTACTCCTCGAAGGTTGAACGACCCGCAGACGTACTGGTCATTCCAGCTGAGATCTCGGAGACAGCGGATGTTCAGACTCCTTTTTTTGGTGCATCATGGTCCGAATCATGGTGCATATGCACCGAACTTATTCATGCTTGACGAACCGAGGAGCAAGAAAAAACAACTATATCAAACCTCCCATTCAAGACACAATCAAGGCAAACCCAGAGCAATCAAGCAGCTGATTTGGATATGTCCAAATCCTCTTCCGTCTCTAGGCAGTACAGCCGAAGTTCTGGAAAGGCATGTGTGATGTCGTCCTTGCCACAGTGGTCTAGGAATTTCGATGCAGAGAAGGGTCACCCAAGAGTTGTTGGGCGTTGCAAAGGCAAAAACCCATGTGAACGTACGATGCAGAAACGACTCTGGTCAATAAGATCGATGATGCACGAAAACACTGTATCAATGTAATATATTCAATATATTCAATATACGCTAGTTTCGTTGATGATGTTTTGACGCTGCCATTTCGCACAAAAACCACTTGTGGCTGACCATGCCTTCGACCAAGCTGCGTGGAAGTGCCTGGTGGTGTACTCCGGGGAGCGAATTTGCTCAGCACAGCGTTTGGCGAGTTCCCAGTTGGTGGTCTTTCCTTCCATCAACCGACTGATCAACAGCTCCTGGGCTTGACGGCAGACGGCATCGCTTGGGGGAATAAACACAAACACATGAAGGGTCGCTAATACTGAACATACTGAAGTATTGAAAACCACCCTTGTTTCCACTGGCGCACTGTTTTGACAATCACAATCCACTCAGCTGCACACTGACCAAATGGTATGAGTTTAGACTGTCATCCTTTTTTAAGTCTCAGTGCATGTGGGTTTTCGAAGAGGTTCGAAACACCTTCTTCTGTTGCTTCTCCCACCTACATCCACCTACCAAAATCAGACCCGTCAAGGCTCGTGGACTCCAGTCACTCTCAGTGGTTGCGGTAACTTCACCTTGTTGTTTCAGCGCCAACAAAGAAAAGTTGGTGGAACCATACTGGACGTTTATGGCGCTTTGTTGTTCATGCTTGAGTTATAGTTATATCCAGGATTCATTGCTCTTGCTCAGAGGTCCCTTCACAAAGGGCAGAGTACTTGACAAAAGTAGTCGCAAAACACTGAGAACATGATGTATCATGATGTATCAGTGTCCGGCTGCTGCGCATGCGGTACAATTTGCGGATTTTTGGGGCCCCAAAATCAACGCGTTTCATCACCTGCTCCTTCATGGTCGGATGCTTCCGCCTCGGCAGCGGAGATATGCCACCAGGAGATAGGCCAACCGGCCAACCCGAGTCATTTCCGATCCATAAGAGTTCAGATTCACAAAGGCTCCCGATATCGGTGCTGATAATGGGCTATGAGAATCCATGAGAATCTATGAGGATCTATTGACAGTTACTATGAGGATCTATGATGGCTATGTGAATCAGAGTTTGGGAGTTTTGGCTTCAGTTTTCGGTGCTGGGAGCCCGAGCTTCCGTTGGTAGAAGGTGCGGTTGTCACTCCAAGAAGGTGAGGAGATCAAAGCGAACCTAACCCAACCAGACTGGCGGTCAAACCCGAAGATCCCGAACCCTGTATTACACTGTATTTATATAATTGTATAATCAATAATATATATATATATAATATATAATATATAAAGTATATATATATAATATTCATCATGGTTTAGCTTCGTGACCAAAGGAATCCCCTGCCGAAACACACAAAGAATCAAACATGAAGCGCCGAAGCGCCATGCAGAGATGTTCTGCAATGGTCCAGGACTACATAGGACTACCACGGCTCGGAGATCTGGACAAGTGACTGCCTCACAGCGTACTCTCCGTCCAGCTCACTGGAGTTGATCCAACCCCACCTGGCCAATTCGTGCCCAAAACTGTCCAATCATTCACCCATCTTCACCCCATGAGGCCCAGGATGATGGTAATTACTAGGATGATGGTAATTAAGATCTCACCTTTACCAATAGACTTGGCAAATGTTGGATACGTGACGCATCGTGACGCCAAAGACTTTCAAGTTCCAACGTGGCTATCTCTGGCTGCGCCTCGTGACGATGGTGTCGATCTCTCCACCGCTCTGTTTCTGCCGCATCAAGGTGAAATCGTGCGCTGCAGGAAGACCGATGTGGTTCCAACGTTGATCCTGGGCCGTGTGGGCCGTGGAAGACACATTCGGGTCATCCTTAGCTTGGCAATGATGATGGTTTTAGCTAGCAGCTAGTAGGATCCTAGGGGCCTAGGGACTTGCATGGACTTGCAAAATCATTGGTCTGAAACAACTCTTGGCATCGCCTTGGAAAACGGGAGATATTGCTTAAAAAAAATAAAATTGCTTTAATTTTTTTCGTTGAAACCTAGATGCTGAAACCTGGCCCTCGCTCCGCCTGCGGGTTCACCACTTCCACATGCACCTCGTTGATATTGTACATCCTTGGCCATGGCCACAATTCGAGCAGGAAAAAAAACATTAAAAACCGACTTGGTCAGCCGGTCAATCAGTTCCTGATTCTCTGCGTCTCTCCTCTGCGTCTGAGGAACGTTTTTAGGCCAGGAAAACTGCGCGAATATTCCAGTTCTTGTCTGTTGGCTGCCTTGCAGTGGCCACCAATCACAGAGTAGATTTGGAACGGCCTTTATAAAGCTGGCAGAGAATGGCAGAGAACTGAGCTGGAGTCAAAGGCAGATTTCGATTGCCAGACCAGTTCTCAACATCGACAGAGTCTGTGAACATCACAAATCTGTTGAAACAAAGACTTGTAGTGACTTTTTGGTGCATAATTTGGTTGTAAAATGGTTGTTGGCCCATGGATAGCCCATGGATAGCCCGGCATTCCTCGGTATTCCTCTGAATGGTGTGCGGCCTCGCTGATGTGCAAACCTTCGCGCTGCATCGACTCGTGGATGCCCAGCTTCTCGGACAGCGCTTGAGTCACGCCATCCTGCCATCTCTCGTCCTTGGGCAAATAACACATTATAACACATTATTGACATTATAACACCAGGGAACCTGGGCAAAAACCACCTGGAAAGCCTGGAGCTCATTGATCTCATTGGTTTTGCTACAGTTTTGACAGTTCTGGGAACGTCTTCAGATTTTCAATGTGGGAAAAGCTGAAACGTTCTATTCCAGCTGTGCGATCTCCAAACCAAGAAACTTCTGCGATCCGCATGGAGAGCACACGCAACTGCGTCATGATATGCATCCGTGAGTGCTGCTGTTTGCTCCTCACCATGGCTAGCTGCCTTTGTGCGGTGGCTGTTCAGTACGACTAGAATCACAGGAATCACAGTTTGACAAAGGGATTCTCATTCAAAATTCGCAGGTGTGAGTGCAAACTCCGGATCACAATTCCTGACCTACATCTGGTAGATCAAGTCTAAAGGTATTCAAACAACAACAAAGAAGCAAGCTCGCCACATTCACAGCGGCAACCAAGGTCTAGTCCTGAGCACCAGGGCATGCCGACAATTCCTTGGTATGCACCATGCCGATGTCCCACATGTCCCATACAGGTCCACACGTAGTGTAAACAACTCATATCCGGAAGGGTTTCACCATGTTTCACCACTGAGATATTGCAAGTCATTGAGGGCTGCAGACTTTGTGGCAAGGGGTTGGGCCTAAGGCTTAGGGTTGGTTCAAATGATTGAAACATTGGTTTGCTCAAACGATGTTTACCCCAAACATATTCGAACCAATGGGGGGCAGGGGGACCCTGGTGAATTTGTTTAAACATGTTTAACTTCTTTTTTTCTCCATCACTCATTTGGGACATGTTCAAACTGCCCCACAACAGATTTTGTACATTTAAAAGTTTCAACGTTTTGGGTGTCATGGCTCTAAACAACGATGTTGAGACATGTTTGGACCGACTCTGGCGGGTATCGTGGCAAGGGTGGGCTATTTCATGCTATTTCATTTTATCGTTGTGCCTGTGCTGCTTCTGGTTTCGTTGATTTTCATATGGCTCATTTATGGTTGTTTATGGCTCATTTTCATTCATTTTCAGGTTGATGTTGATACCCATCTCTGGTATCTTCGTTGAAGTCTGGAAGATTGCGGCCGGTTCATCAAACTTTTCAAGGCGCCTGGGACCCCCAAAGGAACTGCGCTGAAACATCCTCGAACCGTCTCTGAAACTCAGCCAGCAGTGTGCAAAGCAGGATCTTTTCCCTGTGCGAATGGCTGCCCGAATGGCTGGATGGGAATAAAGGCACTCTTGGCACTTGACTTTTTTCTGCGCATCGTGTCAAGTGAGGATTTTCTGTGCAGGACGCAGCGTCAGAAACTGAGCCATGTTCTTAGCATTCGTTGTTTTTGCACTTATTTCCGCTGCTTCTTCCCAGGCTTCGCCTTGGACTTTACAGCCTTCCTTTCCTTCTCCTTCTCCTGCTTCTTCTTCCACGCCACAGCGACTTGGAAGGAGCGCTCCAGCTCCGCCTCCTAGTGGTCCTTGGGTCTCACCCTGAAATTTTGAGTTGCACCTCCAACAGTGGATTTTGCATGCCACTGCTGCTCAGCTTGGCTCCAATTCACCCTCGCGTATGGCACCTTGGGGTGGAACACTGGCAATCCGACGTATCTGTTCCGCAGAGTAGCCAGGGGCTTCACCTGGCGCTGCAGGCCGTGCTTCTCCCGGAGCTCCAGGGCCTTAGCCTCTGCCGCCGCCTTCTCGATGAAGCTGCCACCATAGATCTTCTCCTTCGAACCTCTTCTGCTGATATCCACCCGCCACTTCTTTAGCTCTTGTTTCCACTTCACCCCTGGCACTTCGCTGGTGTAGTTGGGGTCCCGCAACTTGGGCTCGCTGAGGATGCCCTTCTCCACCAGCTCTGCACGGAAGGCTTTGGCGGCCTCGAGAGCTGCCGCGTCGGCCTGGGCCTCGGAGATGCCTGGGCCAATGAACTTCTTCACAGAAAAGACTCGATTGGTCGAGCTGATCTTGTTTCCTTTGGAATCAAGTTTGGGGAACTTGACCTCCCATGCACAGAGATGACTGTTCCATTTGACATTGGGAATCCCGCTTTGCTTCACCAAGTTATTTCTCTGGGATCTATTTGGCTTCTGCTCCTCGGAAGGTGGTGGGGGATGCTCCTCAGCCACTGCGATTGGGGCTTCTCGAATCTTTTCGTCTGAAGGTTTCACCTCTGCAGCCCCCACAGATTCGAAGACTTCCACGCCTTTCATGGCATGGCTGCCGCCTGAGGATGAGAGCCGTCGCAACCCGTTCTCATCAAAAGCCCAACCATGACCAGCCCAAATGGAAGTTGGCAGATCTCTCATCCACGGCCACCTTTTGGTACAATCCATGCTGCAGACCTTGTAGTCCTGATGGTGGCAGCCCAGAACAAATGATCAAATTGTGATAGAGTGGAGTTGAATGAGGCAAAATCGAGTGGAAACAAGGACAAAATGCTTTTTCAGTTGAAAACAACTCTCTTAAGCACACCATGCATCACATCGCAAAAAAACCTTCAACAATTTGTGCACTGCAGGCTTGGATCCAGGAGAGTCCTGCATTCTCAAGCTGCAATCTGATAGGGGCTCTTCTGGCGACATGTCGGGCGTCTGAGATTCCTGTGCCTGCAGGGACTTGAGAAACATGTGGCACAGAGTGTTTGAAGTCACCCCCCAACTCTCTCAACTGTTGTCTCAACCCTGTTTGATTTACAAATGAAGGTTTGCCTCCAAACGCGATAAATTGTTATATAAATGAAATGTGTATCACAGCAATGCAAGCCTTATACCATGTAAACACAGTGCAGAAGTCCGGCAAACAGTTGGGCAGGCGGCAACATCCCTCCTGACTCTGGAACGTCATGCTGTGCAAGCTTTGCTTTTGGTGAAAGCGCTGCAAGCTTCGCAAGCTAGGTCCAGTCAGACGCAGCACACATGCTGGCGCATCTGGTGGTGGAGATGGTGTTCCATTTGCCGAGCGCAAAAAGAGATTTGCAGGGCAGCAAGGCCTGCGTTCGCAGGGGTTGTCGCCGCGAGATTTGGTTCTAGATGAGATCTACCATCTTTCATGCTACCATTTCTCTGCTCTAAAGCTTAAAACCGGGAAAATGTCGGCTGCCAGTCAAACAAATGGCCTCGCCGCATTGCAATCATTGCATGGTGCAAGTCAACTGTAGGGATCAAATGATTCGAATACAAAAAACATCAAAAAACATGGGCCATGGGTCTCTTTCCCAGTTGCTCAGCTCAAGGAGGATTTGACTGGCAGATCATTTCACAAGGGACAGCCCCGGTTGCTTCTGTGGGCTAGGACCAGGAATAAATGCCGATAAATGCCGTCACAACACGGCCTGGTGGGACTCCAAGTCTTGGAACTCCGAAAAGCCAAGCACTGCTTCGCCCAGGTCGCTGCGTGTGAAGCGAAAGCATCCAAGGAGCTCTCTTCAGGATTGGCCGAATCCTGGGCAGAAATTTGCAGTGGATCTAGGGAAGGCAAACTGCAAAGAAAATGTGAGCCGCTCAGCCGTCTCTTCACCCTTTCATCAGTACTGCTAGCCTTGTGAAAAGAATGGCAACTTCAATAAACACGTCGTTCCAATTCCATTTTGATAGTTCAGTCAGAGCAGCCCAGATGCATCTCTCATACCCAAACACAGTCCTCGTCTGCTTTCAATTTTGAAGCATCTTCCATGTGCTTCAGCTCTTCTTCCATCTCCTCTTTCATCACGATATCCTCAGGGCTAAGATCCTCCAAGTTTGAGGACTTGCAGGCTTGTTTTTTTTGTTCCTCTTGTTCTATCTCTTCCTTGATCTCGCGCTTCACCCACAGCCAAAGATCATCCATCTCCATCTTCTCCTTATCTTGGCTTTCAAAACTGATTTCCTGCTTAGCATTTTTCGCCTTCTTGACCTTCACACCATCAGCAAGTTCTATCTTTGCTGAGCTCGGACCCCCTGTCTGCATGTTTTGCTGCATATCTCGGCAGGTCAAGCGCCCGCGTTTGGCAGCAAAGGATTCCTCAAATGATTCCATCAGTCCTAGCTGCGGCGTGGTATGATTCAGGTTCCCAGGCCAACAGCTTTTGAGCGACGCCTGCGGTGCTTTGGAATTTGAGCCCCAAATGGCAGCATTGGCAGCATACAACATGAGCTTCAAACAGTCCGACTGCCAACATGTCAGCTGTCAGTAGAGAAAAAGGGCAAGATTTGGCCCTTCATCCACTATTTTGGGATGAAACTTGCCAAGGTACAGCACATTGGCCCAGATCCACACTTTGATGATGCGGACGCGCCTGGCAAATGTTTCCCAGAGTGTTGGAACATGTTGGAACCGTGTAGCCGTGTAGCCCAGACATCAATGGTGTCACACCTCTCCACATCGCCCTGTTTGAATTCTTGAGATCCAATTGATCCAATTGATCCATGACATGGGCCTGACGAGTTCCCCTCCCATTGGCTCCAGCTTCGAATGCTTCTTCTCGTAGACCTCGTCATAGAGATCCTGACACTTTTCGTGGACATATCGTAGCCGTTGGACTTCTTACTTGAAACTTACATCTTAAGTTTTAGCTTCCTTGCTTTGGCACCCTTGCGGCGCCAGAGTCCGCGAAGGCGGGATGCAAAAGTTTGGGTCTCACACAATGAATGACTGAAAATATTGCAAAGGTAGTATGCATGAGTCCCATGGCATTTCCCATCAACTCTGCAACATTCTGCGGGTGGATCAGCCATTCTGGTCCCACAGAAATTTCGGTCCGCAAAGCTCTGCCATGTGAACTGATCCACGGAGACACCGAAGCTCTGGAGCAGCGTCATCAGCTCCTCCCAGGGTGTTTGGACTTCAGGAACCACAGGATGTTCACAATCTTTTTGCTCCACACCATGCTTCTTCCATCTTCTTACATCTTCTTACTGCATCGCGTCTGGTGTCCCAACCTCCTCACTGTTGTTGGATACCCTGGTCCAGGTCCAGTGCTGAACACCTGCGAACGTTTTAAGCGCACCGCTAGTGCGAGTGGAGTCCGTTTCGGTGAACTGAGCCGGAGTGTCAAAGGAAAACCCATCCGCTCAGGGAAAACAAAGTGATCGACCGCGGTCGGTTTCCGGAAGCTCTGGGGGCAGCTTTCTAGATGGAGAATTTTTTCTGAAGACAAATCTAATTATTGGATAATTACTGGCCATTTGCCTATCGAATTGCACAGTGACAGCTGCAATCCCAGCCCCATACCCAAACAACGAGGCACCTTGGACCTGTGTGGTGAAGTTGTCCCCGGAAGGCAAACCAATTTTGGTCAATTCAGATCTTTGTCTGTCCTGGAGAGAGGAATTTTGATGGTGGGGCAATGGCTCAAGTGTTGGATGTTTGCGGTGCACCTCAATTGTGCCATGATAGAATGAAGACATGGCCATGACCATCACAATTACTAGAGAAAACTGTTAGAGTGGTCTATTCCGGTATACGTATATTGTAGTATAGCTATAATGCTACCATAATCCAATTGTTTCACTCTCAACCATGCCATTGAAGTCATGACATCCCTTTTGCTTTGCTCTCCTTGACCGTCATCTTAATGGTGTGGGTCTTGTATTTGGTCGGAATGCCAGGCACAGTCTCGGAGCTCCCTTGAGTCTCCTCCGAGAGACAACGACAATTGCGAATGCTTACGACACTGCAAAAACATCATGCACTGCTCTAAACCTCCCTACTCATCTCTACTCATCTATGCACGCAATCTACTCATAATCTACTCATACCTACTAACAGTAGATAACGATCGACATGGCCACCTTGAGAAGCGCCAGCCTGGTAAGTGTACGCATCTTTGGGCATGTTGAAACAGGCCTTTTGAGCAGCTGGACCTCAAACAACTCAAAAATGCCAAAAAATTGAAACGGAGTCTCACACTTCAAACAGCTGGAAACAAGGGTTTTGGCAGCAAATAGTTGGAAGTTGGACATGAGATGACATGAGTATGTAACAGCATTGTGGACGCCCAAGTTAGCAAGAGTTTCCCGTATAAAATTCCTACCAGTAGTGCCGCACAAGGCGGTGGCGGAAATCATAGGAAAGGTGAATTGTTGTGATGCATGGATGGCAGAGCGAAAGGTGGTTGGAGTTGTGCTTTTTGGAGCGGTTGCAATGGTCAGCTTAACCACAGCTGCTGGATGTAGCGTGGTGTAGAATGTAGTGCAAGGTATTATTTGTCGTAGTCGCAGTTGCAGTAGTAGTGTAGTTGTAGCTGTAGTTGATGTAGTTGTAGTTGTAAATGTTTTAGTTGTAGCTGTAGCTGTACTAGTCGTTGTAGCTGTAGTTGCGGTTGTAGTTGTAGTTGTAGTGTGCTGGGGAAGTGTGGTGAAGTGTGGTGAAGTGGAGTGTAGTGTATTGCAGTGGAGTTGTAGCTGTAGTTGTAGTTGAAGTTGTGTTGTAGTGTAGTTGAAGCTGCAACTGTAGTTGATGTTGTTGCAATTGCAATGTTGTAGTTGTTGTAGTAGTAGTTGTTGTAGTTGTGGTTGTAGTGTGGTGAAGTGGTAATGTAGTGTGGCGAAGTGAAGTGTAGTCTAGTGTAATGGAGTTGTAGCTGTAGTTGTAGTTAAAGCTGTAATTGGAGTGTAGTGTATGTAATGGTATTTGTAGTCGCAATTCTAATTTTGTAGTTGCAGTTGTAGGAGTAGAAGTAGGAGCAGGTAGTAGGTAGTAGGTGGTAGGTAGTAGGTAGTAGGTAGTAGGTGGTAGGTGGTAGGTAGTAGGTAGTAGGTAGTAGGTAGTAGATAGTAGGTAGTAGGTAGTAGCAAGTAGCAAGTAGCAAGTAGCAAGGTGGTAGTAGTAGTAGTAGTCGTCGTCGTCGGTAGTAAGTAGTAAGTAGTAAGTAGTAAGTAGTAAGTAGTTAGTAGTAGTAGTGGTGGCTACTAGTAGTAGTAGTAGTAGTAGCAGAAGTAGCAGAAGTAGTAGTAGTAGTAGCAGTAGTAGTAGTAGTGGTAGCAGTAGTAGTAGTAGTAGTAGCAGGAGTAGTAGTAGTAGTAGCAGTAGTAGTAGTAGTAGGAGTAGCAGTAGTAGTAGCAGGAGTAGTAGTAGTAGCAGCAGGAGTAGTAGTAGTAGTAGTAGTGGTGGTAGTTAGCTAGTTAGCTAGTTAGCTAGTTAGCTAGTTAGCTAGTTCGCTAGTTAGTTAGTAAGTTAAGTTACGTTAATTTACGTTAAGTTACGTTAAGTTAAGTTAGTCAAGTTAGTTCGAAATGTGCTTCGCGCCACAGCGGCGTGCACTTTTTCGACATCTCAACTTCCAAAAGTGGTCCGAGAATGGTGTGTTTTGCACATTTTGACTTCGAAATGTGCTTCGCGCCACAACGGCGTGCAATTTTTCATCTCTCATCTGGCCAGCTGGCTCTGCACGCGCCGCTTTAGCGAGCCTACTTTTCGACCCTCCGGAGCCACAAATCATCGGAAAAACACAGTGAATCACTTTTATACCTTTTCGCGCACCTGCATCTTCTTTCTTCTCACCCTTTCTCTGTTCTAATCTTCTCTCTTCTTCTCTTCTCTTTTTTGTCTTTGTGACTGTTCCCACCTCTGCTTTTCCATCTCCCCACGTTGTCGGAAGTTTGACTTCTAAACTTCCTTCGAATATCTGTCGTGGGTTGGGATGGGTTGATTTTGGCGATACACACCCACACAACGTTGCTGAGCCATGCGCTGAGCCCAAACTTCGTGCACAGGCAGCGCTCGACCTTCGAGCGCTCGATAGGCCACGGTTTGAAATCATCTACCGTAGCTATCATCATATGCCATAGCTTCACCGATGTTGACACTGTAGATCACGATTTTATATGATTTTATGCCATATGAGATCCAGCTAGTTTTGATTCTATCTTATATTATTGCTCTGTATCGTCCGTATCCTGTTGGGAAGTATCTCGCAGAATCTGCAGCTGCTGTGATCCCCCAACCGCTTGTTCCCACTGGCCGTGCTCGTTGTTGCGAAGCACCACCGCCAGGGGCTGGTTCCGTTTTCGCAGCTGACCACCAGCTGTCACCTCCGACTTGATGCGAAGCTCGAGCTGATGGCCCTGCGGACTGTGCCCAGTGGTGCTAGAGGATGAGGCGAGAACCCTTTCTGAAATCGACTGGAAGCTATTGGAAGCACCAGGATCATCACAAGAATGATCACAGATGATCACAGTAGAATCATGGAACTTCATGGAGCTCCACTGGATGTGATACTTTTGGGTGCTACGTCACGTCTCTTTGGACACTCAATGGTGAATGCCTTGCTGACCTGAACAGCCATTGCCCCAACATGCAAGCGCTGTTGCCTCATCGGTGCGGAAATGGAGGTTGATCCGCACCAGTTCCACCAGTCGAAAAAGTCTGCTGTCTTCGACTTTCAGGAGGCATTTCTCCTGCACAACACTTGTGGTATACTTGTGGTGGTTGCTCTTCAGTGTGCACCTGCTCCAGAAAAGAAGGTTTGCGAGGCAAATGCACGCAAAAAGCAACCAGTTTGAAACATGTCCTCGAGAACTGCAGTTTCATAGAACTGCGAGAGGGTATTTGCCTCAGTGGTAGTGGTAACTAACGAATAAACGAGGGTTCTTGATGGTTATTGGTTGTAGCTATGGCGGTTCTGGCGGAGTTTTCCGGAAATTCTAAGAGTCATGCCAAGTTCTCTGCTCAGTGATGAGTGTTTGATCTCCTGAACAGCCTAAAGTCCCCTTTTTGGAATGTACGTCGCGATTGATCTGGGTCCCCGACAGTGCCCTTTCCAAAGCGCTCAAGATCCACGTGGTTTGCCTTCAGCAAGTCACCTGGGTTGCAAATCCATCCATTTCGCGAGATCTGACGACTTCAAATCTGCTTGCGATACCAGCTCTAGGCTCTAGATTGCATGAAACTTGCAAATCAGAGATGTCGAAGATTTACCAATATTTACCATCTATGTATATTTATGTTGCAGGTCCGTTTAGCGGCTAACAGCTGCTAGCCTTTACGAAACATCAGATCTGCCAAGTGGCAAAACTTCTCAAAGTCCATCACCTCTTTGGAGGCCTCGGCACTGACCGCGCAATAACCGCAGGATCCGAAAGTCGTTTCGATCGTGAAATGATTAGTGGGTTAATATGGGTTAATATGGGTTAATAGTCAGTTATCCTGAGTTATTGTGTTAAATTATGACTCGAAGGTGAGGGGGGATCTCCCAGTTCGGAACCCATTGCTGAGCTTTTGCTTTTGAAGAAACATCATCGATCATCATCGATCATCCCATACTTTGCACGGGTAAAGCTGTGGCTCTTTGATCTTTTTGCTCGGCTCATTGGATCTCGTTGCTCACCGATCCTCTTGGAGGATCACCGAGCACTCGCAAGGCAACCAACAGAGTTGGTCGCAGCGATGGATACTCCGTGGTTTTCTAAGCTGCCGAGACAAACAAAGGGTCTCCTCGAATTTGCACATTCTTTGAACTTGCACAATTAATGTTTTGTTCGCAAACTAACACTCACAAAGGTGAAAGAACACTCGAATGATGCTCATGAAGAATTCTCATCGACTCTAGAGAATCATTCCTGACTTGCGGCAGCCGCACATTGCTTACTCCAATCTGCCGCTGGACTTCAACCGGTACATCTTGTCCGACCCAAAGTAGATCATATCGTAGTACCTAAAGGACTCCAAACTGACGTGTGCCAGGCCAGGGGTGGATTCATGACATGACATGAAATGCAAATATCCGGTGACTGACATCATGTCCTACAAATGCTGAGTTAGCTGAGTTGTATGGGGCACAACTCATTTTTCACATTTTTTCACCACAGGAAGTTCCAACATGTTCCAACCTGTGATCCTGATTGAGTTGGTACCTTTTGGTGCCCAGATGCCACACCACGGCGGAAATGATGGGACCATCAGATTGAAATTCCCAGGACTTCTCCCCCGTGAGATCCGACACGGCATACAGCACCCCGGCTTCCGTGCCAAAGTAGACCTGCCCAGCATCAAGGGCCGGAGCCTCAGACTGTGTGTGACTTTGGGCAGAATTCATCCAGCACACTGCACAAGAAAAAAATATGCTGTGAATATGCTGTGATGGGAAATTCGGAAATGAAATCCACTTTGTTCAACAAATTTCTTACTGATTTTCATTGGGTGCCAAGTATATAAGTCTCATTCTGTCCAATTCAAATGGATCACCTAGAAACTTGATTGAATGGATCAGAATTGGGTCAGTGTGCCTTTCGAACCTTGCACCAAGGCACTTTGGAGGAACGGATGGGACTGAAGGCATTATAGCTCCAAATGACTGCGCCATTCATCTCGTCCAAAGCATACATCATGCCATCATCGCAACCAAAGTACACAAAACCTCCAGGGTTTCATAAAATTTCATCAGCAACATTATACTGTATAACAATCATTAACACATCATCAACCCTGACCTGTCTAGCTGTCCCTGAAACACGGCGTGTTTTGGATTGGATGATCCATGATGATCCCCACCTCGGTGTACGGCTGCAGAGGTGTAGATGGGTGCCTTGGCATCAAATTCCCAGTTGGCCGTGCCCAGGCGCTCGCTGAGGGCGTAGAAAATGCCGCTGCCGCTCCCAAAGAGCACCTGCTGAGGGATATGACTTGATATGACTCAAAACACGGCATAAATGGATGAACATGATGGTAAGTCATGGTAAAAGTGATGGTAAAAGTGATGGTAAATGATGGAAAATAACATACAGAACTGTGGAGTCCAACGAATCCCAACTATATTTCTCCATCACTTTGTCCGCTGCCGTAATTTTCCGCAACCAATTTTCCTGTATCTGCACATCTTCCATCATCTTCCGGCCTGATCCCAATGCAGCATGGGTTCGGTGCGCACCGGACCGGATGCATTGAAGCGCCACGATAAACGACCATCACCTCAGATCGCAGCCGTCGCCATCACTGCCATCACAACACGCCAACTGCCACAACTGCCACCAGCTGAAATCGAGCGGCTCTCGCTGACGGAATAGATAAATCCATCATCCGAGCCGAAATACACCTGGCAATTCCCAGCTTAAACGACTGAGGGCTGAGTGGGCTGAGTGTCCAAACGGACGATGGACAAGGGCCTGCTAGAGTGCAGAAAGCCTGAGATATGATCGTGCAGGGGATGCATTCCTAAAGATCTAGCAATTTCATACAATTTCACCAAACATCCTGGAAACAGTAAACATTTAACATCATTTAACATCATTTAATGCATTTAAACATTCCAAAACGATCCAAAACATTCCGCTCGAGTGATTCGCCCATATCTTCCCATGACCTCAAGGGGCTCAAGCGGCAGCCCGAGCGCCCGACCTGGTTGTAGCGTTGGTTCTGACTCAACGCGGCCGACGATCGCACGGCGCCATCCGTTTGGAACTCCCAGATTTTCGTGCCCTCCTGCAGCAATGCGACGTACAAATTTGACATGAGAAAATATACAAAAGTGGCACGGAATCCAATTTGGGAGGGTCTGGACATGTCTGGACATGTCTGGACATGTCTGATCAAGTTGATCATGCAAAATAGTGACAACTCCTCCAAGTGAACTGCGTACCTTGCACAAGGTTGACTGGCTAAATTAGTTTTGGCGGTTAACTTGAGGAAAAGTGGGGCACAACATCCCACACTTCTCAGCCTTTGAGGAAAAAACAATCCCAAAAACCTTGGAGTAAAAAGTGGTGTGCAGAGTTTTTCACTTAATTACTGGTTTGATCGACGCCTGAGTACTGAAATCGAGCCTCAAAGTCAAACCAAGCCAGGTGGCATCATACCATTGTCAGCTCCGAAGTAGAGCATGCCCAATCCTGAGTGGTGACAGTGGTGAGGGATGACCTTCTATTCCCCAGCCCCCACTGCCCCCACTGAATAACATCGGTTGGCATCCAAAACCTGTGACTGAACAGGCCCGACCCTTGCAACCTTGCACTGCAGGCCATGCGTCGTTCGTTGACGGTGGGACATGTCTCGACTGACGCATTGGCATCAAATTCCCAAACTTGAACACCACCTGGCAGCGGTTCTCAATATCATCGGTGCAAGGTGCTTAACAAACTGTCAGCTCTGAGCTCAGTAAGGTCTTGCGTTCTTCATTCACGAGTCTCTGTCTTCATTTCGAATACTTTATTTAGATTTCATATTATGATTTCATACGTATCTTACCAAAGGGGAAGGCACCTCTGGCGTTGAGGGCACGAACTTTGCCATCTCCAGAGCCGAAAAAAGGATGTTCTCCGCCACTGTGGGACTCGATCGTATTCGACCCTCTGTGGTGACCTCCCACACCAGTGTGCCATTCTGCCTGCGAGGCAACAAGTCAATCAACACAGCCCCATCACTAGTTGGTGGTTAACCTACCCCTCTGAAAAATATTAGAGTCAATGGGGTACCGGATTATCCCATGATATCCCATGATATCCCATGTATTATATGGGAAAAAAATGTTTGAAACCACCAACCAGATCAACTCTACCAAGCGACTGAGCCACAGCCATGAAACTCCCTGCATCGGTGCCGAAATGCACCTGAACACGAACATGCCGGCCATCCCGAACATGAGAGGGGGATCATAAACTAAGAAATAAACATTTATAAACATATCAAAACCATGCCATACAACAGTGCATGGCCCAACTGCACACTATGGAGCTGATGGAGCTGGAAGTGAACCAGAGTTAAGCCAACATCCCGACAGGTTCTAAAGGATTTGTTTGTTGTTTTCTTCTGTTGCATCACGGGCAACATGACACGTTGAAAGATTGCGGCTGTGGACATTGTAGCCAGTGGTGTGGTGGGCATCGTACCCCAGGTGGGCCATTTCATTTTCATTGATTCTGATACCCTAAAAACTCTCCCATACTTGGTGCCGAATCTCTTTTGTTACTTGAAGTCTGGAATTGAACATTGCAACCTGTTCATTAGGGTTTTCAAGTGCAGCCTCCTGGACCCTCAACCAAGGAACAACTTCCCTGAACACTCTCGAACCATCTAAAACTCATGAACTCCTTGCTGCATCTTGCTGCCAGTTTAAGATTCGAGCTCACGCGTGCAAAACAGGATCTTATCAATGTGATTGCGAACGAATGCATGGGAAGGAAGGCACTCTTGGCATTTGACTTTTTTCTGTGCATCATGTCAAGTGAGGATTGTCTGTACCGGACGCAGCGTCAGAAACTGAGCCATGTCTTAGCATTCGTGTTTTTTGCACTTATTTCCGCTGCTTCTTCCCAGGCTTCGCCTTGGACTTTACAGCCTTCCTTTCCTTCTCCTTCTCCTGCTTCTTCTTCCACGCCACAGCGACTTGGAAGGAGCGATCCAGCTCCGCCTGTGAGTGGTCCTTGGGTCTCACCCTGAAATTTCGAGCTGAACCTCCAACATCGCATTTTGCATGCCACTGCTGCTCAGCTTGCCTCCAATAGACCCCTGGGTATGGCACCTTGGGCTGGAAAACCGGCAATCCGGCGTATCTGTTTGCCAGGGTGGCCACGGGCTTCACCTGGCGCTGCAGGCCGTGCTTCTCCCTGAGCAACAGGGCCTTTGCCTCCGCCGCAGCCTTCTCCACGAAATAGCCACCTTGAATGAACTTCCTTTTGTTCCTCTTGTTCTATCTCTTCCTTGATCTCGCCCTTCACCCGCAGCCAAAAATCATCCAGCTCCATCTTCTCCTTATCTTTGCCTTCAAAACTGATTTCCTGCTCAGCATTTCTATCTTTGCTGAGCTCGGACCCCCTGTCTGCATGTTTTGCTGCATATCTCGGCAGGTCAAGCGCCCGCGTTTGGCAGCAAAGGATTCCTCAAATGATTCCATCAGTCCTAGCTGCGGCGTGGTATGATTCAGGTTCCCAGGCCAACAGCTTTTGAGCGACGCCTGCGGTGCTTTGGAATTTGAGCCCCAAATGGCAGCATTGGCAGCATACAACATGAGCTTCAAACAGTCCAACTGCCAACATGTCAGCTGCCAGTAGAGAAAATTGCTGTTGAAAAAAGAACAACTCCTGGCCCCCTGGCCCTTGATTCATCATTTTAGGATGAATACATTGACCTGCCAAATTTCAACGAGCTGAGGTATACAGCTGTCTTGTTGACCCCGCCTGTTGCATGTAGATCACCGGTGTAGTGCCAATCAGCTGGTCCCCGGCACTGCTGACAGGACGGTAGGTCCATGAGTTCGGCTCATATCCACAGCCTCTGCAGGGGATTGGTGAGGGATGGATAGCGGCAAAGAAGGATGGAAAAACAAACACACTTTTAAGTTTTGTAACTGCCAACTTCCACTATTTTCACTTTTATGTCACTCCCTGTTTAGCATGCCACATATTGATCATATTGCCACATCATTCGAGGCCACCTTGCAGAGTTAGCGCCGAGATCAGCAATATCCATCCTATCACCAGTAGCCGCAGTAGCGATGTTCGGGAATGCACCATGCGACAGGTGCGACATCCTATTGATGCCGCCCGGATCTTGAGCGGCATAACACAGCGGTGGTCTGGTGCAAGTCGACCAATGGCATCAATGCATATCAATGCCATCATGAATCATTGCGGTCGGACTTGATGGTAATTTTATGATTTTTATGGGTACCATCTGGTTATTTAACATAGCCATGGAAAATGGCCCATTTATAGATGGTTTACCTATTAAAAATGGTGATTTTCCATTGCTATGTTATGATTTTTATGGGTATTTGTTTTCAAATATTCCTTCAATGGATCATCCACTGGTCATCACTGAAACATGACCCACTCACGTCCAGGGCTCCCATGCACTCTCCACCGCATTGGTCATTGCAAACCTCAGCCAGTTGTAGTCATGTGAGTGGGACCAACTACAGGAACTGTATGGAACTGTACTGTACTGTTGTTGTTGTTGTTGTTGTTGTTGTTGTTGTTGTTGTTTTTCATCCTGAATTATCTGCTCTTTTTCTGGCGGCTGAGTATCCGAACATCGTTTGATCTTTGTTCCCTAAAACGGAGGCTTCCGATTCGTCGTCATCCTCCAACACTTCTGTAAAGGCCTGCATCCAGAGTGAAAACAGCAAGGAAGGAATTCTCTGTGTCACACGAAGAGGCAGGCAACAAGCGGCAACCAACTAATTATATGACAATTCAATTGCATAAAATGGCACATATGCACCTTCAATATCTTTCAAGTGCGCTAAGCACACGCGATGGGTCTATCTCCGCAAAAAATGACAGCCATTATCAGAACTAATTATAGCAAGCGGGTAGCCCTGCCCGTGCACACAATTTTCTAGGTGCATCATCAGCCCACAGGCCTCCAAATAAAAGTTGTTTGTGCTACCGATAATCATCGGCAAGAAACGCAAAGCGCTAAGCTGCGACCTGCGGAGTTATCACTGACACCATTCCTGTTGCCATCGCTGACTGCATCTCACCATAAAATATTCATAAAAGCGCATAAGACACACTAAGACACACACACTTCCATACACACTTCCATATCTGCCATGTGCGTTTCATGTGCATTCCATGTGCATTCTGTGCTTGGTGTTTGTCCCATTTGTCCCATCCTCACGGCCAAGGAAAGGTGAACGGAGCCATCTTTGATGGATGTCGCCTACCAGCTGAAGTCAATGGAAACCATCCAGGAACCTCCATAACAATCCATAAACAATCCATAACACACACCCATTTCTTGTTCCGAAAAAAATCCGGGAACCTTCCATTCAAGGACCCCAAGTGGTTTTAAAGCAGTGCTCCCTACTCTTGCCCTCCTTCAAATCTTAAAGGTGTGTTGCGAGCCAAGTTTGAGATCCCCAAGGCCTATCCTCCAAATATTCGTGGTATCCTGAGCCAAGAAACACAAAGCCGCCGAGCACCATCTTGCGCAGAACCTCGTTCCAGCTGCTGCCCAAATGCCACAGTTTCCCTATCAGAACTGCTGGACTCTGGGACCATAAAACGTTAATGTATGGCAGCCGCGAGAAAAAAGGGATCTTCCAGAATCTTGACCAACACCAATTACCTATCAAAGTGCAGAGCAGTTCACATCAGTTTACAATCATATCAGTCATAGTACCTATAGTACCTTAGTACATCCAAACCAAATCAAAACATCATCAAAATCCTCAAATCGTCCCTCTGAGCTTTTTCCGCCACAGGTCCACATGGTCCACAGGTTGCTGGCGCTGAGAGCAGGGCCAAAACAGGACATTTGTCCCGTTTTTGGAAGCTTCACAGCTTGGAGCCATCCCATATCGACACCTGGCCGATCCATCCAGGATGGTGATGATGCCCTCATGGTGGTCAGTGATGGTGATGAAAACTGAAGATTTTGAGCCAATGGTGAGCCAATGTTCAAGCAAATTATAGCAAATTTACGACTTAGGTTTCACACACATAAACTATTCAGATCTTGTGGATAAAATCAGGTTCACTGACCGTGCATATCCCCCTATCCCCCGCACCTACAAAGATCTGCAGGGGAGGGATCTGTGATGTGGCCCACCTGCACAGCAACTCTATGGATGTTGAGATGGGATGTGGCATGAATTGCGTCATATTGCATCTACACTTAGAAATGGTTTGCTTCTCAAACTGATCGTGAGAGAAGTCGGAGCCACCATCATTTGAAACAAACTCATTTGCAACCATGGAACATCATGGAACATCATGGAACATCATGGAACATCATGGAACGCTTTGCCCTTCAACCTCCATAAGCTAAGTATCCCACTCGATATCTATTCATTGCCATCCCCTCCATCCCCATGGCCCCAGTGCGCCTGCATAGCAACTGTCCCATGCGTGTGAGGGCGTCAGCAGAGGTCATGTCTTGGTTGAGGTTCGTGGTCGGTCCTTACTGGGCCATTCCGCAAGTTGGTCGACGATGAACTCTCTCCAAAAGTAGACAGCCGTTGGCAACTGGAGGATGACCCTCTACCAAAATATGTTGAGCCACAACATGCCACAACTAACACTAAACAGACTAAACATGACCATTCCTCTCCTCAACTGGGCGCCGCACCCAAAATGAGGCCACAGGTCGCTGAATCCTCAATCAGCTCAGAGTGGAAGAAGTCCAAGCAACTCCTGAGAATAGCTCTGACTGGCATGATATAGCAATGGCAAAGAGCCAGTGCCCCCTGCCCAACAAGAACGTGGTATCTACAGCATTCTACGGTATCATATGGAACATCAAGACAAATGGTAATGGCGGCAATGGATGTAATGGTTCACGCTTTGGATTCTTGTGCTTGAACTTGTTCTTGCTTCCTCTTGCAGCGTGATCCTCCAAGATGGTTTTTTCGGGGAATGCTTTCGTGTCTCATAGAGCTGCTGAGTGTCCATATTTGTTGGTGCAACTCCCGGATCTGCTCTACGCTGATGCCTGCGAGCAAGGCACGTTGATACCATGTTCCATGATGCTCCATGATGCTCCATGATGCTCAGTGTTTTGACAGCCAGGTTAAGTGGTCCAAGCCACCCTGCGCGTTTTGCAGCGTTTGCAACAGGACGGCAACGCGGGTCGGATCTCGTCCACTTGGAGCTTTGGAAGCTAACGTCGAGGGTCAACATTTTCAAAATGGATTAATTTTCAAATCCACAAATCACCAATTTTCGTTTTTACTGGAGTTATCTGGAGTTCAGCGTCTCATTTTGCCTCATTTTACCAGAATCATCAGCCCAGAGAGAGGACGATGGAAACAGTGGAAACACATGGAAACACCGTGAAAAAATGCATTGATCCTGCAGCCCAGCAGCCCAGCAGATTGCATCTGAGTTGCTGGGAGAGGAGCGGGAACCCAATGCCCATGAGAGGCAACATGCCGAGCTCAATGCGCTGCCATGATTCTCCTGGCGAGCATCGCCGCATCGTTTTGAATCTGCCACATGCCGAGCATCGCCGGCAGCTGCGAGGTCACATGAATCATATTGCAGTTATAAGTTATACCTGTGACAGTGTATAATCTCTATAATTTATATATGCACCTACAATCAAATCATATAATTACATGATATTACATGCACCATGCGATTCTGTCCTCTGAGTCTAAGCGTGGTCTATCCATGCCCTCCGCCCTCTGTCCTGAAAGCGCCTCAAGTCCGAAAATCTTTGATCCTGAGGGGCTCTTAAAAACAGGGTGGGCTCTTGTCAAAATTTTACAGGCAAGAATGCCATGACAAATTAAGTTTAATTATTACCTCATATTACCTCCACAAAATCTTAAATTAAGAAATTGATTTTGCAGCTTCCAATTCTGCCACTGCCGACATCGTTTTCAGACGTCCTCGCGGCCGCAGCATGACCTCCTCAGTTACAGGACAACGGCTGCATACATGGGCCGTAGACATCGGCCGTAGACATCGATTGAACTTGCCAGTCAGTTGCAACAAACGCACCAAGGAGAAAGCAAAACTGTGTAGAGGGATGATCAGCATGTCTTTGTGCAGCAGAGATTCTGCGAGCAAATGGGTCCCGCCCCCATGAAGTAGCTTGCCAAATGGCTCTTTTCGGAAAGGACTTCTTTCACAATTGGCCAAGGATTCTAGTCTAATTTCGGTGCGCTCACAAAACTCTCACATAGTTTATATGGACCTCCAGAACACTAGGACTGCCTCTTGGTGAAGCAGCATGCTGTAGCATGCTTGTCTGAAGCTGAAGTTCACAGAATGTTTGAGCAGTTGTGAGCCTCACATGGTTCAGGAATGTTTGTGAACAGCACCACTCTCAAAGCAAATGGTGGTAAAATGATGGTAACACCAATTAATCAAAAACTAAGTCTAAGCAAATTATTCTTCAAAAAAACAGCTGGAGCCGAAACACACGCGCACCATGCATGGGTCCTGGCTTCTTCACTCTTGTTGGTCCATTCCTGTCCCTGCACATCATTTTTCTGATCCCAGGTCCACCTTGAAGCACGCTGAGTGACGGAGTTGAAGTTCTAAACTGGGTTTGAGTCCCATGGCCCATATCATTTTTGGACATGAACTCCAAATATTCCGTAAGCCACCCAGGTTTTTTTTCGGTGTCTAGGATGTCCAAGGCCAATAACTTACAATAACAATAATCTTGATATATCTTGATCGGTATGCAAAGCCTTTTCGGTGATCGATAGGTGTCGTGCACCTCTTTGACTGCTAGGATTCGACCAGTCCTTGGAGATGGGAGTGCTGGGAGACCCCAATGAACCAAGATCTCTTCACTGAAGGATGTGATGAGAACTGATGAATCCAATGAAGGATGGGATGATCTTTGTATGCACTATATATCTATGGGATGTCCATGCATCAATTTGGCTACAGACCGACTTTTTTTTTAAATAAAACACCACCATTGATGGGATCGGATGATCTTTCAGCCAGTGGAGCCCCCAGAAATAGCTCAACCATGGCCCTCTGCGAAGGTTCGATTGTCCATCCATCTCCACCGCCTTGAAGACACGTCCCAAGGAGCCACGGCCGATCAACGGCCCACGTATCCAGGTGAGCTCCTGCGGCTTTCGAGATTGGGAGCTGGTCACTTGGAAATAGTTTGGGCATGTTTGGGCAAATAAATGCAGTACATTTCGCCGCTTTGCATGTATTGCAGTTCCACTTGCATTGCAAATGGTTGGATATGGTTGGATCATTGGATAACATTGCGCTATCCAATTAATTCCAATTATATCTATCTGCCTATCTAATCTATCCTTCCATCTGATCCTATGCATGTTTTACACATTAGGCGCCTGCAGATCAAATTGAATGTGGTCACTCAAAGGTGAAACAACACATCTGAGGCGAATTGGGCGGCTGTGCGGGTATTCTGCGCACCCCTGGGATAAATGGAAAGCACTGGACCACTGGACCAAAGAAGAATCGAACAAAGGGGGCGACCAAAATGCTGCACCAAACTCTCAAAAGTCAGTCTGCAAACAGCAACTTTGGCACATCTTAACTTTACATGTTGAACTTACCGAGGTTGAAAGAGAAAACTGATAGACCTGGGATGCTCCCCTAGCCCCATGTGTTTCCAGCCAGGGTCTCCTGGCCACAGTTCTGCCGTGCTTGGCTGGTGGGTGAAGGCACATTTCCTGCGACGAACCACCTCGGCCGAAGGGAAAAGAATCAGTTTCACCTTTCGGTTTGAACATGTTTGAACGAACTATTTTAGAAACACATTTTGACATTTTTGAAACACACCATCCTCCCTATGGGAAGCTTATTGAATCTAAAGATACCTAAAGATACCTAAAGTTCTTTCCTGGTTCACGGGGTCAGGTCCCATCACAGGGTATCTGAGCAACCCGGGCTGATCCCACTGATCCCCAGCGACGGAGATTTTGCGCACGCCTTTGCTGCCATGGGTGCCTTGGCAAACTTGGCACCGAAGTGACGCAGTGACGACTGCGGCCGTGCTGTGCTGGTTCTGGCGGAATCGAATTGCCATGTCGATCAGTAGAGTGTCCAACCTTGTTCTGTACAGAGTGTTCTTTCAACCTATCTTCTTCAACAACCTTATCGCAGCCATAGGATGTCATAGCCAGAAAATCTCCTACCAATCGTATTCACGAGGCATGTTGATCATGTTGCTGCCAGGCACCCTTTCCATCTCTTTCCCATCTGCCACCCAGTCACAGGACAGAACGCTGGCAGTGCTCAGCTTCCTACCAGCCAACAAGCAGCAAACATGTATTTGGATGATCTCTTCAATGATGAAATTGTGAGTGACACAACCCACTTCTCATGGTTCTTGTCATGGACCCTGTCGCCTGTCTTTAGGTTTCATTTCAATAGTGTTGCGACGGGAGCATCAAAAAGAGCACAAAAGCCGAAAATTGTGTCCTTCTGGGAAGCTCGTCTTCGGGTGCCACACCTTGGATTCCCAACGCACTTTGCGGGTTGTTTGGTCTCACATGGTCTCACTGAAAATCCAATAAGTCGGTGGCCATCAGTGAAAGCGTTGTCTCGATAGTCTGCAGCAGCAGGTGCAGGCCTTTGTGATTTCAGATTCTGTCCGGAAATCACCAGGCTTGAATATGACGCGCGACTCACGCAACATCATGTTCAGGGCCTGGATTTGCCTTGGTTGCACTGCTTCGGGGCACTGCTCCATGCTCCAGATTTTGGTATCCCCGCGGATCAGGCTCGATCTCGACCTCCTATGAGAAACAAACGACATACACTGCACAATGATGCTTTAGCATTCATAGACTGTTCACGCTGGTCCAAAAAAACACCTGCAATGAACATCATAAACTATCAGCAACTGTAAATATAATGCATCAATGCTGTACAGATTTCAACTAGTCCAGATCTTCTTCCACCAGGGCCATACACCTTTCAACTTTTGGGCGTCGCCCATGCCCAATAAATCCGAAGTCCCTGATGTCCTGCACATCCTGCACTGAGATGACAGGATCTTCCTCAGCATGTGGATTTCCCTGATTTTGTCGGCAAACCAGTCATCCACATCCAGTTGTGATCACCGGAACAAAATCCGGGTACGAGTGCGCATGTGAAATTCTGAAATGTGAAGATACTGTATGTACATGTGTGTATATATGTACAATATGCATATATACACACACACGCACACACACATATATATACATATACACACATATACACACATACATACATACATACATACATACATACATACATTACATACATACATACATACATACATACATTACATACACCATACCTACCATACATTACATACCATACCTACCATACATTACATACCATACCTACCATACATTACATACCATACCTACCATACATTACATACCATACCTACCATACATTACATACCATACCATACATTACATACCATACCATACATTACATACCATACCATACATTACATACCATACCATACATTACATACCATACCATACATTACATACCATACCATACATTACATACCATACCATACATTACATACCATACCATACATTACATACCATACCATACATTACATTACCATACCATACATTACATTACCATACCATACCATACATTACCATACCATACCTACATACCATACCATACCATACCTACATACCATACCATACCATACCTACATACCATACCATACCATACATACATACCATACCATACATGAACATCCATACATACATAACATACCATACCATACATACATAACATACCATACCATACATACATAACATACCATACCATACATACATAACATACCATACAATACATACATAACAATACCATACAATACATACATAACAATACCATACAATACATACATAACAATACCATACATTACATACATAACAATACCATACATTACATACATAACA